TGGATACACCAGGACACAAGGTCACACTGAGTATGGCGAGAAGCAAAGGAGATCGAGTTAGGGAACTATTCTACGATACAGGTAGTTCTTATATACATCCTGGGCTGACCCTTGAGGGCACGTCCTCACTGTACACTAACGAGTGAACACTACAGGAATCCTTCATGGATATCCAGTGGGTCCAGCAATGGGCACAATGGGTACAAACCGCTGAGTCAACATGCACAAGACTATTCTAGAACGTTCCAGACCTGATCACATGTCCCTACATCACGACCACAAGGTCACATGCCATCACGTGCCTACCACATGACTGGTCACGTGCCTATCCCTCTATCCATCCTATATCTTCATCGTCGAAGTGGCACCTGGGGCCACAATGCCTGCAAGGCGCGTACACTCCTCAGAAACGCCGAGAAATAAAGAGTTAGGTTTAGCCCGAAGGCCGTTTCATCGCTCATAAGTCAAGAATGTGATTGTCACATCACACTTGACCTTTGCTTCTTTGGCAAGAAGAATGACACTGGTGTTTATACTCAGGGGATCTCGGCGACTCTGGTCTTAATTGACACAACATTTCTCATCGGACAATTACCCTGGGCAGAAGAGGATCTACGTCATGCATTGAAGAGCCCTCAGCTGATAGACCTAGACGTGTCAACGCTAAAGCTGGAATATGACACTCTCCGAGTCTTGGTACTTAAACTGCTCAGCAATCCTTGACCACTATCTCTAGACCCGTCGCTTTCACTGTTACAGCTTGGGCCTTGAGGACTTCTTTCTACTCTCATGTCCGATTTACAGCTTGAATACCATCCTGCATCCATAGTTCGAGCATGCATTAACTGGCACGCCAGTGAGTCTCTTCACTTTGTATACATCTATCTACATACCCTCCGAGTCTCAGATCCGCGATTGCAGATAACCGCCACGAACGTGTTCGCACTGCTGTGTCCCAGCATATCAGACCTATCGCAAGTGATGGCAATCCAGACCGGCACACAATGATACTGCATATCGACGAATCCAAGGAAAAACATCGTCGGGAAGGTATGTACCTTCCGCATGCATACTAACCATATCGTTTCTCACCAATTGAATCAGCTCTGCTAGCCAAGCTCTACCAATACAGAAGCTTATTCGGACGGATAGCTGTCACTGAACCCCAAGGAGTTGACCGCAATATCTCTCACATGCTCGCTCGAAGTCACACGCTGACTAGAGCGCTCAAGTACCGCACTCAGTTCTGTAATCTGGCCGCAGCAATCGAGACTGGGCGTCGTGAAGCCAGCAGTATCCTCTACTTCTTCCTCGGCATTCCTGGTATATTGATCACTGACTCTCGTGTTGACATCACTATACAACATGCTCACTTTTTCTCTATCTCTCTCTAGTGCCTCTAGACAGTTTTATAGTGGACCTCGCTTTGGCAGAGAGTGAGGGACACCAGCAGCAGAGTAGTAACCTCGGAAGGTCAACGGTCAACGCTGCTGCAGTTGACGATGTATCTATCGAGCCTGGTGCGGTAAGTCTGTTTTCGCAAAAATTCATGATTCAGTCTATACTTATAAGACTCTGCCCATAGCTCATGATGTGGACAGGCCCTCGTGCACTGCAAGGCATGGGCCGCTGCCACTTCCATAGCGCTACTGATCCTATGAGCAGTGTTATCACGTCACGTAAGAACACGACACTTTCTCTTGCACCCATCGGTTCTCATTTATGTTTCTTATATTGATTCATGCAGTGCCCGTTCCAAATGAGTGTACGCTTGACTTCATAGTCGCCGCGTCGTCATGGATAGGATGAGGGAAAGCTGGACACTTCAATTTCTTATACTTATGAACTCTAGCAGGGCTTTTTACTGTACTATCTTTCGTTCTTCGTATGTGTGCCCTACAGCAGATGTGAATACCGTCGTGGATATGAACATCCTTGTCTCGATGACCTGCCAGAAGTACTCAGTCGAGAGTCCAAACTTAGACACCTGGACAGGGAGCGCCACAGTGCCACTCAAAGCTGCCAGAGAGGACCCCGAGTCGCCCCCTTCATTTCCCGTTCATTTCGCCAAGCTACCTGTTTTAGCCGAGCGCTGAGCAGTGTGCGGGATTCCTCAGCCGCACACCTCTTGGCACCGGCAAGCAGTGCTGCCCATGTCCGAGCGTCCATCGGCTTCCGAACCGGGCAGGAGGGGTGGCGGTGTGGCCCTGTTCTGTGACTGCAAGCCGAGGCACCAAATACTATCAACGTCCATGTCTTGCTCAGGCTCACCAAACAGGCTCACATTCCAGGGTGAATGGGCACTTTCGTAGGTTGTGGCCATAGAACGACATCGCAACTGTCCATTTGAGTGAGTTTTGAGGAGGTTTGAGATTTCTGTGGCTGGCCGCGCGCCAAGGTGCCACCTGCTCGGGGTGATCATAAGCGGTCGGCATGCCTTATAAGGCTGCTTGTAATCTAATCCCTTGTTCACACGGGCACGGCCTTAGATAAGAATACCACCCTCGGCTTATTTTACCTTATAAGGGGTCTCGCGTCCTTGGCAAGCAATATAATCGCCCTTATAAGGTAACCGGCTTATAAGCCGGAGTCCAGAACTCCGACATGAGGGTTTGAATGCGATGATAGACCCGTCTACCGTTGTTGCTCACATTCTGAAAATCCTGCTCCTCATCTTGGAAAACTGATGTCAGAAGGTGAATATTCTGAACCAATGTAACATGACCTACCATCATCCACCGGCACGTCGCCAGCTTCCTCTTTCCGATTCATTTTCAAATTGCCGTCAGTCACAGGGATAGTTAAAGTAGGAGAAAAGCGTACTAGACAAAACTTTACCATTGAGCTCGAAGAAAAACGCTAGGGAAGTTGCGGTGAAAAGCCAATTTAATACTGGGTGTTTAAGGAATGCCCCCAAGAAGCGAAGGAGATTGTCGACTTTCAAAAGCGCGTCACGCTCGGGCGACGCGTTCGTACCGACAGCCATAAGTACCCGTAGGCGTTTGATGGTGGTTGAGATGAGACCGAGCCACTTCGGGGCGAGCTCGATGTTGAACTCAAACGTCAGACCCGATTCGTCAGGAAGCAGGTCAGCCGTCTTGATGATATTGGCAGTAACCGGGTCGACTTTTATGGTTGGGTTACATTGTCCCCGGAGATCGTTCACGTAATCCTTGAACCTCCGAAAGTCTGCCTCGTTTGGCTTCCACTCGCTCATGACCGCGACAGGATCCACCATCCAGGGCCCTCGGTTGACAGCAAGCCCTTGAAGACGCTGTCCAATTTTCGGGTAGCAGTGGAAGACGATCCAACGGCAAAGTTTGCCAACGCCGATATCGGGCCCCGCCTTGTACCTGAAGATAGAAAGCAAATCTCTTGCGTGCTCCTCAAGAGTCGGGATAGATCTGAAGGGGCGCTCGGGTTAGTGAAGTTTGTGGTATTGGTGGGCAAGGATGGTTACTTAGGTGGGTTGTCGAAGTCAATTGTCACTGGCAGACTAGGTTGTATGTCCACGGAGATATAGCCTTCCGAGGGAGTCGAGCTGCTCGTAGCTTTCCCACCTGAGTTCGAGGAGACGACGATGCCAGCAATCAACCCCTCTGGACTGATGTTGCCCGTGACGGCTACAATCATCGAACCGTCGAGAGTGAGCATATTTGCGAGATGGACGAAGGGTTCGATGGGGCCACGAGGCACGCCTTTTGTCGTTAATTCTTTGCCGAGGCGACAGCCGTAAAGGAGGGAGGTTAGGAAGCGGATGGACTGTACGACATTGTCAGGCGGCGGAGTCGGGCGGAGTAGTATCGCGCGGCAACCTACGCCACACGAACATACTCACGCCACTGACTCGCCAGCCGACTCGTCATATTCGCACTCGCTCTTATTTCATATCTCTATTTGGTTCAACCAAATAGTAGTTGTATATATATGTGGTGGACTCGTATCCTGTAGCTTCACCTTCATCTTGTAACCCTCGTACCACCCTTTGGAATACATCCGCACCCTACACGGGCAACGCGGGTACCGTTCTCTCCGGTGCGAATACTGTAGTTTTTCGACCATAAGTTCGTGGGAAGATTATGTCAGACGTGACACTCGCCAGGCCACGGTTCGTTTGGCTGGGCCACGCGTGACGGACCAATGAAATTGTTCGCAGTACGACACAAAAATTGATTCTCGGGCAATTTCGGTGCAAATTGGTCACGATTTACTGTTCGTGGACCCGCGTATCTGCGTGACCATTGGGTCAAATATGTTCGCCGGCGCACCCTGCGTGATGCGTGACGAACATATGGTCGAAAAACTACAGTACCTCAAGACCAAGGAACCCGACCTCTTACAGACATCGTCTTTCGTGCTAGGTGATTGGGTCTACATGGGCACAAAATGAAGATTAACACTGATTTAGTTTATAAGCGCTGTAACAGTAGCTGGCTCACCATGATTCTGAGCCGTAAGATTAGTGGCAGTCTTTCGATGTTTGTTGGAGGTCTTCTTGGTCCTTGGAAGTGAGACTGCTTGACCCTAACCTTAGATGATTACGTCATCACTTGTTTCCGGAAAGCCTTAATTGGCCCTCGCTTTGATCGTGTCATTCTCCATGACCGCGCCGTAACTATCGATGTTTGCTTTCCCTTTTGTCTTCTCACAAGCACAATAACTATTCTCACAACTCCCTACAACAATCTCTAGCCTCTCGTCGTGGTAAAGTTACGTTTCAAAAGGTGTTGCTAGTAAACGGTTCAAAAGATTATACTCGTGTGGCGACCTCCTTTCAAGACGGTCTTGCCCACCATCGCTCGTCGTTTGACGATGCCCAACTTCCCTCAATCGAGGACTATGAGCAGTGTCAAAAGAGTCACAGAAGATTATCAGTCTTACTTGCCATGGATGGTCCTCGCGAACGCCATGTTGTTCAGCACTCTCTTGTGCATTATCATCGCATATTTCGTTGGCCCCACTCTTTTGCGCTTGTATTGCGCTTGTATTGCGCTTGCATCATGCGAAGAATGGGGATCGGAAACCGTCGAGGTGCGTGTTTTCCCTATGTCCTATGAGGATCTTATGTGAACGTCATCAACAGACTTGAAATCGACACTTCACACCTGGCGCCACCTTCACGCGTCCAACACCATCCTCAGCCACACATAGCATCCCCCAGCAAACTACATCTCGACCACAATCACGACAGTAATCGTGACGACTTCACCGACCGGGATTCAGACCCCGAAACCTCCCGCATGACTTGGCCTGCATTCATGCCCAGCTCCATCAACCCCTCCGACTTCCGCCGGCTATGGCGGTTGTTGTACGTTCCTTTCCTCCCGACCTTACCTCCATACGAAAGATGCCTGACCTCTGTATGCGTCCATCTACAGACCGAGCGGTTTTCCCCGTCAAGCAGCAGCGCACCACGAACTCTGTGGCGTCCGTCTGAATTTCTCTATGCCGCACGTAACGAGGTCAGTCCGTTCACTCGTACTGTCTTCCTGAACTATAGCACGCTAACGCAACGCACTATCTACCCCACCTCTCTGTCTACGTCGTTCCGCCCAATCCACCCTCCCGCCTTCTCCCCTCCTATCGCCCCCTCCCCCTCCCACCTCCCACTTCCCAATTTTCACTCTTTCTCCACCCAAACCCAAACCCAAAGCATCGGCCTCGGCGGCGGTTCCCTCGTCCGTCAAGACTCCACCACAGGCCGCGTCACCATCGGGCCCGACTCGGTCGGATATCGGATAACGGACGAGGCGCTCGTATTCGGGGGGAAGACTCTGACCGCGACGGATGTGGTGGTTGCGGGGGGTTGGAGGGGGTCGGCGATAAGAGCAAAGTATCACACCTCCTCTCTGCTTCGTCGAAGTCTGATGGTGAGGGAGCGTCGGAGAAGGCTGAGGCTGAGGGATTGGTGGAGAAGGCGCAGGAGAGGATCCGGGTGATGTTGGAGAATACGTTGGACGCGATGAAGACGTCCCAGGCGGATCTGCCGGTTTATCTGGTCGGTGGGGGGTCGATCCTGATAAAGGAGGGGGTGAGGATGAGGGGGTTGAGTAGGGTTTGTAGGTTTGGGTGGTTTGATGTGGCGAAGTGAGTGTTTCGTTTGATTTTGTTGAGAGGGGAATGCTTATTGATCGGGGATTTTTGGGGGGGATGCAGTGCGGTCGGAGCGGCTATAGCGCAGGTGAGTTGAGATTTTGATTGTGTCTTGGCCTGCCGCTCTCTTCCTTTCCTTTCCTTTTCATATCTTCGTCCCGTCCTTCCCCCTCCTACATTCCTTAGCCCTCTCTGCACCTGCACCTCCTTCATCCTCCTCGCACTCCATAAACCTTTTTCGTTTCCTCAACTCATCACATCCTATCATCTCCCATTCTCACTCCCTCCCCCAACTCCTCCCCCTCCTCCTTCTTCCCATCTCGCAATCTCACTCACTTCCTCTCCCCAATATAGATCTCAGGAACAATAGACACCGTCGCCGATATCTCCACCAAGCCCATGGCCGAAGTGCGCGCGTCGATCGAGAAACAGGCGATCGAGAAAGCGACAGAGGCGGGTGCGGATGCTGAGAAGGTATGTCTCTCGTTTTAGTTCTGGGCGTTCGATTTATTGGGATTGGGTTGTATTGTGTTTTCACGAATCTCTTTCGTCCCGTGTGGCCTTATCAACACGTCTGGCTCTACTGCTAACCTTCGCTTCCTCAATTCTCGACCCATCCCATATGTCGCCTTTCCTCTTCTTCCTTCCGCATCGTCGTCGTCGAACTCACCTCCCTATCTTTCATCCCACTCTCGGTCAAGATCATAGAGAGCGAGGCGATCCCGGTCGCGTATACCGCCGGCCGCTGCAGGTTCTACGTCAAAGCTGCGCGCGAATGAAGCGGCGTTCCGACGAAGGCCTCTTCCACCTCCGCTCCCACTTCCACGACCCCGGCAAACAAAGTAGAGAAAGTGAAGGAGGAAATGAAAGAGGCGGTGGAGACGTTCGGGGAGAAGGTGAAAGGGGTGTTCCATCACAAGACTGCTCCCAAGGAGTCGAAGGGCGCAAACGAGGGTGCGAAGGAGATGAAGGAGGTAGACGATGATCTCGAAACTGCCCAAGCGATCTTGGACTACAAACCGCGCATCACCGCTTCCATTTCGAATGCAAAGAAACTGGAATGGCACATCTCGGCGACGGACCTGGCCTGGATTGCGGAGGGGTGCTACGTGCTCGGGTGTGGAGGAGGCGGCTCGCCGCATCATGTGTTCTTGCAGTTGAGGGAGGCGGTGAGGGCGGGGGAGGGGATCAGGGTCGTTGATCTGGGGTATTTCGATGATGAGTCTTCCGGTGAAGTCGAAAAAGAGGGAGGACTGGTGGGGTGGGGTGGAGGGATGGGAAGTCCGGAGGTTTCGTCGGAGAGGTTGTTGGGTGAGGAGTATGGACAGGCGATGGAGGAGTTGTTGGAGTTTATGCGGGTGCGTTTGAACTTCTTCCTTTCAATCTTCTCTACGTTTAACGGAATCGTTGTACGCTGCTGATGTGGTGGTTTGGATCTGTGTAGATCGATAAGCAGAGGTTGAAGGCGTTGGTAGCGCTCGAGATCGGAGGCGCGAACGGGATGATCAACGTCAGTCTTTCACCTACTTTATGCTCAATCTGTGCCGCTGACTCACATACAATGTTGGTACGCAGATGACGCTCTCTTCCAGCGGATGTATGAACATTCCCATCCTCGATGGTGATTTCATGGTGCGCAAATATATCCTTCACGCCATTTTGCTAGTCCATTCCGCGTGTATGTACTTACGCTACTCTACTCTGCATCTGCATAATCCAGGGCCGCGCATACCCAACGGGCTGGCAAGTGACGCCGAACGTGTATGATCCCAGCGAACGCTCGCTCAACATCCTTCCCGCTGCTATCGCGAGCGGAGATGGGAATTACATGGTACGCATCGCATACATTAGAGCCCAATATGTGTTAGGTCGCTGATCTGAGGGTGATCAAAATCCGCTGTGCTTAGGTGATGACGAAAGCGAAGAAGAGTATGGACGTTGATTCGGCGTTGAGGGCTGCGTGTTGCGAGATGGGGTGCGTTTACAGCTATAGCTCATTTGCTACATCTCGTGTTGCTTACTGTTCCGTTTTTGAATGTGTATAGAACGCACGTAGGATTCGCGAACAAACCCCTCCCCATCGCAGGATCTCTCCTTCGTACCTCCATGATCCGCAACACGGTCTCTCTGTCTTGGCGATTGGGAAGGGCGCTCGCTTTGGCATCCAAAGGTTCGTTCATACCCCTCCACTCTGTGTTGCGGTTGATCGTTGACCTGGGTTCGATTGTGAAAAGGTGGGAATATTGGGAATGTGGGCAAGGTCCTCGTCGATGCGCTGGGTGGCGAGAAGACGGGAGAATTCTTTTTGGTGGCAAGATCGTCGACGTTACGAGGAGGTACGCCCCGTTCGACCATCGCTCGTCCGTTGTCGATGATCAATATTGACCCTGAGTAATGGTGGTCTTGTTACAATCGTGTAGAGTCTACAAAGGCCACACGATCGGTGAAGTCCACATCGCGGCCTTGGCGGTGGACGACGAGGATGTGGACGATGAGGTAGAAGGTCAGGTACAGAGGTTCGAGGGGACGACAGTCATCCCGTTCAAGAATGAGAATTTGTATGCGGAGGTGGATCAGGGTGATGGGAGCGGTAAGAAGGTGCGTGGTCTTTTCTTTCTACATTTCACCACTACAAGTGCGACGACTCCTACTACCTTCGACATCGGCCATTACACATCATCTCCCATTGTTCTTCATCCTCTCCGTTCCGATTTTCCAATCAAAAAACTGACCATCATGCCCCTCCCATGCAGATCGTAGCGACCGTGCCCGACCTCATCGCCGTCCTAGACGCCCAGTCAGGCTGTGCGCTCCGAACACCAGACTACAAGTACGGCCTGAGGGTGTTGGTGCTCGGTATCACGGCCGCGCCGCAGTGGACGAGTACGGCGAGGGGATTGGAGTTGGGCGATTTGAGGGCGTTTGGGTACGTGCTTCTCATGTCTTCTCTTCTCTTTTCATCTCAGTGTCCTTTCCTCGATTTCATGTGGCGGTGGCTAATTGTGGGCGCGATGCGTAGGTTCGAGGGCATCCCGTGGTGTGCCGCTGGGAGAGTATGTCCAGCCGAAGAGCGTGATTGAGGAGTATGGCGCTACGGCGTGAGTCCTGGATTCGCGCCAGCAGCTAATAGAGGAGTAGATATCGTCCGCTCCGTTCGTGTTTGTTTGTGGTAGCCTTATTTATTGAACCTAAGAAACATATTCCAGAATCTTTATGAAAGAAGCAAGGAGAGTCAGGTCGGGCTCGCTTCAGAGCCTCTGATGCGTCTGATGTATCTGTGCCACATTCCGAACACAAGCTCGCTCTTTTACTTTTGCTCTTTTTCGTCGGATTCTCCCTCATTCAGATCGTCACTTATCTATCATCAGGGCTGGAATATACTGTAGTCACGCGCGTTTTGTTCCCGCTACTCTAGTAATGGGTCTTACAGGAAGTATCGTTTGGTTTGGGACGGACAATCGCGCAATTCCCTTACAAGCGTGGGAAAAGTAGAAGTAAGAATCGTTACTTTTTTTGGCAGGGAAAAGGTAGCTGAAAAGTAACTTTATTCAGACTCCACGGAAACTGGTGAGTCAGATTCGGTTCTCCTGTGCTCCGAGTCCTTCTGCATCCCTCCCAGCCAAGTACAAATAAGTAGGCCGCCGCTAGAAGAGATCGTTCGACTCTGAGGCTTTGTGGTTTTCTGCCCAGTCTAATCGTCTACCAGTCGGCTCTACGCTTATTATCGACTGAGACAAGAATTCGAGCATCTAAATTTGGAGACGGACCGCCCTTTGCATTTCCTGTTACATAGCCTACCTCACACCGACCCGTTCCCGCACTCTGGTCAAAGAAAGAAGCATCGATGCCAGCATGTCGTACAGCCTTTGTTTTCCTGCTCGCATTCCTCCTCGCCAGGGTGCTTGCTGCACCCTAGGATCACGACCCTCATCCCCCTTGCTGCCCTCTACCGTCGACCTTACTCTCCGCGTCTCCAATTCCCCCCGATGTCTTCACAACTGACAGATATGAACCAAAATCAACCCACCTTTGGCTCTACTCGCTCGCGTAAACGTCTAGGAATAATGGTCTGGACAAGGATACGGAATATTGGAGGTATACATGATTATTAATTCTGAGAGTTTCTCCAATTTTTGAACTCTCGCTATTCAGTGAAAAAATCTCCGTCACGCAACTCTGGACCTGAAGTCTTGAACTCGATGAGTACAGCAGCCGACGGCGAGTCCGTTCCTAAACACGGTCTTGCCCTCGATGAGCCTGCCACCGGAGGAAGCATCATTGACAGGGTTGCGGTTCGGCTGAAAATGGCATTGTGTACGCATATTTTCTTCCTTTCACTATTACCGGTGCAATATGGTCTGACGAACGGGCGAACTGTGAGCAGTGAAGTTGCGCACCCGTGTTCAGTCTCCTACAACGCATGTGTCAACTTCAGAGGCGCTGTCCATAGCCGCCGGGCTCCTCAAGGAGGTTGCGACGATGACGCAGAACGCTCCGTATATCCAGACTCTTTCGAGTCTGATCACTCACATAGTCCAGGTGAACGACGTATGTGTTGCCATTTTAGTGGGGATCAGTGAACTCGTGACACTGATTGAGTGTGCTCACAGGAGATCGACCTGTTGAAGTCGAAGAGAGGGCTATTGAGGGGGAATGTCCTCCTGCTGCGAGAGATCATAGAGGACGTGGAGGAGCGACTTGGCCCCGATGTCGATCTTCCCATGGACACACAAAAGTCGTTTCGGATGCTCGAGAGGTGGGTCAATTTCAAGAGCGCTCGCTGTCATAAAATGCTGATAATTGTGATGGGCTAGTGTGCTGAACGAGGTCGTTCTCGTTCTCGAGAAATGCTTTTCCACCAAAAAGGGAAAGCTTTTGTTTGCGAGGAAAAAAATGCTGAAGGATATCGAGCACTGTGACGCGGAACTCAAGGTGGCCTTGCAATGCTTCAATGTATGTTTACTACATCATTCTTTTCACTAAATTCGCACTTATACTGATGAATATCGTGGTGCTTCCGTCAGACCAAGCTGCAGATCACTCAATGCCTGGACAACAAGAGGATAGAGGTATATTATTTACGTCCTCCCACTATAAAATTTTGAAATCCTGATCCTTAACACTGTATAGACGAAGGTCGATAATGTAGTCGAGGCTGTCGAGAAGTGCAAAAAGGGTATGTGTGGGCTGTGTCATCGGTTTCTGCGTGTTTAGATGGAAGTCGGACAGCTCACGTACTTGTGTGCTTCATTTATAGCGGGCAGTACAGCGATCACATATGTGATCGCTGTAGAGGTTTTTTTTTTTAACCGAGAAAAATCGAGGGTATAAGACATGGACGAGTCCTAATAACTAACAGCCCGGCGATGTTCACCAAGCGCTCCCCAGCAGTCCCCAGCGTGTTTTGACGATTATGTATTCTTTCATGTCTCCGGGTAACTGTCTTCAGTCTTGGTCTGTCCCTGGACTTCGTGTGTTCTGATCCCACCTTCCGTGATCATTACAAGACAAGCAAGAATAGGTCCTCAGTGTGGCGGCTCCAGACACGGACTAGGAATGTCTGCCGATAACTACGTACAGTTCACTGTGTTTCTTAGTTCCTTTCTGTCCTTTCGCTTCTACTATAAAGATAATTCTGATAATGACATCGAACCATAAATAGTCGTGCGCTGTGGCCCTCGGAGTCTGTGGCGAGAGAGAACATACGAAGAGGCCGATATATAAGCTATGCTCTCGGGGAACTTACATCCAAGTGTCTGAGTCACTAACAGGTATAGTAGTCCTCCCTCCCTCTCTTGCTGCTCTCCACGCATGAGCCATTGTCGATGTCGTTACACTCGAGAACACTGACCCGCTCACCGAACAATTGTCGACGAGTCGAATGACGGGATGTGGCCCGACCGGCCCCATCAGGTCGGATCCTACCATTTTCTAAGGATGGCAGTCAGCTCGGAGAGGACTGTCCTGTCGGTGAAGACCTAATGCGGCTGCTAACATTTATATAGCTGTGGTAGGTTTCGAGCCGTCTATCTCTGATATGTTCTGTGTGAGACGTCCAAGAGTCAAGATGAAGGAGCAGTAGGAGACAAGCTGCGAACCCTTCACGCCACACCGACTCTGTGAAGATGAAGCGTGTGGCGGAACCTCACGGTGAGGTTAGGGTGTGGATTGCAGGCATAGCCCGCCTCGTCCCAATCATTTGCGAACCATGATCATCACCCGAAAACACTGTGCTCCTATGACCAGATACTCAGGTTCCTTTCCAGCTCTCGTGCCAGCGGAATGCCATCCTGGCGCGCGAATGAAAAACTGTCCGATCGAAGAGACGAGGAGACGATGCGACGAAGCCGCGACGAGATGCGAAGAAGGACGAAGGAAGTGGGAGAGAGGGCGAGGGCGAGGGCGAACCGCGTTCGACTGGATAGCAGGGTGGGCTTGATGTGGACGTGGTAAGGTTTCAGTACGAACTGAAGAGCACAGAGAGGGCTGGAGTTGAGTTAGTAGAGGGCGTTTAGGCACGTACTTTCGCTTCTCTTCCTCTTCTCATGCCCTTTTGCTCGTCTCTGGTGGGATTCACAGATGAAGAGTCTACCGTGTATGCTGCTGGGATAGCATGTCCATCCGTCCGAAGAGCATGACTGGGCTGTATGGCGTTGTAGCCTCGGTCTATCATCTACGACAGCAGTAGTGCTGCAGCGTAGAAAAGACGCATCCTGCTTGACCAATCCCCACGATGTATCTCTGGAGAGGCCTTACTCCGAACGCAAGCTCGCTCTCTTCTCTTCTGTTTCTCTTGCATTCTTGATTGCATTCATAGCCTCCCATGAGGATTTGGACTCCTCTATCGTCACGAGCGGGAGATACTGTGTTGCCGGAAACAGATCCACACGTCCGTTGTTCTCAGGCTACTTGATCTATGTGAACCTCCCGGTGGACGAACCGACATGTTCATGTCAGAGGTATTGAACTTTATTCGTTCTCAGTGTTTCCAAAATCTCTGAACGCTCGATGTCCTGTAGGAGAAGTTATAGTTTCATGTTATTTGTGTGTTCGTGTGCAGCCTTACTTGTTTGACTTATGAGCGATACTGCAGGATTTCTGTCGGTGATATGTCATCTCTCGACTCTCTATTGTTCAAGTTTGCGCAACTTAGAAGCGCCTCACCATTTGGTCGTCCTAGAGGTCTTACACCGCTTCTTCATTTCACCAACATCCTGTGTGCTCAATCTAGCTCGTTCCCGCTTTCTTCGCAGCGACAGAGGAACTCCCAACATAGCTTTCGTCCCGTCATCTGGGTCACTGTGGACCATGCCACTTGGTGCGTCCGTATACGACGATACTCGGCTCTCCCTTTCTTTCTATCCACCATCTGTCCGCCCGTCGACTGTGTGTAGTAACCTCACACATCCCGTCATCACTTTTATCGTCGAGAATTCCAGTCTATACTCTTGGAAAATACGATGGCAAGATTATTTAGACTAAAGAGACGCTCAAATGAAGGTAATTATCGCCATTCTTGCGGTCGTAGTCCTGAGTAGTATTGAATATTTGTCGTCAGAGCATACGCCCACAACGATCACAGCGACGGAGAATGACTCTATTGGCCCCGTGGTTGTTGAAGAAGGTGCATCGAGACACTCGAAGGGAAGAAGCTTGCGAATCGCCGTGAATGTGAAGGCCGCACTCTGTACGTCCAATTGTCGTCTCCAGAGCTGTATCATAGAATTAAATTGTCTAACGAATCGGATTTGTGTGGCGAAATGGCGCAAGCGTGTTGCAAAGGCTCCAACCATGGAAGCGTTGTGCATAACCGCGGGAGTATTGAGCGAAGTAGCGACGATGACGCAGGGCGTGCCATATATCCAGACACTTTCGAATCTGATCACATATGTGGTCTCTGTCAACGACGTGCGTCCAACAAATATTATTCTTATAGTCCAGGATGATTTATTCATATATTATTATATCATAGGATATCGATTTGTTGAGGTTCGAACGAGGGTTGTTGAGAGACAAAGTCCTGCACCTGCAGAGCATGATAGACGAGACGGAGAGGAGGCTTGGCCCCGATGTAGATCTTCCCATGGATTTTCAAGAGCCGTTCAGGATGCTCGAAATGTAAGCTTTTATCTCCGAGTCCTCGTACAGAATGAGCGCTGATGAGGGACATTATTCAGTATACTTAAGCAGGTCGTTGTCGTTTTAGAGAAGTGTGTTGCTACCAAGGGACCTCTGGGAAACGCGAAATACCTGTTCTCCAGAAAGGATCTCATCAAAAGTATCAAGCACTGTGATGAAGAGCTCAACACTGCCTTGAAATGCTTCAACGTGAGTTCATTCGTGTACTCACTCACTGACAATCGTGGTTTGTAATCGATACTAACAAATTTGTGGGTGCTTCCCACAGACGAAGCTGCAGGCCATCCAATCTCTTGATATCAAGGACGTAAAGGTATATGTTTCTCATTATTTATCCACCATATACCTCTGATATTCCATCGCCATGCATAGACGGACTTGCGCACAGTATCGGCGAATGTCGACGGCCTAACGGCGACTGTGGACGCAATCGTGGACGAGATGCTCTCGCAGAAAGACGCAAAGGGTAAGTACGGGCTGTGTCCTCGGTTTCTACAGGTCTAGATGCCAAGTCAGATAACTCACGTACTTGTGTGCTTGATTTATAGCGGGCAGTGCAGCGATCACATATGTGGTCGCCGTCCAGGTTTTTTTTTATTTAGCTTCTACAGCGAAAATCATCAGGTATCAAGTGATTTCATATGTAAATGGATGTATACTTACTCTTTCCACCCGCCGGACGTACTCGGTTTCCTCTTCTTCACTTTGAGCTCTGCGTCCTTCCATCCCCGTACCTGTCTTCAGTCTTTCTCTGTCCCTACGCATCGTGTGTTGTTCTCCCACAGCCCGTGATAATTACGAGGCAAGCGAGGAAGCATGGGTCGTCACTGGCGGTTTCAGATACGGACTAGGAATGTCTGCCGACAAGTAAATGCGTGCATCTCACTCTGTGTTCTTCTTGACCTTGTGCTCTTTCATTTTTATTACACAGATAATTATATTAATGACATCGAACCATACTTAGACAGGTTTGTGCTGTGGCGAGAGAGAAAGTACGAAGAGGCCGATATAAGCTTAGTCCGCCTACATACAAGTGCCACTGACGGGTATAGTGTTCCCTGAGCTAGTGTTCTGCACGGGTCTGGGTACACCCGCGGTTTTCGAGCACGGTGTGTGGCGGGTACGGGTACGGGTCTGAGGTTTTTTGAACCGTGAAATACCGCGAGACCCGCGGTTCTTGCGACGGGTTTGAGTCTCGGAAATCAGAGGTGCTCGAAGGAGCACTTTCATGACTTGCTGAGCCAAGGATGCTCTTGATGGTTCAGTTTGAGCTTGCGCTCTAATTCCAGGTCGTCAAAGACTCGTTTGTGGAGATATGCCATACCGCACCGTTTCGGTCGCCAAAATAGGTCAGCAAGAACAACGGCTGTAATTGTTTAGACTCGCCCCATTGAGTGACAATTATCATTTGTGGGCCCGGGGGCTCTAACACCTCCGTCTGGTACATATAAAGCGCGCTTAGAACACCTTCATGGCAGTCAACACACCTCAACACCGTACAAAATAACCGCGGTTGAGCAACCGCGGTGGCAAGAGACAAACCCGTGCCACACCGCGGGTTACCCGTACCCGTACCCGTGCGGGTGCGGTGTCTGGCGGGTACGGGTACGGGTTCGTCTCTGGCACCCGCGGTTGGACCCGTGCAGAACCCTAGTTCCCTCTCTCCTTCTCTCCACGCTTCAACCATTGTGGATATCATTAGCCTCGCTGACACTGATCCGCTCACCGAACAACTGTCGACGAGTCGAACGACGGGATATGACTCCCGACTGGCCCCATCATTGACAGGCCCACCCGATCCTACCTTTATTTAAGTTATGTCGATCTGCTCGCAGGGGACTGTCCTGTTGGTGAAAACCTAACACGGCTGCTAACATTTATGTAGCTGTGGTAGGTTTCGGGCTGGCCATCTTTGACATGTTCTGTGTGAGAGGTCCAAGGCGAAATAGAAGTGGAAGACAATCTGCGTTCGGAAACGCCACATAGACTCTGCAGTGAATATAAGGCGTGTGGCGGAACCTCGAGATAAGGTTAGGGTGATGATTGCAGTCTTGGCCATAGCCCCGACCATGGCCATTTGCGAACCGTGATCGTCACTCGAAGATACTATGCCCCTATAACCACTTCAGGCTCTTTTATTGTGCCGGCGCCAGCGGAGTGTAAAGCGCGACGAGAGATGCGAAGAAGGTCGAAGAAACGGAAGAGGCGCCCGCGCTCGACTGGACAGCACGGTTAGCTTGATGTGAACGTGGTTGATTATCAGAACGGAGCGAGGGTGTTGGTGCCCTATGTCACGGACGAGGACGGAGAGGGGGCTGGAGTTGTGCGAGTAGAGGGTTTGGGTACGTGCTTTCGCTTCTCTTCTCCTTTCCATGTCATTTTCCTCGTCTCTGGTGGGATTCACAGATCATGTATCTACCGTGTATGCTGCTGGGATAGCATGTCCATCCGTCCGAAGAGCGTGACTGAGGAGTATGGCGTTGTAGCCTCGGTCCATCGTCCACGACAGCAGTAGTGCTGCACCGTAGAAAAGATGCATCCTGCTTGGCCAATCCCACGATGTATCTCTGGAGAGGCCCTACTCGCTCGCTCTCTTCTCTTCTCGCTCTCTCGATTACCGTCATAGCCTCCCGTGCGGATCCGCACTCAACCAGCATCACGAGCGGGAGATACTGTGTTGCCGGAAACAGATCCACACGTTCGTTCTCAGGCTACTTGATCTCTGTGAACCTCCCGGTGGACGAGTCGACATGGTTTCCCTCACACGATAGCCAAATCGTCTGTACTCAAAGTGCTTATGCGCTTCGTACGACCACCCCCCGTGACTATACGCATACCTTCCACGCATGCATGAGCCTTCGGGAGTACACCTGAGTATAAGTACCTGCACATCACTTCGACGTGTGATCCGCCAACGCGGTTGATTATCTCGTATCTCCCAGATGTATGCTACAGACATCGTAACACGCGGTCTCGTTCGCCCGACACGCATATGGGATCTTCATTCCGTCGTCAGGCTCGACATCTTGGCTGTCCGTCAAAGGGAAGCCAAGGCCGAACACCGGCAGACGGTATATAAGGACGTCGTTGTTTTTATCATCGATTTCGCTTCCACTCTTCTTTCCCTTCTTCGTACACATATCCTAAGTATCTCGACCTCCCGTTCATTGGAGGAATGATTCCCACGAATGTCGTTCTCCCTCTCCTCGCGCTCACGATCACCGTGGCGGTGGCGCCTCCGCCCGCCTCAGCTCTCAGCATACCCTGTCTATTCACCGGAACGAAAGAGGACGTTGCGTGTTCCGTGCTTTCACGACCTAACGGAGGCGTCACCGTCGGGGGGTTCGCTTCGAGTACGTCTCTTCCCCGAAATCGACATCATTTGCGTGTGGCTGATGCGGGACGATGTATGCAGCGTTGATGACGGTGGATGCGTTCGATCCTATCTCTGACTTGTCGAAACTTTGAGACATGCAGACGGGGATACTATATGATATCGAACATCAGTCGAGACGAAAGTCCTGGTGACTCGGGAAGATGGGCCGATGCTGAGCGCTGATGTAGGAGGTCGAGTTCGAGGATGGATACAGGCGGGGCACTCCGTGGCAGGATGTCTTGGGTGGAACGATCTATGACGAAGCAGACGTGGATGATGGATGAGAGTGAAGTGGAATGCGTTGCAGACGATGACGATATAGTCCGAGAAGGAAGGAGAGACGACGGATGGGAGATACGAGGAGAGGGAAGGGAAGGGAAGGGTTTTTCACCCGTCGCGCCGTTACGGTCTAGGTACATACTTTCTTTGCTTTTGGATCAATTGGGTCTTTGTTTCGGGTCTCTGGGTTCTCGGATGTTCGGGTTTCATCGTCTCGTCTCGTTTGGTTTGATTGTGGTATACTTACCCCGTCTTTCGTTTTGGCTTCTTGGACAATGTACGTAGATCTTTCACGGCGCTTTGTGGCCTCTCCTCTGTAATATATACCCCTCAGCGCGCGAGCACGCGGATGTACTTGTTCAATTTTCGCGATTGATGTTGACCGTTCGGAAGTCGGTTCGTCGAGTTATTATGCTATTAATATCGTAACGTGTTTTTGTGCAGGCTCTTATAGGCCTCGGATGTACCAACGAGACCATACCAATCAATCCATTGACATCCGCGCTACGTGCGTAGAAAGGCTCACGACCACACCGTCTCTGAATCCTAAACGAAAACGCTCCTCAGCAACTTCCCGTCCTCCCGTCCTCCCCTCCTCCCATCCCACATCTCTCTCTTCTCTTCCCCGCAGCGAGCTGGGACGTCACTGCCACTAGTACTTGTCGCTCCTCACTCATCTCAATAGGGTGCCCTTTTTCATTGCTAGACTTACCATGCTTGAAATCTTGAGAAGCTCTGCTGTGCCCCCAGGCTCCTAATATTGCGATCCACGGCTCAATCACCAGGTTCACCACTTCTCTGGCGGTTGATTTTTCCGCTGATTCGAGTGTCTCTATCCTTCAAGTTCGCTCGTTCTCTGCTTCATGTTCGTGGACAATCTGGCGGTATACTACGTTGCGTTCTTCAAGTCAGTACCGGCGATTACTGTTAACTGATGAGATTTGAACAATCGCGAAAGGGGGGAAGTGTCGAGCGGGAAGTGTGGGTGATGAGAGCGACAACGAACGCTGGAAATGTGATTCAGCCCTTCCAACAGTCATTCGTCCCTTGTCATTCTTTTTGGAGATGTCCAGGTTCTTGGTCGTCGGTGGGCCGCTCGTGCTCGACAACCAGATCTGGAATTATTTCTCTCGTTGACAGGCTGAATGGGTTTGCATCACGATCCTCCTGCCAATATCTCGCACCTGAGGTTCTTGCTAGCTAGTTCTAGCTACGGATTATGTCTTTTCTCGGTCGTTATGGACGTCAATCTTCGCATCACTCAGCACTGAGATATGTCTCGAACGAATGATGGTTTGCTCTGTCTGTCTCCATGACACCGCGCATTGTCTCGACTCTCCGCACGCTCTGCTCCGGCCAGTCCTAGGCGTAAAAGCTTCGAGTGTCAATGCTTCACGCTGAACCTCTTTTTTTTTTTTTTTTTTTTTTTGCGCGCTCCGATTTCGGGAGAAGTTATGAGTGGAGCAGAATGTCACGGCTGCGAGGCTGGAGTGAGTGGTGCGTACCTGTCGTACTGTGGGTTCTTGGATCTGTTTTTGCACTGTGATTATTTTTGTTTTGTATGCGTGTGATTATAACATCTGTCTTATAATTTGTATCGGTCCCCCTCACGAATACTTACTCTATCGTCGAGCCTGGATCTGAGGGAGGCTTTGCAGGTGGCCGAACGAGGGATGGTTTGTAAGTGCGATTGTCTGTTTTTAGGGCCAGGACTGAGCGCTCGTTTGCATGGGCTAAGGTTTTTCGCAATCAGAATCTTACTATTCCTGAGCAGCTCTAGCTCGCACGGTGCTGTGGCCCTCCATGAACATCCCATGTCTGGCGTTGAGAGCAACCGTTACGCTCACGACCCGTCCTAGTTCTCCAAGATTCAGCTCTGGCACTCCGACCTCTCTTACGAACGGCTGGCTCCCAGCCCCACCTCGCTCAAAGTTATCACTAGGCCCGACTTCGGTGGCGATACGTTCTGGCGCTCGGGATACACTTTGTATTGCTCCTTCAGTCGAAGATCCCAGTTATAATTGGAGGGTTTGGGCGCAGTGCATAGTGCGGCTGCGCAGTCAGGATAGAGGTATCAGCACCGCCGTAACTTGCATAGGTTGGAGCCCAAGTGTCGAATAAAGAAGGCAATCCCCTTCACTGTCTCCGTTCCCAGTCATCCTCTCTCTTTCCTTTTGAAGATTCATCTCCGCCATGCATAGGTTCACGGCATTCTGCATCAAACACCTGCCTCGCCAGTCTTTTTTCTGCCACTGTTCCAATCCGGGGTCGAGCGGGGAAGAGAGGATAAGGAAAATACTCTCCGCTGGCAGAGAATGACAAGCGATGAATGGGTGGGTGCATGCCGTGTCTATAGCGCAATGAATGCGTCTGTACGTGGAAAGAGCAGAGCGTACGTGTATGCTCCCTTTCCTGTTGCAGCATCTGTTGTCGGTCTGGGAATCACGCTAGGTGGGAGCGTTATCTCGACTAGTGCTGCGAACACCAGCGCCACAGATCAAACTTACATAGCGATATAGTTGCGGAATGGCGGTGAGCTCTTGGTATCGGATGGATCTTGAGCCTCGCAACGAGAGAAGTGATTGATCTTGTGTATAATTGAACTTGACGGCTCGGTGACAAACTACTAGAAGTAGCGCTTGATAAGTTCATGTCTATGGATGAATAGTTGCAGATATAACTGCATCAAGTACATCTACACAGGAACCGATTGCCCGGTGGGGATATCTGCGGTCTCAGGTCTCATGCGGGACTCTAATACCTTGGGGGCATCTCTGTTCCGTTAGTAAAACTCTCTGCTATCATCTATTCTCATCTGATATATTACCCCCATAGGAGTTGCAGGTGAGAGCGACATGTCTTCGCTATAAGTATGCATCATCTTCACAGCATCAGCGTAGAGATGCCATCTGCGCATGATTGATATATAATCGTGAGTAATCATCTGCAGAAACCATACATGCCGCCCATCCAAAAAAGAGGCAGGCTCTCCGAGCGAATATAAGGAGCTCACAGATCTCTGCAGCATTCTTCATCACCCACTTAGCCCTTCTGCAGATTAATCGTCTTTCTGGTTCTTTCAAGCAAATCCTTCGTACTATCCTCATGATTTCGGAAGAAGCACAATGGTAAATGAGCCTAATTCCTCTCTCATATCTGCGAGAGTTTCCCATTGACTACCCTATCTTTAGGTTGCTTGCCACCCAAACGAATGTTTCTGGGTTTAGTATGTACTCACTCATTTTTAATGGTGATAAATTAATTGCTAACCAGCTAAATTGAAGCTCTATGGCTTTTGGACTACATTTATACACTTCCCTTAGAGATAGACAGTGTATGGTCGAAGGGATGGAATGGAACTTCATTCCTGTTCATTCTGACTCGATACAGTCTCCTTGTATCCCAAATCTGTTCCATAATTGGGAATGCACCGGGAACTGCAAGCGATCATGAGTAAGTGGTACACTGCTCTGCAAATATACTAAGCATATATCTCACATTCATCCATATCAGATGCAACGTTCTCGCTATCTTTACAGATGCTACTCAAATCACTGTTGCCTGCACTACCACTTGTACGGTTCTTTTCCCTTTTCCCATTTTATATAATACATGGTGGCTGAATGCTGTAATATAGTCTTGTTTTTTCTTAGGGTGTATGCTATATATAACCGGAATAAGTTAGTCCTGGCAGGAGGAGTCTCCTTGATCCTGCTTAGACTTTCTGTGGATATATATGTGTGTATTAGTGTCCAATTTGTCTAAGGCTCTGAGCATTCACTCACGATATGTACACATCAGGAGGCTGTCTTCACCATTGGGATATCAACCAGTGCATCATCTTTTAGTCTATTTTCTCAATGTGCAGTCGCTAGTATTGTCCCTGGAAATTATGATCTTGTTACATCAGTTTGTCTTGTCATGCTTTCTCATTGCATATATATACTGATGGATCAAGCTGTGAATATAGGGCTTGTCCATTCCATTTTATGCTATGCCAGTCTCTTTATTTAACAGATATTTCTTTATCCTTTGCTTTGCAGTGGATATCATCCCACAAGTCACGCCAATTGTGCTAGAGACCATAATGCTAGCTCTACTTATCTGGAGGACCTGGCAGCTTAGAAAAGAGTCACATAGGTTGGATATGATTAGTATCACTGATACTTTACTTCAAGATGGTATGTGCATCTGAATATTGATTAGAGTAATTGAGTGAAAGCTTTCTGTCTAGGTATCCTGTATTATGTGTAGGCCACCAATTCTAAAAATTGACACCACTAAGATTTCTCACATAGAGTGAATCAACAGTGCTGTCCTCGTAACTTCAGTTTTAACCGCAGCAGGAGAGATTGTAAGGCATTTTATTATGTTGAATACTGAGTCGTCTCTTATATAGTGCTCACATCATGGTTTATGCACAGCTATCATTGCTAAACCCAGATGTATGCCTGATTACACTGTTCTTGTCGTTGTGCTCTTGCTGATGGCTTACTAAATTATTAAATTATTTCTCCAACAAAAGTCTAATGTAGCATGGTTTTTGACGGACATCTTGAGCCCATTTCTTCTAGTGTAAGTTTTTTTTGTGACACTTGCCTACCATAATTGATTGCTGACTTGAACTGCACATCTGATTTGAAATAGTTTACCCAACGTCTTAGTGGCACACCTCATCCTCAACCTCCGCAACTTTCATGGAGAATCTCCCTTGAATGACACTAATACCCAGGAACTGCCAGAGCTCAAATTTGCATCAAACCGCTTCCTTGGAAACATCGGGGCTCCTTTGAATCTCAATCAGTGGGACTCTCTAATTGAAGGTGGTGAACAAAGTGGCGTAGGAAATGTTGTAGTGGATAGAAGAACGGAAGAGCCGACACAAAATACCATCGGAACTGGGGGTACAGTGGTAAGTTCATATTATACATAAAATCAGACCTTCTCTTTTCAACATATGTTCTACAGGTCCATGATGATAATGACAGAGACATTCAACTGGTGCCCAGAGTAACCAAGCCCATTTACTCCATTGGTTATCAATGCTGACTTCATGACAAGTTGGCGGATATATGAACAGTTTCTATGCAGATTCCTATATGTTATTCTCGTCAAATACAATTTTATCCTGCCGTATCTCACTTCTACCATTGATGAGATAGTAGTGCCCACACAACAATCTAAATAATCGTATCTTAGCCCTCTCATACTGCCTATCCCTCGTTCGGTTCTCAGATGCCGTTACAGGATTCATGGATTATCGTGTCTTCACAAGGACACCCCATTCTGCTCTCGAACCTGATCTGTGCTGGAGCAGTTTGGCAAGACATGAAAAAAGACTGCTACTTCTCTACCTGGCACCTCCACTAGCAGCGCAGCCTCAGTCCGTAGCCGTTTGAGTAAGGGTAGTCGATTTGAGCATAAGTCTAGAGGAACGTCACGGTCCCACTGAAGTGTTGTGTACTAGGATGTCCCTTGTAAGAAATGCTAGATTAGATACAGTTGATCAGTCAGCACCTCGAGGTTTTTGTACGTGTGCGAGTATATAGTCTACGTACTTTCGTTTCTTCATGCTCATCAATTTGTCCCTCATTCCCCTCGGCCGGTTTCTCGCGAGTTCGACTTCTGTCAGAGAGCGACAGTATTTCACAAAAATTGGAAGAATAAGTATGTGCTGATAGTGTAGCAAACTCATCCAAAAAGGGCGGCGATAGGGGAAGGTCGAGACAGTCGGTTCAAATTTGTCGAGTTTGGCTGTCCACGACTGTACGACCACTGAAGCCTAATGTATGGTCACTATAACTAAGCTTTCTAGTGGCAGTAGTCGCATCAGCATCAACAGTCCAAAGATGTATAGGCTTTTATTCCATTTTCCTGCATTCGCACTTGAAACCGTCGAATACCTGATTCTGTTCAATGCTCAGTCCCGATGCACGTTTACAAAGACCCACTCGTCATCGTCATCGTCAAAATCCTTCTGTACCCAATTTTCCGACAAGGATGAAAGGTCTGCAAGCAGGACAAGTAGACGGCTTTCGACTGTACCCGGTAAGTATATGGCGGGTAACACTCAGCAAAAAAAAAAAAAAAAATCGCGACGCACATCTAGTGTTGTGCTGGGCCGGGCTCAAAAGCCCAAGCCCGCCCAAGCCTGGCCCGGGTTTGGACAGCCCGGCCCGAGCCCGGCCTGACTCTCTATAGGGCTTTGGGCTCGGGCTCATGCTTTGGAAAGCCCAAGCCCGGCCTGAAAGCCCGGGTATTTCTGCGTATTTTTGTGATATCGAAAGGACGAGTATATTGAGTTGAGAGTAACGAGTGGCGCCAGAAAGAAAGAGTGTATGTGATTGGTGGAATGTTCCGAGCCTTCGACGCGTCATTGGGTGACAAGAAACCTTCTTGTGGCTTTCGCGCAACGACAACCCTCGCTTTCAGTTTGCACTCAACTCACAGCCGAACCGACGCGGTATCAGCATTATCATTGTTCAAATACGTCTCTGATGTCCTATAGAAGAGTAAGTATGGGTAGATATGGCGAACAGAGCATGCACCAGTAGAATAAGTGATGTGTAAGCAGATATCGGGGTACGTACTACTTGCCGATTTCCGTAGATAACTTCGTCTCTCACTTGTATCTATAGACTTGCTGATGGACTGCCCATGTTTGTGAGCTGCCGTAACGGGATCAAATAAAATTCTGAATGGTAACTATCATCCAGTTGTCTCTCGCAATATCTGTCTCGCCACCGTCCGTGCAACTGTTAATCAACCCCTATCTTCCGCTTCGTACACCTTCCCTTGCTGACTCTAACTTATGTCAATACTCTTGCAGATGACACTCTCATCATATACTCAACGCCAACCTCCATCCATTCATCTTTCCTGATTTCTGAACACGATCAACATATGAATAAATGGTTAGAGATCTAGATAGGGACAGCATGGTATTCGGGAGGGTACCAGACATGGCTGACACGAGTCGGGTCCGCCTCAGATATAGGGATTTTAAGAATCAGAAGTTGTGGGAACTAGTCCAGGGTTGAAAGGGTGAGTTTTATCCCGCTCTTATTTTTGTGAACGGACTGGAGCGAGGAGCAGAAGAGTGATCTCACTCACATTCCTTGATGCCTACGAACTTGCTACGAACTGTCAGCTCATCCAGTTTTCCCTCTCGAACCCATATCTCTTCTATCACTCCATTTCAATCTCCCTACGCTCCCACCTCCTTCCCCTCTCTCCTCTCTCCTCTCCCTACTCTCAACCTACTCTCCACTCTTTTCCTCCTTGCCTCCGTCTATCACTGCTACATTGTTCATGTATGCATAAGCACTCGACTTGTTCCGTCAGAATAAATATACACCTTTTTTTGTGGACTCGTATAGCAAGCCCGGGCCCAAGCCCAAGCCCGACCCGTACCCAGCCCAAGCCCTCATCGTGGGCTCGGGCTCACCTTTTGTGAGGCCTAAGCCCGTCCAAACCCGGCCCAAGCCCTGGGCTTTGAGCCCGGCCCGAGCCCGACTAACACTACGCACATCCTTGACCTTAGCACCTGGAATGCACATCCCATCGACACTCCCACCTGCGGCCTCTTTCGCACTCAGACTCTCCAGGCTCCACATTTCATCCGAAAAAACATTACCAGTCAGACGTCGCGATATATCCTGATGGCCGAGGAATAAGGCGGTGACAGACATCACGTAGCTAAAGGCAGAATCAGGTGGGTTTAGTACGGGTTGAAGGCTATCGCTTTCACATTTCGTCGCTAGAATCGTCGAGAGTTGCTCGACGAGCGGGTCAGTGTCTGCGAGGTAAGCGACATTCGCAATGGCTGAAGCGGGGAAGGAAGGAAGGGAGGGATGGAGGGATGGAGTAAGAGAATATTGTACTCATTAGGGGGGTTGTAGGCAGACGGATTCAAAGCTTCCCGATAGCATAGCTTATATCAGCCGTGTATTCTCTCGCCACAGACTCCGAGGGCCACAGCGCACGACTGTTCATGGTTCGATGTCATTATCAAGATTATCTTTGTAGTAAAAACGAAAGGACAGAAACGAACCAAGAAACACGGTGAACTGTACGTATTTATCGGCAGACATTCCTAGTCCGTGTCTGGAGCCGCCACGCTGAGGGCCTATTCTTCCTTGCTTGAGAAGAGTGACAATGTGCTCTGGTGGGATTCACAGATCAAGAGTCTACCGTGTATGCTGCTGGGATAGCATGACTGGGCAGTATGGCGTTATAGCCTCGGTCTATCATCCACGGCAGCAGTCGCTGCAGCGTAGAAAAGACGCATCCCGACGATGTATCTCTGGAGAGGCCCTACTCGCTTGCTCTCTTCTCTTCTCGTTCTCTCGATTGCCTTCATAGCCTCCCGTGCGGATCGGCACTCCTCCATCGTCACGAGCGGGAGATACTGTGTTGCCGGAAGTTAGTCGTTCTCAGGCTACTTGATCTATGGTGCACTCCACTTAGTCACCACCAAAAATGAACAGTGGCCAATTTCGTTGGCCCGGGGGCGAAAATCCAGTTTATTGAAAGAAAATTCCTGGCGCGTACCTGAAAAACAATGTTACCATAATTCGATTATTTAATTCAATTGATTATTGAATTAAATAATATTATTTGGCAGGGAACGGCCAAATGGGTACCCCTAATTTTTATAACTCCGTCAGTTTTTATTATTTTAAGATTCTGTCTTGGGGATCTCTTCCCTTCATGAAAAGAAGCCTTTTCCCAAGAGGGATAAGAACTGGCGGTAAAATCAGCCCGGCTGTGACCGATATGGCACCGTTGTTCGTTTTTGGTGGTGACTAAGTGGAGTGCACCATATGTGAACCTCCCGGTGGACGAATCAACGTGGTCTCCCTCACACGACACTTAGAGTGATCGTCTTTAATCCATATGCGCTTCATACGACGACCACTCATGATTACCCATATATCTTCCACGCATGCATCAGTCTTCGGGACTACATACACCCAGTCCACACATATCATTTCGACCTGTGATCCGCACAACGGGTTGATTATCTCGTATCTACCAGATGTAGATGTATGCCCATCGTTCGTTGCACGCGGTCTCGTCCACCCGACAAGCATATGGGATTTTCATTCCGTCGTCAAGCTTGCCATCTTGGCTGACGGGCAAAGAGAAGCCAAGGCCGAACACCGGCAGACAGTATATAAGCACGTCGACTTCCAACATGAGTCCCGCTTCTGCTCTTCTTCCCTTGCATACATACGCTATCTCGTCCTCCACTTCATTGGGTCTTTCACAAGGAAAGGAATGATTCCCACGAGTGTTGTTCTCTCCCTACTCTCGCTCACGATCACTGTGGCGGTGGCACCTCTCCCAGCCTCAGCTCTCAGCATACCCTGTCTATTCACCGGAACGAAAGAGGACGTTGGCTGTTCTGTGCTTTCTCGACCTAATGGTGGTGTTACTCTCGGAGGATTCGCTTCGAGTACGTCCCTCCCACCCGGTCGAAATCATCGTTGTTTTTTGAAGCTGATGCCGGTCGATATATGCACTATGTAGCGTTGATGACGGTGGATGCGTTCGATCCTATCTCTGACTTGTCGCAACTTTGAGAGACGGAGGCAATATCGGAGATCAGCTGAGACGGATATTGCAGTACTAGTGGCTGCGCCGGCGGGCTGAAGCTTGAAGCTGCTGTGGGAGCTCGAGTTTGCAAGGTCGAGGCAGTCCGTGATAGGACATCTCGAGTTGAAGAACGATCTAACCCGGAGGCGAACGTCAGGCGGAGTACGGTGCAGAGGATATGTGTAGAGGGAATGAGGGACGAGGGACGAGCAGTGAGGTTTGCGAGCTCGAGCTGCAAGGAAAGGGGTTCAAGTTCTCACGCGTCGCGCCGTTACAACTTACCGTCAAGGTGCATGCTTTCTTTTCTCTTTTGGATCATTGGGTCTTCGTTTCGGGTCTCTGGGTTCTCGGGTCTTCGGGTTTCTTTCATGGTCTCGTCTCGTCTCGTTTGGTTTGGTTGTGGTATACCCCGGGTTAGGTTTTGGGTTTTGGGACAATGTACGTAGATCTTTCATGGTGGTTTGTGTCTTCTGTAATATATACCCCTCAGCGCGCGAGCACGCTGACGTATCTGTTCTGGGATTGATGTTGACCGTTCGGAAGTCGATTCGTCGAGTTGGCATCGTATGTGATGTGTTGGTGTGCAGGCTCTTATAGACAGGCCTAGGATAGCGAATCCCGATGTCCCAACGAAACGAGACCATATCAATCAATCAATTGACATCCGCAGCTCACTCCCACACCGTCTCTCAATCCAAAGTACCCTCCCATCCTCCGCATCCCCGCATCCTCCCTCCCCACATCCCATCCCTCCCTTCTCTTCTCCTCCCCACGAGCAGGGACGTCACTGCCACCGCCACTAGTACTCACGCTATCGCTCCTCACTCCTCAATAACCTGCACAATCAACGGCAGACCCGTCACCCTCGACCCGTCCTCCTTCGCCACATGTGGCGCTTGTGTGAGCGAGAGGTGCCACTCGACGGGTGTTTGGGACGGTTTGAAGAGGAAGAGGGGCAGGAGGGTGGAGAGGACGAGTTCTTTATAGTTATGAGATCAAGAGGAAGTGGGATTAAATGACGGGACAAAAGGAAAGAAGGAGGAGAGGACGAAATGTGATGGGAAAGAGTGAAAGAAAAGGAGGCGGACGCACTCATCTCTGTTAACGCGAACTTGAAGCCGATGCATCCAGTCGGTCCGGTCGAGAACGACAATCTGCAACAAAACAAAAGCAATACCGCGAGCGTGAGCGTCTCCCAACGCCCAGTTGACATCACACTCCGCACATATCCCGAAATTATATCAGGAACGAAGAAAGCACGCACATAGAGCTCCACAAACTCGGCACCTCCCTCTTGGCTTTCTCCCTCCCCTTCCCATCCCATTCTCTACTCTCCACATCACCTTCCAACCACCTCTCCGGCCGAAACTCATCCGCGTCGGGTCCCCAGATGTTCGGGTCGCGGTTGACACCTTGGATGGAGAGGTATATGGTCGTGCCGGCGGGGAGGGGCAGGGCTGTGACGAGGGTAGCGTCTTTGGAGCTGGAGGAAGGGACGGGGGTGGCTAGGGGGAGGACGAAGGGGGATTGGGATCTGATATTCTCGAGGAGTGAGCGATGGAAGGACGAAGGTGTGAAGGAAGGACCACTTACGTGCGGGAGATGAACGATAACGGTGGATGACTACCATTGATGAGCACCGATCAGAACCTGATGCGAATACATCTCGAGTGAAACAAACCACTCACAGGCGGAGAGCTTCGGCGCATACAGCGTCAAGGTAGGGCAGGTTATCCAGCGTATCGTAATCCATATCTTTCCCCTCATTCGCGCGTTGTGCGTCGATGATCTCTTGCCGGAGACGGGCCTGGATGGAGGGATGGAGGGAGAGCATCTGGAGTGTGCGAACGAGAGCGCCGGAGGTTGTGTCGAGGGCGGCGAAGATGAGGGTGCTGTGATTAGGATATCATCATAGACGGGGGTTAGTAGTAGGAATGTGTAGCGGGGAAGACAAGGGCGTTGGCTGACCTTATTTGGGCGACTAGCTCTGTATCTGTCAAGCGCGGATTCTGCATGTTCGCCGCCACTACAACAAGGTCAATATCTCATTCAGAGTGCCATGGTACCAAAAACTCACGCGTAAGACTCATAACATCCTTCAACTCTTCACTCAAATCATCACCAGTAGACTCCTTCACTACCTTCGAAACCGTCGCCTTCTTCTCCTCGAATATTTCCAGCGCCGTGTCGTGCATCACGTCGATCACGGCTTTGAAATTCTGCACGGACGGGATGGGGACGAGGGAGACTACGGAGCGTTGGAAGGGTTTGGAGCCGAATTTTTGCAGGATGTGGAGGAAGGGTGTGACGATGCTGATCTCGGCGAGGGTTGGACTGTATCATGTATGCGGGTCGGGGTCAGCAAACGACGACAGAGAATAGAGACGATGGCACCAGACTGAGGGCAGGACGTACAGGAGCCGTTTCGCATACTCGCTATACCGACTCTTCGCGCTCTTAACAGCCCCAAACTCATGTCCCAGTCCTCCCAACCCGACCAAATCCAGCGCCGTCCTCGATATCCAATCGAGCACGTCGATCTCGGCCTCTGGTGCTTTCTCTGCCGCAGACGAACCACTGGCAGAGGAAAGAGCCCGGACTTCTGCAATCAGCCCGGCTCGCAGTTGATTCGCGATGGGCTGGAAGACGGTGAGGAGGTCTCGGATGTGGCGGGTGGCGAAGAAGGGTTGGAGGGATTTGCGGAGCTTTTTGTGGACTGGCCCTGTTATCGGTATCGACGACTCAGGACATTTTGGAGTATGTAGAACACGATCTTAGCAGGTAGCTTACCAGTCGTAGCGAAGAGCCCTGTTCCGAAGATGGTACGCCCGACGCCTAGGAACGCACTTATGGTGCCAAAGGAAGGTGGATCATAAGGGATTGCATACCGAGTTAGAGCATAAAAACGGACGTACTTTGTCTCAGTGAAGATGTCGGGGTTGTTGAGGATCGCAGAGATGGCCTGGGTATCAGAAATGAAGAATTGCTTCTCCTATACCTCTATTCAGTCAGTGGTCACTCCAAGGAACAGTAAGTACTGATGATCAAATGAGCAACTCACCCCGAACAATCCGTAGATCTCGAAAGCGTTGCCATACTCTTTCGTGAACTTCTCATGATATACCATCCCGTCGGCCGGAGCAAACAGTTGCGCTAGATTGCCAGCAATGATAGAGTCACGAGGTGGGCCATGGATAAGTGGTCGAGATCTACGAAGGAAGCGGGACAGAACATAAAGCACGACTACTGTAGAGGCGACGGTATATGCGGGAGGAATATCAACCATCCTAGACATACAGGCTTCAGTCCGACAATCCAAAGAGCTCTGAGAGGTTGTTGAGAGAACGAAGAAGGCTGGCAACGGTCTCCTCGACGCTACCTTTTTGTACGCTCGGGACCGCCTCAGGGTCGTGTAGGCGCCCAATTACTGCAAAACCGATTAACATCGCTTACGAATAAAGTGAAGTGCGACTGGCTTGGAAAGCCCGTAAGGAATGAGTCCTCCTTGCACGTTATGGAGATCGCATGACTATGGGGCTGGGGTTTGAATGAATCTGGATTTGACCAGAGCCTGAATTTATCGGCGATCTGTTGTTATGACTGGGATCGTGTTCGTGAGCGCAGAGGTCTATGCCAGTGGGCTCTGCGAAACGGAATCAAGATGAGGCGGGTACATATATCAATGGGCAAGCGTATACTCGCAGGTGAGGTTAAGTACTCGTTAGTAGTTACCATCAGCCTATGCGCTGCGATGTACTCGCACTCGCCCTAATGATCACCCTATTTAACCGACTCGCATTCTTCTCTACCGGTACCACAGCATTGACGAAGTGCACTTTCGATCTAGGAATCGTCATCTGGGAGAGAGGGAGAGGAGACATACGGTGGTTCAGAGTAGTTCCGACGCGCAACGCGTCGTCATTCTTCATCGGGTCCCCAAGCACTTCAAACTTGGTGCAGCAAGCGTAAGGTGACTGTACTAGTTATGAGGAAGGAGTGGACGTGTATTCGTGCCTCCGGGGTTGACATTGCGGTCGAGCATTGGATGCAAAGATTGGCAAGACAAGGTTGGCAAAATACCGTCGACGAGGGCTAGCTAGCGTGACGGTCCACAGCGAACCCTTTAATCGCTCATCGAGGGATGGTCCTGTGAGGAGAGAGTCGGCGAGTTGAAGAAAGTTTGCGGCGGGGTAAGGTGGTCTTCTGAAAGTAGTACCCAATCGTTCAACGTTCAACCGGCTGGCGAGAGGATCGCGCTGACTGGGCGCCACATCTCCACAGAAAGAGCGCTCTCAATGGGAAACCCCGAAATGAGTCTTGCGGAGCCGTATTCGCGGCTAAGCAACGGTTAAGTACATACCTTGGGACAACAAGTTTAGTAGTAATAGAACACGTTTGTATCCCTGCACCTACTCTCATGTCTGATCCTGTACCCGTTCGTGTGGAGGTCATCAACCAGGAAAAACCACTCGGACGAGGTGAAAGTTGTAAGGAGACAACTTGTGTCATCTCTGAACCGAAACCATCACTGATTCAAACCCATATATTAGCGATAATATGGGAAGCCGAAACGAGCGACGCCAGGTATCCTCGAGTTGCCATCAAGGTCGTACGCACTTCGAAGTTTATAGCGAACCCGTCGCTTCGCCGCGAGGCTTGTGCGCTCCTCAGGCTCAAAGGTGACCAGTTGGCCTCCTTCGTCTCCGAAAAGGCGTGCTAAACGTGTTCTCGCTAGGTCATCCTGGAATACCAGAGGTTTACGCCTTGGGCCGGTCGAATTTTCACGAATATCTTGCCATGCAGTTGCTAGGAGAGCATATTGATCCAGGGAAGATGGTCTTGACGCTAGGGGAACTAGCAGTCCTTGCCGGCCAGATGGTAGGCTTCGATCGACTCTTCACTTTCTTCGCATAGAGGACTAATTGTCCTGATTCCCGACTCCTTCACTGTAGTTGGATATAGTGAGGCACATCCACTCCCGAGGCCTTATTCACGGCGACATTCAACCACATAATTTCTTCTTCGGACGCGACGACCACGCCAAACAACTATATTTGGGCGACTACGGGGACACGACATGGCATACCGATCCAGAGACGAACATGCCTATCCCTTGGCATACCTTGAGGAGTATCAGGGGGACGACGAGCTACTGTAGCATCAAAATGCATTATCACAATAGTAAGTAATACTGTTCGCAATAGTGCGGCACGTAGCGCGTGCACATGCACGCGTAACTTACCTACTCATAAATAGGCCCATCGCGCGCAGACGACATGGAATCACTGGGGTACATTATCGTTCACCTCCTCCGTGGTTCTCTTCCATGGAAATGGGAAAGGACGATCAGAGCGGTGTGTACTTTGAAACAGCTTTGGTCAGGAAGTGATCTCTGCGCCGGTTACCCCCCTGTATTCGGCCAATTTATCGACTACGCTCGAACGCTGCAGTTCGAGGACGAGCCCGATTACGCCTCATGGATTGAGCGTTTCCGAAACTTATCCCAACTCGAACCGGAAATCGCCAGTGCAACAATCGGCACCTCGTTCAAGGATAATCCCAATGCCTCGTCGATCGTGATACAATCACCACCAGCCTCGGTGCCAGCGTGGTTCGTACCCTTCGACGACGATAGAGACTACGTTCCGGAAGTGGCCTTCAACTTGCCATTCGCCAGGACTCCCGAGTCGCGGGATCAGATTGGAAATGAGAAGGAGACTGTTCGTCGACTTTTGGGATGGATTCATGCGGTCGAGATGGAGGAAGAAATCTGTGACTATGTCCCTGAGCATATGCTGAGTTGGGAAGAAGAGGACGAGGACGAAAATAAGTTCGGGGGGAAATACCTGAAAGAAATAGACGATTAGTATTTTTGTCGCCAATGTCGCTTAGCTGCTGCAAAGATTCTGACCGTGGCTGTTACCTTTTAATCGTCCTGCGCTCTTTAAATGGTGTCGAATTTTTTTTCGGGTCTATTATATAGTACAAGTTTTTGACATGCAGGGACCTTGGATGCCGCTAGAGCGAGAGAGAAGATGAGTAGATATTCGTACGAGTTTCTGTCAAGTTGAATAGACCGTATCGGTGATCGGACCAATCGTCGAATCCCGTTGGGCTTTAGCGAGGTTGAAAAATTCTTCACAGATACGGTCTAATGCTCACACTCGGTTTGGTGATAACAGAATAGATCTAAACTTGACGGTTTTCAGAGATTACTCGAGGAAGTAAAGACGATAACGCAACGCGAGCAGACCAGTAACGAGCCTACATAGGCCTACATCGTCGTAGAGAAGGCGATAACATGCGATATGTACAGGCTTCAAGCCCCCCTGTACGAGTCTAACGTCTGATCTTGTTCAGGGCCACAATATCCTTGAGGCAGGTATCTTAGCGGATGAGAGGACTGCATTAGACAATTTTATGGAAAACAGAGTAGTACTCGCTCCAATAGATTATGGGCGTTGCACGGAGAAGAGGTTGACTAAGCCTCAATGACTTCAACGACCAACGGCAAACCGGGAACCTTCTTCCCCTCCATGTCCACATGTGGTGCCTGCGTCAAACTGAGGTGCCATTCGATCTCGGTGTCCGATGGTTTGAACCGGAAGGAGGGGAGCAGGGTTGACAGGACGACCTCTGTTCAAGACGAGCGGAAGGATGAGATGAGAGGAGTTAGTGACGGTGTGATGGAGGGATGAAGAGAGATAACAAGGTTGACGTACTCATTTCGACTAATCCGAACTTGAACCCGATACATCCTCTGGGTCCGGCGGAGAACGACAATCTTTCATATACGCAGAGATCAGTTTAAGAAAAACGTCTATGCAGACACAGAATTGTATAGACTATACACTCACACAGAGCTCCACAGACTCGGAACCTCTTTCTTCGCCTTCCTCAGCCTTTCCTTATCGGCCTCTCTATCATTCGCACTAGCGTCTGCGTCGGTATCGTCATCCACCAGCCACCTATCTGGCCTGAACTCATCCGCATCCAGTCCCCAAATATTCGGGTCGCGGTTCACCCCCTGGATTGATAGGTAGACTGTCGTTCCAGCAGGGAGAGGAAGGGCGTTGAGATGTGATGCTTCTTTCGAGCGAGAGGCAGGGGCGGGTGTTGCCAATGGTAGAACGAAGGGCGTTTGAGACCTGAGAGAGAATATATAATTGAATATTGAGTACAAATGTAGAAGCGAACGTACGTCCGAGACATGAACGGTACAGGCGGGTGTCTATCAGCTCCAACAGAAATTGGTCAATGCAGGAGGCATCTATGTTATGCATAGAGATCACTCACAGACGAAGAACCTCAGCACAAACTGCATCAAGGTAGGGCAGTCCGTCCAACGTATCGAAATCCAGATCCTCGCCACTCTTAGCTGCTTTAGCTTCCGTTAGCTCGTTCCGGAGACGGTCCTGAATGGCAGGACGGGTCGACAGAAGTTGCAGGGTGCGGACGATAGCGCCGGATGTTGTGTCTAGGGCGGCGAAGATCATTGTGCTGTGGTAGGACGAAGCGTTACCATGGCATATTAGTGTCAGTCAGATAACAACAGGAGACAAAGGCGGGCAAAGATGAGACGTGGTGGTACGGGCGGATAGGAGAGCTGACCTCATTTGGGCGACTAATTCTTCATCGGTCAAGCGCGGATTCTGCATGTTCGACGCCACTGTACAGCATAGTTCGCTAGCGTCAGCCATTCGTTCCTACTGGGACAAGTGTGAAGGCTCACGAGTAAGACTCATAACATCCTTCAACTCTGCCATCGCCTCAGCATTATCCTCCTCCGTCAAAAGCTTCGACACCGCCTCCTTCTTCTTCCAGTAAACACGATTTGCTGTCTCATCCATAACATCAACCACCTCCTTGAACCTCCGGACCGCCGGGATGGGGATCATCCCAACCAGAAGGCGACGAAATGATGCAGATCCGAACTTCATGAGAATGTGGAGGAAAGGCGTGATAAAGCTGACCTCGGAGACGGTTGGCCTGTTGCGATTGATTCAGGTAGGCGCATCAGAAAGCGAAACAAAAAGAAATACACTGAAGAGAAGACGTACAGGAGGTGCCTAGCCGTCTCGCTGTAAGGATCGTGTGTACCCTTTAACGCCCCGAAATCATAACCCAAACCCCCAAGCCCAATCAAATCCAATGCCGTCCTCAAGACCCAGTCGAGCACGTTAAGTTCGGCGGACAGCACCTTCTCACGCCCAACATCCGAAGATGCCGACTTAGAATGGCGATGGGAAGCAGATGCGCGTGACCGAATGTCTTCAAGGAGGCCAGTTTGAAGTTGACGAGCGATAGCGTGGAATATGGGAAGAAGATCTCGGATGTGGCGGGTGGCGAAGACGGGATTGAGTGTTCGGCGAAGTTTCTTATGGTCAAAGCCTATATTGGCGATAGTTCAATGTTCCATGAGCGTTGGAAGAACCCGACAATGGAAAACGCGTACCAGTAGCGGCGAAAAGACTAGACCCGAAGATCAGACGCGCGATGCTCCGGAACGCTCTAACGTTTCGGTACACAGATGGGGCAGCCAGACTTGAATGCATACGTTCAGAGGTCAACGGGGAGCTGGATGTACGTACTTGGTCTCATGAAAAGTATCAGGATTATTGAGGATCGTGGAAATGGCCTGAGCATCCGAGATGAAGAATTGCTTCTCCTACAGCATTAATAGGTTGATCAGTGATCAACATCTGAAAAACAAACCGATTCTATAACAAGCACACACCCCGAATAACCCATATATCTCCAGAGCGTTTCCATACTCTTTCGTGAACCCTTCGTGATACTCCATTCCGCCTGGTGAGAACAGCTGCGCGAGGTTTCCAGCGATGAGAGAATCGCGTGGCGGGCCGCGGATGAGTGGCTGAGGACCTCGAAGGGACCGTAACAAGAGCACAAGGAGGACTAAAACAACAGCAATAGCGGTGATGGAGATGGTATCTGCCATGGTAGCCCAGAAAAGTTCGGGTTCAAGTTTGCTCTACTAGTCAGTATCGATTCAGAGCCTTCAAGTTGGGTCGCTGGAAGATTGTCGTCTGAGTTGAGGAGGTAGCCTTCTCGCGCCCTGCACATGAGGAGTGCCTGATGCGCCGATGCATTCGAAAGAAGTAACCGTATCATCGAAAACCGAGAAATCAGCCAGTGAGGGTGCGGCCGCGGTTCAGCGAATGTTGGCGGTCGTCGTCATTTTCCTTATAGAGTCTTCGGAAGGGGCCACTGATTTCCCACGCCTTTCTCGGTTCGGTTTCATCGCCACTTGAGCGCCACCAGCCGCCAACCGCAATGACCTCTACCTATAGCTATGCTCTTAGTATTACCGAAACACCACTGTAAACATGACAGAACCGTAACAGGCGAGTTTTTTCAACTGATTGAGACCTTACTAGCTCATGGCTTTGAGAGCGCAGCCGAAATAATAAGAGTTTATAACTCACTGTACCGTTCTAGGAACTCCGTACCTTCAACTTCTGCAGGCCATTGGCGTAGGTGGGCTCGCAGGAACTCGTTATTGTATCTCCTGCATTTTATTCTTCTGGGTTGGAGATATGTCCTTTAGTGTCAGCATGTATGCAACAGTGGTCTGACCCGTATTCCAAAGCCCTCATCTGAAAATGGACCTCCCCGTCCCATTCTCCAACATTATTCACGCTCCTCCGATTGTGTCGTTCCTAGACGAGATACACCGACAAATATAGCCTATTATGGATCGCCCACCCATATACTACCATGGTGGATAGTCTGGGAATGAGGCCAGCTGCTGTTGGTGTCCTCCTGTGGTATGCTTTCTGTTTTAGCTGAAGCCGATAATTGACAGGTGGTCTAGTTATCACTGTGTTTTGTGTGACCTTTCGAGACACATGTACATCGCGTACCATGACAACAATTTCGATTGTGAAATGACAAGAGCACATCCAAGGCTGTCCCTTTTGGCAGCTTTGATTTTGTTTTCCTATTGCTACTCCGGGGAATGTCTTCTTTCATTTCCGCACAAAATGCATGCTCACTCGTGGATTGTTCGAATCCAAGGCAGCCGTGAGGTTCAGGTGCGACGTTTAATTGAGCTTTATCATCATCACCGGAATCACGACCATCGGAGTCGCCCTGTGGTGAAGCTGAAATTCGCGCCACACGAACATACTCACGCCGCAGACTCGTCCGTCCCCGTCCGTTTGCCACTCGTTTGTTTGGTTTACACAAACCAACTCCTCATGCTTTTCAATATAGCTCATGATTTCGCATCGTATCCCCTCATTTTTTACTTCTAGCACACCATACTTCAACATAATCGTGTCCTCACTACATAACACGGATTAGCAGAGTACCGTTCTCTCAGACGCGGTACAGAATCAGGTTTGGTTCCATTTCACCGTCACGGCATCTCAATTAATACCTTGCGAGTGGCATTTCGCAGCTTTTCATGTCTTGTTCCTACCTTGCATTCCACACGCCATCCAGGTTATACGTGCCCCACTCTTATTCCCGCGAGTCGTTCTCGAGCTTGAGCTTCAAGCATGCATGCGACTGCCGTGATAAAAAAAGGGTATGCGTCGCAAATGTGGTCCATTCGGAGAGTCTTCCATTCGTTCAATGGACCTGTGTTTGCGAGCAAGGGGGTCGAAGTGCGGGCTAACCACTACTGAAACGGGACGGGACAGATATAATCTACTTACGAAAGGATAACATGAGTGGGCCTCGATGGAGAAGTAAATGCGTATGGTTTTGCAGCTCGAGGATATCCGAACGGGGACTTAAAAACGCCATCCATTCCGGTGACACCTAATCTGTAGTGACCGAGGTTGTATCCTTTGAACATATATATAGGTCCTGCGGTCCCGCACAAATCGCACAAATTGTGTGTTTCGGTGATGGTGAGAAAAAACCCCTGACGTCTTCGAAGCCTTCCAAAGCGTTGGAGAACATCTCATACCCATAGATATGATTACACTAGAGAAATTCATACTTTCCCCTATTAGCCGTATCTTCGTCGAATGATGACAACTCTAAAGCTGAGCCGTGGTAGAGGGTAGTAGAGGGTACGATAACAGCCTTGAACCGCGATTGTGTTATTTGGCTGAAGCGCTATGACTCGTTACGACAAACCGGTCTTGTGCGTGATGATACCGTCGTCTTTGACAGGGGTGTGGTAGTACAATTTGTGCAACCTTAATCGACCGCAGATTGTGAAGATGGAGAAAAAATGTGAGTTTATCCGTCCAATGAATTCGTAAGTAGCTTCCTGTGCCTATCTAAATACACTGCTGAATAGCACGTGTCTCCCACATCCTCACCAACACTGATATACGTCTCAGAAACCATACCAATACATGTTTTGTGCTCTCGGTAGCCGCCATACCCGTGCAAAATTCTAGCTAGTCCTCGGGTCGATAAATGTCACCGGAAATGGTAGGATATTGATGAGAGTGAACCAGAGTCTAGGAGATGAATCCGTAAGCAACCATGATCAAAATATGCTCATGAATACACCGGTCGGTAATCCGTAGTTGCATGGAGCTAATAATGAAGCAAGTCAGCCCAAGCTTGGCTGGCGATCGTCGGTGTAGGGAGTCGAACTCACCTCAGATCGGTGGCGGCGGTCGGAATGCCATATCTCCGTGACTGTCGGGCTCAGAGTTGTATCCTCGTATATTCTACTTACTCCATATCAATCATCCAGAGCAGCATACTTATGCACTGTGACGACAACTTGGATACCAGTATTGCAACGATTACAGCCAAAATGGCAGTGGGCGAAGATGATGGACGATCTGATTCGGCTTGGCAGAAACCTGCAGTTGTCAATAAGGTGTTACCAGCGCTATGATGCGTACAGGTATGATAGGAAAACTCCACGGCGCAATCGTCGGGGACACCTATCAGCGGAATTGACTAGAAAGCTACCGGCAAGCGCCGCATCAACCCCGTGGGGAACCCCCACAGAGACCCCGGATACCGCACATTCTCTCGCTCTCGCTCCTGTCCTTGACGGGACCGTCTCGGAATCACCGATCTGCTGTTCGTTGACCCTCTTGTTCCTCTTGTGTTCCTCAGTGCCCAGTAGCTTGAGCATATAGACGCCATAGGCAGTTATGCTCGTAGCACTCGACAGCGCCATACCGCCCGTGAAAATCGCATCAGGCCGCTTCCTAGACCTCAGCGCTCGCGTTTTCATCTCCACATGCGGATAAATCACAGCTCACAGTCTAGCATCCTTGTTTATACTGTTGAAACCGGAGACACAAACACATCTCCCTTCGCGATTGTAAATCGATCAATCACTCAACTCAGCCCAATGGAAATGTCCAGCAATCAAAGGAGGATACATACCCAACTCGGTACCGTGGATCGCATTCAGGCTGAGTGATCCCCTGCTTCCATACTCGCGCCCTAGTGATCCTCGGGCTATCTTTGTAATTACGGGATTGGATTGTCCTGTAGGACTCTACACTCTTTGCTACTGTCCCGCTCCATGGGGACACTAAGTCTGCGAAGAGCGCTCCCGCTCTTTTGCCTCACTGGATGACATGTTTTCGCTGTGCTGGCATGCCTCGATAATCCCCATCCTCTGGATGGTGCCAGACTGGTCTCGGGCCATCAATTCCGACGCTCATTCCACTTGAAATGGACTGAGAGACAGTGACGTTTTTCACCTTTCCTCTACCTGAAGCTCTGACGATATGGGTTCGACTACGAGTGTTGTATCTGCCGCACTGGCATTTGGTATCGCAGCAACTATCGCTGTTACTCGCGACCGCTGGGCAAAGGAATCGCGTTATGCTCCCTTGCCTCCTGGACCTCCCAAGATCCCTTTGATAGGAAACTTAGGTGACATGCCGACGTTAGGCAGAGAATGGGAAACATATACTCAATGGGCTCAGAAGTACGGTAAGATATTCGCCTGCAATATTAGCAAGCATCAAGCCTGACATTAATTTCTCTAGGCGAGATTGTCTATGTTGAGGTACTCGGACATCCCATTGTCATTTTGAACTCTTTCAAGGCGGCCACGGAGCTCTTCGATCGTCGTGGCTCCAACTATTCCGATCGTCCAAGTGAGCCCATCATTATGTACATATACTGGGTGATCAGCTACTCATTGTTGATGGCCTACGCCAGGTACTACTATGCTCAGAGACGTCCTGGGTTGGGACTGGATTATAGGATTTATGTACGATGTTATTTATGTTTATACGATCATGTTTGCTAATAGGTGGTTACGAAGGCCTTATGGTGAATGGTGGCGTCGTCACCGTAAAGTGTTCCACACATATTTCAACCCGAAGGCGGTCGTAGCTCAATATCCGGTTCAACGCAAGGCTGCTCACGGCTTTATGAAAAGCTTGTTGGAGTCTCCTTCGAAGTTTGAGGACCATGCCACTCGGTAAGTCCATCTTCTTTCTGCAAGTATTCCGATCTCAACCTGTATTTTTGTAGATTCTCCGGGACTATCATACTCGAGTCAGTCTATGGTTACGAGGTTCGTGCAGAGAAGGACCCGTACGTTGAATTGGTCCACAAGGCCGATGAAGCGTTCAATAAAGTCGCTGGAAGTACCTTCCTCGTTGATATCATTCCTCTCAGTATGTCAGATCGTTTATTGCTAAGTCATTGATCGCGCCTAACCAACTTGATAGTGCGTCACCTCCCCCTATGGCTTCCTGGAACTAAATCCCTACGGGACGCTCAGAAGTGGAAGAAGCTGGCTCTCGACATGCGATCTGTGCCCTTTAAACTTCTGCAGGATTCCATGGTGATGTTGATTTGCTCGTTCAAATCCTTGCCCTGAGGCTGATCATATTCTCATTGATAGAAGGACGGAACGGCACCGTCATCGTTGGTCTCCGAAGAGATAAACAAGATTCAAAGCCGTAGTGAAGGACCTCCTGACGATTTAGACGTCGTTCGCAATTGTGCAGGTGCAGCTTATGGAGGTATTCACACATCTCCCCTCTCGTCTCCATACTCCCTCGACAACTCTGATTATTATTTTTGTTCCAGCTGCTGCGGATACTACGACATCGACAATCCTGACACTCATCTTGGCTATGGTCCTGCAGCCTGAGGTTCAGAAGAGAGCGCAGGCTGAAGTCGATGCGGTCGTGAAGTCCAGAGGGGGAAGGCTGCCCGACTTCGATGACATGTCTGCAATGCCATATGTAGAGTGCTGCATCACTGAGGCTCTTCGGTATGAATCTTCGCACGTTATACATCCCGATTCAGGTAGTCTCATGATTTGTTGTCTTGTTCGACAGGTGGCGTCCGGTAATTCCATGCGCTATACCGCACCGCAATATTAACGGCGACGAGTATGAAGGTTATCATATCCCGGCTGGCTCAGTGGTGATTGGAAACATCTGGTAAGGACATTTTCCAGGGTCACTGGATGTTATTCACTGTGGTCGTACTAATACTATACGTACATGATATAGGGCTATTCTTCACGATGCGACGGACTATCCGGAGCCTGAGGCGTTCAAACCTGAGCGCTTCTGGGGTCATAATGGGCACACTCCAGCTCGCGATCCTCTGGCTACCGTGTTCGGCTTTGGACGGTACGTGATACACTGCTTGCCGATGCTCGCTCCTACGGATAATAATACTCTCCTATAACATCACAGGCGTGTTTGCCCAGGGTATGTCTCAGTTACGACTTTATCAAGCAATGAGAGAATGTAACTATGACACTGAAGATATTCCTTGTTCCCAGGAAGCATTTGGCTATGAACAGCGTATTCCTCGCCTTTGCCTCCATATTGGCCACCTTCACAATTTCTTGCGCGAAAGACGAGAGCGGAAACGATATAATCCCGTCGACGGTGTACACATACGGATCTACGATGTAAGATCTGCCCACCGTTTCTCATCGTTCCCCGCGCTTACTATGGTACTCTCAGACATCCTCAACCTTTCGAATGTGTATTCACTCCTCGCCCCGAGGCGGTAGAAATGTTGCAGAGAGCGGGTGAATTCTAATATCACAATCGCCTAGTGTTTTTTTGTCTTGACTGGCGTCTTCTGTGCATCGCAACTGTGTTTCAAAATCGTCCATGTGCCGAATTCATCTGTTGAAATTGGACATGTACGATAATGACCGGTATTCCTCTGCCAAGATGTTTCGATATACTGGGCTCCCCATGGGTATTCGCTAATATTTCTTGATTATGGATCATGTCTCTGATACTAGTGCTTCAACGAAAGGACGTGCAGTATCGTCTCAGTGTATGAAAATGAGGAGTGTTTCATTTGCTTCCGTAGAAGGGGAGAGGGAGGCGTAATAGAAATTCTTCACGGAAGCCGGGTTGAATCCCCGAGCACAATGGGCCAGTTAGCGATATAATAATGCTCGAAGCTGTCTAGACTGTTTGCCGCCGAGGTGGCGATATTGACAAGCCATGCTTGCTGGGGAGAAAATCCAGTCGCAACGTTGATAGAGCAAACGAAAAAAGACACGAATCGGACAGCGGGCATTGGGCTCATGACCACTGTAGGTCAGGATATTGAGTCACAAATTCTGGTTTGAATACGAAGAAAAGTGAGTCGTTGATATAGCTACTAGGCACCGATATGCCAGCATAGGGGTGCGCATAGCATCCGCATTAGTCGAAAGACTTGTCACAAGGAGAACTCGCGTAGTCGATCATCCCGTTCCAACGATCTCGCTTACTGCCGTTTGCATAGAAGACTGAACGCGCCGTTTTTTTCACGCCGGGCGTCTGATCTCTTCGTGACCGTGACGACGCGGTCCGTCGAGGCCCGACTATCTTTTTTTGGGCCACAGCGCGACTGCCGCTGTCGAGGTCGGTCAGTTTGCATGCCTAGTGACGCAGAGAGCGCGAGTTCAAGCTGTTTAAGCTCACAGACAGAGAACAGCTACCGGCTGCATCGAAGTCTGAATGTCGCCGTCGTTAGCTGGACCCAAGTTATTTCGGAAGACCTCAGCTGCTGATGGTTAAGTTCATCCTCTGTTTGACGCTGCATCTCGTACAGTGCTCTTTCATCGAGCATGCAACGGTATCCTTCGCAGAGAGTCATGAGACTATAATGACACCACTCCAAAGTGATCGTTATCCTGGCGTTCCCATACAGAGGTAATTTTCTACGACAACAACAGCTGTGGCAACCATAGCCCCAGTCTCGCCACTTGACTCGGTGTCCTCGGATAGCGCTGTCACGGTCACTGAGCGCCAGGCACCGCGCGCACAAAAAAAGGGCGCGTTCAGTCTTCTATGCAAACGGCAGTAGTTCCTGAACAAAGCTCAGAGTAAGCAACCAAGATTATATTGTAGTTGATGACAGCACAGTGGTTTGATGGATCATTGGACTTGAGGTAATCGAGACAGCGGAAATAGTAATCAATTGAGAGAGAGGAGAGCGCCCATTCACATGGAAGTTCGTGGGGGACAGCTCCATGGAATTAGCAAAATCGGGGGCCCACTATCCCGTCTTAGTAAGGGTTCCTCGGGTTGATCATCCCCTCGGTTGTTGATCGGCCTCAGAGAAAGTCTGCATCGCATAACCATGACTGTCAAACATGCACTGATTTGCTGCCGGTCTCAAAAGGCTTCAGTGCATCATCTGGTCATTCGCATTTCCTGGTATACATCCTCAGGTTCAGCTTCTCTCTCAGATCATTCTACGTGTTGCACATCATGCCATCCCTTCCGAAGACTCATGTGTTGTCCAGCACGACCTTCACCGCCCCACCTCTTCAGGACCAAACTCTCGCCCTGCCCGACCTATACGATTTTCACTTGGCTCGCAGTCCCAACCATCCTTTATTTGTATATGACGATGCAGGAGTGCTCAGAACAATCACTTGGAGAGAGGCCGTGCATGCCATGCATCGTGCGGCTTACTTCGTGAACGAAGTCGTCAAGTCTGACGGAGAGACCCGCCCTGCCCCCGTCGTAGCAGTGCTCGCCAGTACCGGTATGTGTACTGCTCGCAATTTTATTTCTACCTAACACTACAAAAAAAAACAGATACCGTCACCTACTTTTCTTTCGTTGTCGGGTGTTTAAGGGCTGGTTATACCGTGTTCACTATCTCTCCGCGAAACAGTGCACAAGCTGTGGCCCACCTTCTACAGAAGACCGTAAGATATCTATCTCATTTCTATTTCTTACGCAGTGATTAACTACTTCCATTCGTTAGGGGGCGCGCTATCTTTTCGTTAGCCCAGAGCCCGCGATTACGGCGCTTCATAAGGCAGCTTTAGAACAGATACCTGCGTCTTACGCTATCGGTACCGCGAAGATGGCGACTTTTGGTGATCTTTTCAAACCAGCCGGTTCTGCTATGGACTTCGTGTTATTTCCTGCTCGTTCGTATGACATGGACGGGCCTGCTTTGATTCTGCACTCATCCGGTGAGTGTTTGGTCGTTGAATGGGCTCTAAACGTCGGTCGCCTGAGCTCACCATAATACAGGATCTACTGCTTTTCCGAAACCAATTATCAGAAGCCATCGTGGTCTCGTACAATTGACCCACATACCATGTCAGTCTCCGAAATTATTGCTTCATGTACCGAGTACTTAGCGTTTCTTCAGGGTACGGTGAGGTAGATATGTGTGGCATGAGACTTGGGTGTCACGCCGTACCGGTACGTACTATCGTGCTCTACAATAAGTCGTGTATGCTCAACATAAATTTTAGATGTTTCACGGAATGGGTCTGCTCCAACTTGCTCTAGCGGTACGTCATATTTATCACACTCGTTACCGGACACTCAATGAACAGATGTCATTTCAGCCGTCGACTGGACTAGTTTTAGCCATGTACAAGCCCTCGATACCCGCAGTTGTACCGACCCCTGAGAACGCTTTCGCAGCAGCTATGGCTACAAATACCGAGCTATTGGTTTGTGCGCCAATGTTTCTCGAGGCGTGGTCTCGTACGCCGGATAACATCGAAGGCTTAAGGAATTTGAGAGGCATTGTAAGAGACACTTTTGAAAACTTCGTAGTTCTTTTTTACTGAGGCACCCATGTAGATGATCGGAGGAGGTCCATTGAACAAGGGTGTCGGTGATTCTCTCGCCAGTCAGGGGGTGGCGATCATTAACGCATACTCATGGTACGTTTATCTGCCTATTTTTTTATCTTCCGTGATTTTTTATGCCATGATTTTCAGCACTGAGTGTGGACAGATGAGTATGATGATCCCAGCAGGTACGTCACTAGCATCATGTATCATCATAAATTCTTATTATTTTCGTTGCAGCTCGTGCCGGAATGGACTGGGAGTACTTTCCGTTTTCCCCTCACGTCCAACCGACCCTCTTGCCCCAGCAGGATGATCCAACTACGTTCGAGGTTGTTGTCAAGGCAAGTCTTGCTATCCCTTTGTGCAGACCACAAATCCTAATTATACTTCGCCGCGACCAGAGTCATGAGCTATTGCGACCCATGACCATTAACACACAAGTCGATGGCAATGACGCATACGCTACATCGGATTTACTTCAGCAGCATCCGACAAAGAAGCACCTGTACAAGATATACGGGAGGGTCGACGACCAAATCATGCTATCCACTGGAGAGAAGGTATCTCAATTTACTTCTGCGCTTGCAGCCATATACTGACGTACCACATTCCCATTTTGTAGACGAACCCTGGCCCACTCGGTACGTTTTACAGCACTGAGAATGATTTCATTTGCCTCATTATGTATCACAGAGACGATTTTGTGTCAGGACCCTAAGGTTCAAGCCGCAGTGATATTCGGACGTGAGCGACCCTTCAACGGTGTCATCCTTGCTCCCCGTCCCGAGTTCGTCTTCGACCCTCAAGATGGCGAAGCACTTGCTGCGTTTAGAGATTCTGTTTGGTACCCTCTATTACTCCCTGCATTCGACCTTGGCGAGCGGTACTGATGTTGTTACATAAGGCCCACTATAGAAAGGATGAATTCATACGCGCCGACCCATTCTCGACTGTTCAAAGAGGTAATTCCATCATATTAAACCTCGTTCAGATATGCCGCTGACACCAAGAATTTATTTTGACAGACAATCCTCGTCGAGTCCCCCTCCAAACCGTTCTTATACACAGCAAAGTCCACTGTTCGCCGAGCTCTGGTTATCTCCGAGTACAGTGCAGAAATCGAGGAGATGTACTCGTCTTTCACCGTCAGCACGGTACCGCTTCCAGACTCGTGGACTGACGATACGGTGAAGACGTTCGTTGGGGAGACGGTCGCTCACGCTATGGGACGCAATATGGATCCCCAAGCCGATCTCTTCCAGCATGGTTGTGACAGGTATATACCATTGATCTATGCGATTCGTAACCTGCTGTTACTTATTGCGAGTGTCGTTCAGTCTCAAGTCGACGTGGATTCAGAACGCCATAAAGAGCGCAGTGGCCAAATCGACCACATCCTCCCTCGCCAGCCGCATTCCCAGTAGCTTGGTTTATACCTACCCGACAGTCGCAGCTCTAGCCAACTATACATCGACGGTCATCAATACTGCTGACTTACCCGCCGGTCCTGACGATGTTGCCGCCAAAGCCGCTGCAGCCCTCGAGACTCTGAAACGATTCACACTCAACTTCCCTGCTAGGCCTACCGACCTTCGGGTTTCCCAGCCGTCTGGAGACGTAGTCATGCTTATTGGGAGTACGGGTGGACTCGGTTCATGTCTTCTCTATCATCTCGCTACGTCCCCGAGGGTGGACCGGGTTTACGCTCTGAACCGCAAATCCCCAGCAGGAGAAAGTCTTCTTGAGAGACAGAAACGGTCACTTCGGTGGGCTGATGTGGATATCCTTGGAGGAGGGAAGGTCGTACTCCTGGAAGCCGAAGTCAGCGAGTCCGAATTCTCATTGAGTCCCAAAGTCTTTGGAGAGGTAAGAATAAAACTTGTACCTTTTTAAGCTCTCCTGATAATTGATTGATATGATTTCTCATACAGATGCACTCATCCGTCACCCATATTATTCACAATGGTGGGTACAACAACTTACTGTATTCGATCACTCATCTAATTTCTTTCTCGTAGCGTGGCGTGTCGACTTTAACTCTGCGCTTCTGTCCTTCGAGACCAATATCCGCAGTGTTCGCAACCTCGTAGATTTTTCGCTTTCTTCGTCTCTTCAAGATCCGCCTCGACTTCTGTTCATCAGCTCTGTCGCCGTATTCAACCGTAATAACTCCTTCAGTTATATTTTACCCATGCTGCATTACTAACTCTCCTTACTAGGTCCCAAGAGTCGCGGCATTTGTCTAGAGAAATCCGTCGACGACGCTACCATTCCCGTAGGTACAGGATACGGAGAGGCGAAATGGATTGGAGAGCAGATCTTGATGAAGGCAGCGGCAGAGACAGATTTGAAGCCCACCGTCGTCCGTCTCGGTCAAATTGCGCACACCCCGGATGTATACTGGAACGAGCGCGAGTGGTTCCCGCTCATCGTCAAGTCCGCACAGTCTATCAATTGTCTTCCCGACTTACCTGGAGTACGTATCATTTCGTTTTACGGAATGGAGTTGTAGCTGATTGACCCCCTAATATTAGGCCGTTTCGTGGTTCTCAGCGTTCGGTGGTGCAAAGGCTATCACAGAGATGCTCTATGGTGACCGACCTTTCTTACATTTGGCGCACCCACGTCCTACGGCTTGGTCCACGATCATGAAAGAGTTCGCCAAGCACCTCAACGTCTCCGTCGTTCCATACACCGAATGGCTCTCTGCACTTGCTGCCGACCTGAAGAAGAGCCCGAACGGAATCTCTCAGATCGAGCACATGAGACGTAATCCGGCCCTCAAGCTTCTCGAGTTTTACTCTGACGCGGACCTCGATGAGGATAGGGAGCCTCTAGGGATTGTGAGGTTGGGGATTGATGAGGCCTTACAGGTATCCAAGACGTTAGCTGAGATGAAACCTTTGGATGGAGATTGTGTGTCGGGATGGTTGTCGGCGTGGAACAAGAGCGGTTTCATCGTTCTTTGAGCCATGGCTAGGTCGTTCATTCAACTGAGCGAGTAACGTAGCTTTCATGAGATATGGACAACACGCTTATTCTATAGATCATTACCTGAATCAATTTACGTTCTCTGTCACTTTCCAGCTCTTGCCATGGTTGCGTAAAGTTCGTATGTGATATTTGTTGCAGGTCCTACTTCAAGTGTTCACGAAGGTCGTCGACTACGTTTTGGAGAAATTCCCACAGAAAGAGGGAGGTCACACTACGTTGAGTGTAGGTACATAATTGTGCCCTATGTTTTCGCGCATTCAAACTGTTCCTACCATTCAAGAATGTGTAAGGCCCAACAATCACTCTGTTCTGATCCTCTTTGTTGTTCCGTCAAGGTTGCAAGGGGGTGGATTGTCAAGTCAAAGGAAAGATGAGTGCCAAGTTATATGTAGGTACGTGGCACAACGCTAGGATTATCTATTCACAAACACGCTGAAGACTCGTCGCCATGTCTTGAATAGAGGACTCCAAATCACGAGCAGTTTGTTTCATGACTCTTTTAACCCCGTGCGCCACTAAACCTTTCATGACCGCCACAACTTCGTACTTTGTCTGTCCATCCTCCTCCGTCAGCATATGCCACTGTTCTGCACCGAACATGACACCGCTACCCTCAGATCCCCACGCAAGCATGAACATCTCACGGTCTACATACTTGATGTGTTCAGTCATGTCCGTAGTCTTGATAGAGTCGTCCATACTGGCGGGTATGTGGGTTTTGAGAAAAAGGTAGTGACCTTCTGAGAGGGGGACAGAGGGGGCGAGGGGCTTCTTGTTTGAATCTAGAGGACTCGCGGAGCGACTGAGGAAGAAACCAAATGAATTTCTGACATTGTGAGAAAGGACTTCGTTTCGGCACTTGCTTGGATATAGTACTTACATATGCGGGTTCCTAGCATTACGGAAACGCCATAAGTAACGGAGTGAAGTCGATGTTCAGGACATGCACTCACCATGAATGATAGGACGAGAAGTCCAAAAGAGTGTCCCACACCTTCTCTCTTGGAGCATTTATGGACGCAGTGGCAGAGAAGTAAAGCGGCCACTCTGAAGCAGTGGGTGGTGAGGGAGGCATAATCGACCGCTTGGCAGGTTCGTACAAGGGAGAATGATTTGTGACAGCGTCCGAAGAACACTGAACCACAGGGATTGGAGGGAGAGTGGGAGGGTGGGAGAGGGAATGAGAGAGCGCCGCGAAGAGTTGAGTGATGCTTACGCGTCCACTTACTAACAGGGGAGACGTTAGCGCTATACTGTGAGACTTTGCGTGGCCGCATTTGGGCCGCATCAAGCGTAGATCAGTTTCCTACTTCAGACATGCATACAGATAGGCTTAGCCGATGGGGGCGGCAGTAAAGTCAGCGTTGTGACCTCGAAGTCGATCGCCCCTTTTCAGACTTCCCGCCGAAAACAGATGTGCGTCCGATAACACCAACTAGACATCACTTCTCAGACTGAGCTTATGACTCTTAAAATTAGCATTATCTCACGTAATTATAGTTTCTCAGAGCGTTTCAACAACAATGTCGACCATATCTCATGTGTTATATTTAAAATCAATCGCTTTACACAGGAAATTCTGAATCAGTCTTGTAGTGAAATGGGACTATCCTTCAATTTATGTTTTCCTCACGGGGCTATGCGGACGCTCTGAAATGACCGAGAATCTCCGCAGGATATGTATTTGGGCGCTACGCCACTGCCTCATGCTTCCCACTGACGAATGATGATAAACGCCAGTTTTGCGTTTGGGCACAATTCCCCTTTCAGATATTGGAAATCACCCATTGAGGATGCTGACTGTTGGCTCGGAGACCCCAAGGACTGCCGCATTATTCAATGTCACGATGCTACGCTACGGTATCTCCGTCGCAATGATGGAACTGTGATAGTTTCGCCAACGCTCATTATCCCCTGACGAGAGGCGGCGAGCAAATTAGCAATCCGCATCAAACTCCAGACCATGGGCAGTACGGCGCCACCGTACTCTTTATCTGACGTCGAGACTCGTCCGTGCCGACCAGGTCACCCTCGTTCTATAGTCCCCATCTTCCGTCCACACCATGTCTGCCAGTTTCTCTAAGTCGTCTCCGACCACCCTTCCCCCCAAAGTGTCTATTGTGTCACCGTGGCCCCTCAATTACCTTCCTCAAGCATTGCAACCATATGCAGAACTCATGCGGCTTCACAGAGTAAGAAATTATTCCAGATCAAGCTCTGCGCCAATTTTATTGCATGGAAGCTAATTTCGTGTTGTAAAAGCCATCTGGCATCATCCTTGTCTTTTGGCCTTACGGTATGTTTCATAATTTCTCTGTGACGTACGAGATTTTATCTAATAGTTGCTTGAAAGCGTTCACGACGACTCTGGCTGCGTACACTGTCGCCCTCCCGATTCAAGAATATTGGGCAATACTTGGCAGGTTTCTCCTCGTCAGTGCTATAGTTCGCGGGGCTGCATGCACAAGCAACGACATTCTTGATCGGGACGTGGATGCTGGTGTTGGTCTGCATAATTCAACTATTCTCCATTTCTTCGTGCGCTGACTTCATCTCTTTCAGAGAGAACAAAAACCCGACCGTTGCCCAGTGGACGCGTCTCTGTCATTTCAGCATGTCTTTTCGTTCTTTTACAGGCTGCCGTTTCGTGGTATTCGTTTTTGCCTCTGAATCCTCTAGCGTGCGTAAACTACTTCGTATATGAATGTGTAAGACTTATCCACCGATTTAGATTCAAGGCCTCCGTGTTTCATCTCGTTTCTTTGTATGCTTTCCTGATGATTATACCACTTCATTGCCATTAAACATCTCATGTTCCCCCAGATCCATTTTCTACCCCATCATGAAACGGGTAACAGACTTCCCTCAGGCTTACCTTGGCTTCTCGATGGGTTTCGGATCATACGTAGCCTGGACTGCGATTACTGGAACATCGTCAATGAAAGTTATCGTTCCCATGATTTTCGCGTTCGTCTGGTGCGTTTCTATATCGTAGTTAAAAAATGATTCGAGTTATTAATCATCCTCTTACTTAGCTGGACTTTGCACTTTGACACGATCTACGCTTGTCAAGACAGAAAGGACGATATCAAGGTCCGTTAAGTCGCCTCTATCATATATTCTTGTGTTCTGAGAGTACGTCAATGTTCCTATCACTGTCAGGTCGGTGTGAGATCGGCAGCGGTACTTCTCGGGGACAGCGTCCTCTTGTTCACCTCCCTGTGTGCTTCCCTTCTCGTTGTGCTCCTCGCCTACGTCGGTATCGTAAATCAGCAAAGCATCCGATTCTTCGGCATATCGGTGGCAGGATCCGCTCTACATCTCATTTGGCAGTACGCAACTCTCGACGTCCACGATGGGAAGAGCTGCATGTGTGAGTAACCATTCTCGTATAATACATTACATTTGAAATTTATGAGTTCCATTCTTCCAGTGAACTTCACTCGCAACGGACAGATGGGGTGGATCAGTACGTTGTCATTCGTTTTATTTCAGTGATGTGTTGATGATCTGATTTTATGAACTTGCATATATACAGTCTGGGGAGGAATGCTGCTCGACTACTTCGTCAAACTTGGGGTTATTACCTTCTAATGTACTGAGGATATGAGATAGGGTCACGTACCCTATGCCTGATGTGTCTCTAAGATACTCTATCCGCTTCCTTCGTAGATCTATTCTGCGTTTACCTCTTTCTTCAAGCATACAGGGATTTTAGATAAACACTCTCATTACGTATCCAACAGTGTTAACCTGTTCTACGTACTATTTATATTCCGGCCATGGATAATGTTTGAATTCTTTCCTTCTCGTAGGTCGTAAGCTCTTCCAACCTATCACTTGTGTGATGTCTGTACATGCATATTCAGACATTGTCTTAGAGCTTGTCAAACATTCTTGGTTGGATCATATGGTCGCAGACACTGGTTCTAGCGCAGACGTCACGATTTTGTTGTGCGTGTATCATTGTCGCTACAAGAGCAACTCTTGCCCTGAATACTAGTGAATACTCGTGTCAAGCCTAGGTAAGTCATCATCGTTGTTTGTGTACACAGAGACTTCTCCTCCTCAGTGTGGATCTCTGTGTTTTATCACCATTCACGAGACCGCTGATAACTAATGGCGCCCTAGATATTCATAATGCCCGAGGTATTACAGCGCTCAGGGCTCTTATACTCACAAAAGGAGAAATCACTGACTGGACTAGCCAAACATTTCGGTCATGATTTTCACGCCGTTGAAACCGTGCCACAAACCCGTTTCCCATCGCAAGTCTGATCTCGACACCCCGCTAGATCCAATGGAAATATCCGAAGCAAAACAGAGTCTTATTCACGCCCGAGGCGATATCTCAACTGGGCGGTTGTAGCTGTAGTACTCGTACTAGATTATGATACCGGTATTTGAGTTTGACCGACCAATACTAAGTATCAAGGAAATCGACCCGGGAGTATTGCATTGTAAGCCACTGGCAATCTGATGGAGCACACACTTGCGAACATTGAGGCGTTATGGTAGGATATCTCTTGAGCAGAGCATCAAGGACGCGCACAGCCCTGAGTTACACTTCTCTTTACACAAATTTTCCAACCTCATGAAATCTTGACAGCGATCATGGACTACACCGAGATGTACATGGGTGCTGACCCAGCAGTTGAAAATATGGAGGTCGAGCACGACAACGATGGCTCGCAAGAAATTCGGTCTCCGACGCTTAGCTCTTTCCTATGTACCCAGGCAAGCTTGGAACGCCATGGGGAACGTTTACATTGACTTGTGGCTAGGTCAAAACACGTCGGGTCTCCTAAGTCGTTTGAGTGGGCAGATGTTGAAGTATATTCTCAGTCCTAGGACGTGACGGAAGATACCTCTTCTACTCATTGTCACATCTGATCCTCACGGCATCATTCTCAACACACTCTTGTCTTGAGTGGTATGTACACCTCCGAATTCGAATCAATGGTATAGCATAACGAAAAGAGACAAAAAAATACTCAACCATGTCCGTACATCATCCACAAGAACGAGAACAAGGAAACGCGTCGTGAGTATGTGGCCAGTGCTGTGTAAGCTTCAAGCCCTATCACATGAAAAATCGTAAACAGATCATGACCCTACTTCAAAAACTCTCGAGCTGCTCTTCGCAGAATGCCCAAAGCTTCTTCGCAAGCTCAGGATCGTCCGCCATCTTACTCGCCTTCGACCGCCTCGCATATGCCGTCAAATACTAGTTATCGAACAGCCAAAACAATCAGCGCCCATGCATACCATACTTTGTAAGACACCGTAGTGTAATGGAGGAGAAGAGGAATAGGGACTGACCTCTCCATTGAGCTCGAGCGCCTGTGGCGCGGTGCCAGCGAACAGCTGTGTGATTGCGCCGTGTGCTGTGTCGGTGAACACGGCCCTCATGGCTCCCGCCACGAGCGGATTGAAGTTGCGCTGTAGTTCGGTGCTGACGAGACCTGGAGCAAAATTATCAATACGATGGATATTGAGATGGGAATGAAATGAACGTGTCTGGCGGAACTAACCTGGATGCAGCGAAATCGAGACGATCCCCTTGCTTCCATACCTCCTCGCCAACTCTTTCGCAAACAGGACCTGACCCTAGAAATGTACCTCCTCAGTATCTTCCAAGACGAGCACCATGTAATGAATAAAACTTACAAGCTTGCTTTGTCCATACAGCTGGAACTTTCCCATCTTCTTCCTCATCGGCAACGCCTTATCCTTGTCTCTCTGCATGGACTCCCAAACAAGACCAGCAGAGGGCGCCATCCCGTCATGTGAATTCGATGATGTGTGGACAACGCGAACCCGGTGTCCTGATGCGGCTGCCGACTCGGAGGCGGCGGTGCGGGTGAGAACGGGAAGGAGAAGAGTTGTGAAGAAAAAGGGACCTGCATATTCAGTAACACAAAAATGGTTGTGCCACAAGTGAGTATCTGTCAGCAATGTATTCTCGGAATTTTAGAAAGCAGACATACCAAGGCAGTTCACTCCGAAGCTCGCATCGTATCCCTGTGCCGTCAGATCCTCGAGGGGCGCCTGCATGATACCTCTGTGGAGATAAGCCGGTCGATGAATGATCAGAGCGCAATAGATGGAAGCAGCTGTGACCATGACATACCCGTTGTTAAACACGACATGCAGCTCAGGCTCCTTCTCCATGAACTCTTCTGCCGCGTGCCTCACTGACGGCAAATCCGCAAGATCAAGCTTGAGCCAGAATATCTTGTCTTTACCCGTACTGGCCTTGAGTTCCGTGATCGCGGCCTTCGCTTTTGCTTCGGACCGCGCGGCCATATACACGCGTGCGTTTTTCGACAAAAGGACCTGATGATATGCGACAGCCATTTAAAACCATAAAACCAGGGTGCGATCAGTTTCATTATAATGCGTCGAGATGGTCAGTCGAAACGAAGAGGGGCAGTTGAATCGAAAGAAAGCATGGTTCTTTACGCACCCTACAGGTCTCCTTTCCTATTCCAGAGTTTCCGCCAGTGACGATGATGGTCTGCCCAGTCAGGTCGGGGACATCTGCACTAGTCCAGTGAGGTTTAGGAGGGAAGACCTCGCTGAACGTTCCAACACGGCCTTCAGCCAAGGGGTCGGGTGATTTGCAAACTTGGGGCATGTCGACGAGAGAGCGATCTATGGATGGGGCTTCAGAAATGAACTATGGAGGGTACAACAACGCTTGATGTGTGCGGGCGAGGCATACTTCTTTATAGCCCGAGGCCTGCAGTTCCAAGTGCGGTAGGTCTCCATCACGAAGTTGTTAATCGGCCAATGCCAAGGATCGTCTCACAGATGTGTAGACTGAAATGACCGCTCTATCATCGATCATATACGCATATAGAATCGATGTAGAGGCCTTTAGTCTTCTTCAGTAAAGCCGTTCGACGCGTGTTCACGCGGCAATCTATTGTTGCAGCTCCTGACGGGTTCCAGGGAGGACCAGACTGGCTGGTGACGGCGCTTTGTTGGATAAATCAGGAAGGCTGTGGCCGCCCGGTACTGATGACAAATGAACTGACTTGTTGACACATCACAGCTGACTCACGATCAACAATGTCAGCGCTGGGATTCCTCCAGTACTAGTCTTCGCTCTGCATCGATCATTTCTCGACAATGGGCTGCAAATAATCATTGTGCGCTCGAGGTACGGCTGATAATAACTAACTGAGCTCAGAGAAAGATGTATCAAGAGAAACAGAGCCTCGCTCAGGTGCACGGTAAACAGCAATTCTATCCTATTCTATCGTTCCTGCATCACTTGGGCATCACTCTCTGTAGTCTCTTTGACACCCTGTGACTCGGAGATCAGGTGATAGCCCCGAGAGTAAGCATTCACTGTGGACGTTTACTCACTGCCTTGTATCGTCATTCTTGTCAACACCTCCGAGCAACGATGCAGGAGCAATCGACATTAGACCGTATCTGCAGCCCAAAATATGAATGGGGACTTGAGAATATCAGTCTTTCTCCTGAAAATTTGAAAGTTTGGAGCGATAAAACAGGCGTGGAGCGAAGGTCTCAAATGGCGGTCGGAGGCCATCCGAGCCAATCACAACGCGCAGACAGTGCGTTTCCGGCTTCCTACGACTTTTGAACGTCCAGCTTCGGTTATTTTCGAGTCTGCTGATAAAAAAGTGAGTGATTCTTCTGTTAAGAAATCTCTCATATTCTGGGCTGCAGATACGGTCTATTCCCGGGAGGAAATCGAACGTACGGTTTGAACGTGATCGGTGGTAGGCTGATTGATACGTTCCTTGTCTTACAACCAACTTACAACCAATTATGCCCATCCCGGTCACAAAGGTCTTGACTGTAAGCCGCTGGTGATTGTCCAAGTTATTGCTGGTTGCATATATAATGAGAATCCGCGCGTCTCGGAAAAGAAAAGTTTGCGATAAGAGGTCTCGCTCGGGGAGCGTCGGACCGACCGGCAAAGAGCGTGGGGAGGTCGCGGGTTCGAGCCCAGCGAAACCACTCGAACCCGGTAAATATTGCACTTTGTGCGCCACGCTCAGATCAAGAGAATGAGTGACCCACATTTTCTATAAGTATTTAGAGCCTGACATAATTATCTGAATGCATACCATGGGTAGGGAACATTCGCGGGAAGAGCACTATAGGTAGGGCTGCAAGAATTCTCTGGGTCTGGTTTGAACCTGCGACCTCCCCAGGCTTCTCGCCGGCCGGTCCGAGCGAGCTCAGAGGCAACCTCTCGTTGCAAACTTTCTTTTTCTTTCGCCGCGGATTCTCATTATTTATGCAACCAGCAATAAAGGGAGTCGTACCTGGTACGCTCTTTTTTGGCTGAACACTCACTTGGGATATTATGAGAATCAGTCGAGGAGAGCCTACTACATAGGCCGGCATCTTGTTTTCCAGTCAGCTGCTCTCCCCAATCCGGCGCTTCTCAGTGATCTGAAGTGCAAAAGCTCTGTATTTCGAAGCCTCATTCGACGTTTGCCTGAATACTAGAACCATAATGGCCACCATATTGAGCTGGGCATGCTGCCACAAAGAAAACATTATATCATATTACGAAGACGAAATTTATGTAAACAATCCGTGGAAACCAAAGTCGAAAGGTATGATGAAAAGAGCGGTGTTGGTGATCTTATTGATCCTTCCATAAATAAAAGGGGAAGTAGCTCATTAGTTGGTATTGTAGCGCCCATCAGCCTTCTTGATCAGATCGGCAGCGCGTTCAGCGACGACGTACGTCGGGGTCTGAGTGTGCGCGGACGGGATGAAGGGCTGAAAATTTTCAATCAGCACCACTGATGCGGAGGGAGACATTCGAGAAAAATACTGACGAAGATAGTCGAATCCACGACCCTCAACCCGACCGTCTGCTTCACCGTCAAATCCGAGTTCAATGCTCCGCTTCCCAAGCTCGTGTCGTTGCCCGTCTTGCCCATCGGCACTGTGCACGACGCATGGGCGTTCGTGAACGACCCGGCTCTCACGTACGCATCAATCTCGTCGTCCGTTTGGGCCTGTGCGAATGATCCGTATTCGCCTGTGATCCAGTCGGACCATGCAGGCGCGGCGACGAAGCGCCGGGCAGCCTTGATGGCTTCGCGCATGGTGAACACGTCGATGTCGGTGGCGAGGAAGTTGAGGTCGATGATGGGGTATTGGAAGGGGTCGGTGCTGTTGATAGTGACGGACCCACCTGGAGGGGGAGAGCTCGGAACGTCAGGAAGATGCATCAGTATGCAATTGAGTACAGTGACGACTCACGGGAACTGACAGACACGGCACTGACAGTTAACGAGAAGAAGCTCCCGTTTGCAGGTGCCGGCTCCGTGAACGAAATGAAGCTATCCTGAACATCCAAATACCACACAACTTGTCAGCGTAAAATACAAAGGTAAGTATGCGACGCTGCTGACCGCAAAGCCAAGCTCCATTTGAGCGGACGTAGGTCCCGCACTCGGATCAGTCTCGTTTTCATAGATAGACGAGTTGGATGGCAGCCTCAAGAATGCCCATTGATTTCCAGCAGAGATGACGTCCACTCCGGTGCGGTTGTTTAGCCATTGCTCGAGAGCCTCGGCCTGGAGAGTGGTGTTGCGGTTGTACACGTCAAGTGTGTCGTTAGAGCTGACGGTCCAAACACCAGTCGCGAGGGGATGGTCCTATCGAATCGCGCTTATGATTAGCGAGGTCTGGTGTCCGGATATATCGCAGTGAGTAACTTGCCTGCATGTTGGTTCCGACATCGGGCAGATCGACAATGGTCTCTACGCCAGCAGCGGACAATACATCCGTGGGGCCGATACCGGACAACAAGACTTTCACAACCAATAGTATCGGTCATGTAAACACCGGGCGGTGAGTAAGGAATGTAGCTCACGGATCTGGGGCGTCTTGAAGGATCCGGCCGACAGGAGGACTTCGCGAGTCGCGTTCAATGAGTAGACAGGGCCTGAGAGAAGGTCAGTATGTTCGTATGTTATATAGCATTGTGCGAGAAAAGATGGGGAAGCACATACTAGAAGCACTCTGCGCAAACTCTACACCTGAGAATACCGGGAGTCCGTTCAATGTTCCAGTCTGTACGATCTTCGTGACTTGGGTGTTGACTACAACGTCAAGGTTTGAGCGATTGAGAACGGGAGCGATATAATCCCTCGCCGAACTCGACCGTGCACCATCCGAAATCTGTGCATAATAGCCGATCAGAAAACGGTCACAGAAACACGCAGTACGAGGATAAATACCGTGGTCTGCGACCAACCTAGAAGATCATGATCGTGAGCAGGCAATAATGGACAAGACATCACTGTCAAACTTACTGAGTCCAAGAGGGCTACCAGAGTTGACGTCAAGGTTAAACGGGAATTCCTCCGAAAGCTGGGCAGATGCATTCAGAACTCTGCTATCCGTCGACAAAGGGAAACCTGTCAAGCTCGTCTGGAGCGGTCCTGTGCGCAAAGGGGGCCATCAGCTGTCATCATAACGTCTTGACACGAACCGCTCTCACCTTTGTAACCGTGGACGGCAGGATTGTATTCTCCGCTGACGTTGGCGTGACTGGAGGGCTCAGTCAGGTTCTCCAGCTAGCGTTATATGCAGACGAGAGTATCAGGAAACCAAGTAGATCATCTCGATTTGGGGCGGTGCATCACTGACCTTGATCATGTAAGGGTAGAGGTTGTCCCATGACCATCCATCATCTCCCGTAACTCTGGCCCAACGGTCGTAATCATCTCGAGCAGCGCGAGTGTACCCCATGAAGTCTATCAATCGTATTCAACATAGCATCCACTGGCAGATGAGCGCAACGCTTACTGATGGATGTAGAACCGCCAAGAACAAAGCCCCGAGGGTAGGACAGCGTACGATTGTCCAGGCCGGGAGACGGGGTAGTCGTGAAGTTCCAAGACTAGCGTAGAAACATCAGTACGGTTGGTATGGCTCGGAAACAATAAAATAAAATCCAACATACGAATGGCGAGTTACTCAATGGTCCGGCCCCGAGCCGAGGGACTAAGATCTCTTGGTTGTTGTAGTCGCTGCAATAGAGTGTCAGCGCAACATCAACCAGGAGCCATGATGCTATGCGGACAGGAACCAACCTTCCTCCCGCCTCGATCAAGAGAACTTTAACTTCAGCAGACTCAGTCAGCCTGTTGGCAAGCACGCCACCACCGGCTCCAGCTGCAAGGTTCCAAGCACAAGGGTGAAATCAGAATTTCTGATGTGCCGGCTAATTGTCAGAGAGAAATTATTTACCTCCGACGATAATGTAGTCGTATGTCGCATTTTGAGAAAGGCCTGACGGGTCCTGGTAAAGCGTGGCGAACGCAGAGGTGACGAAAGGAAGTAATCCCAAGAATGAAGGGCGGTATGAGAACATGATGGTAAAGTGTCGTGCGAGCCTCCTCAGGTAGCCAACACAAAAAGAAAGACAGGTAAGCTGGTCGTTTATTACGCTGTAGGTGGCGACTTTATATTGCTACGAAGGTGGCGTATAAGGCCAGTCATCCTGTGCTGTCGAGGTCGTCGCTGATCACCGTGAAACAATGGAGCGAATATAATTACAGTGTCCCTCGGGCCTGCTAGCTCAAACTGCGCCGGTCATCCAACAAAGCATACCTTCTAAGAGCAATGGGGCAACGAGGAATTATTTTGTAGAAATTCCCGCCAATCCACACAGCCTGCGTAATCCAAATACTGGTGCTGTTCTCCATGTGATGGCCCTGGCTCGGAGTCGTTACCTTAAAAATGCACCTACTCAGGTGAGCCATGCATCGGACACCGTGGTGAGGATGTTTATTTCCGACCAAGAATGCTAGGCCTGTCGTATCATAGAGTGTATTCCTTTACTCCCTGTAAGGTTTATTGCGACTGGTTTACGATGACCCACCTGGACAGGGGGCATTCCCCAAAAAGGGTTCTCAGGTGAAAAGACCCCAAAGTCCCGAGTGGGGGTATATGCGACTTGCGACAGTTCTTGCGCAACGCCGAAAACAGGCACGGTGTTCAGTAAACCAGACCATAAGGAAAGGTCGGAAAGGGTGCTATATCTGCACAGAGAGCATGAGCGACCGTGGGCGAAATTGCGCGCTGACGGAAGTAAAGGCGTCCCAAGCGAGTCGGTGTAGCCGCCAGCTACTGCATGCATTTGATGCGCTGATGTGACATCGGACACGACTTCCCTGGCGGTTGAGCAACGATGATCGACAGTGAATCAACCGTTGATCAGCAATTGCTCAATAAGGTGGATTCAGTAATGCCCAATCGTGTGTTGTAAGCAGGCGAAGAGCGCTGAAGCAGGCTCGAGCTCTATGCTCTGGTTATTTGCATTGCACCCATGCATGTTACCATAAAGCCTATGATCTGATCAGGTCTGAGCTTAATAGATTAGTCCATGGAGGTATTGTAGCGCCACACACGTTCCGAACTGAGTGCGACGACCGCCCTTTATGTTTTAAAAGTAGACGCCTCTAATTCCGCTCTAGATCATTCTGACCATTTGTTGGCGTTTGTAATAACACACGGCATGTCAAGGGTGCGACAACAATAACAAGGGCACTTGTCCATGACAACTGTCTGGAAGCTCAGTTGAGCCTATACAATGTAGAAGTGTCAGCATCCCCAAATCGTGGGGAAGCCCAGACTTCCGTGCCCGTTGTAATTCCGAACGGCTCACCTGAGCATCGTCCATGAGTCGTACATAGTTCGGGACGTTTTGTACCAGACATCTGACATAAACCCTCTCGATATCTTATAGTATCGAAATGGCTCAATTGAGGATAAGAGACCACCGCCAGCAGACAAGCACTTGAACCACAACGAAATGACGGTACGGCACGTACCAACACTATGAGTGAGCTGAACGGGCGGCCTTCGACGGGCACCATAAGACCAGTGGATTATCGGCGGCGACTGACGAGCCTCTACATCGGTAGTGATGTTCTTGTCATGGATGGAGGTGAGAGGAACAGCGTTACAGACTTGAGTGAATCGAGGTCTATCAATCGAGTTATCCGCGCCTGAGGAAGTGCTGATTCGAATCTTGGGTATGAACCACCTCCCCGCAACAAATTTCGGAAGCCAGTCTCTTACAGCCAGGATCGAGGATATTGGGAGCATCGAGAACGGTGGCAGACCATCGTAGCACCAGTATGTGGTCGTCTCTGGACAAGTTCGCGTCGCCTGCGAACGTCCTCCGAAACTTGAAAAACTGCTTTTATTAGGTAAGGTGGCGAGTGTGGCCCATCTGCCTATGATGTTCTTGCACTGCCATAAGCGGCCATTCTCCCCGAGTTCGAAGGTCACAAGTGTTTCTATAAAGCGTTTCTCACTTAACAGTGTACCGCTAACCAACTACATGGTTGAAACGTCCAAACGTGATCGGAGTAATAAGTGATACGCAAAACCCACCCCACCGAAAAACATTTATAGAAAACAGCTAGATACCCCGACGCCGAAGTCTCCACCTCCAGGCCAGCCCAGAGACCTCCCAGAATAATTCTGCTCTCTCTCCTTCTCCCGCATCCGCATCGTGTGATGTTTATTCCCTTGATGCCACCTCCTCCATTCAACAACTCCAAAGCGACTGTGCCCGAACCGGCCTCTACTACCGCGATCACTGTCGTGGCGTCGAATGACCACGATGTAAGGAAGGGAGTGAACCATGCCGCAATCTTTTGAGGATTATGCCTTACGAGACGGTCAAAATCGAGTGGATTGAATGGCACGGACGAATCGATCAGTTTTTTTGGGACGGGGTTGCGGGAGAGATTTTCTATCGGAAGGAGAGGAAGAGATAACGGCGGGATGTCGGACGACCAGGCGCGGCGGGCGAGAAAGAGTAGTCACCCAGGAAAGTCATGTAGATGATGTATTGCAGAAAAACAAAGACGAAACTATTACCCGTACCACATGTCATAAGAAAACACACTCTCCTATTCATCCCAAGTATAGCCAGCAGAGCAGCCGCCTCTATGAATCCGTAAAAATAGTCCGAGACCGAACAGTGACAAGAATGAAACTACAACGACTCCAAATATGCACACCCCTCGGCCATCAGCTTGGATACCGTTTTAATCTAATCAATGGGAAGCACGAAGCAGAAAAAGGTCAGGACGGCTTCGCGGAGAATACGTAGATATAAAAAAACACTCACGTTCTCGGTATCGAATGTCTGGAAGTGGTCCCCTGGCATCTCGCAGATCTTCAGACGCTCACCAACCAACGACCGCCAGCCTTCAACGATCTTCTCTGGATCACTGCGATCAGTGATGAAGGGGTGCGCGCCAGGGATCTGCAAGCCTTCGGCGGCGCGAAGATATACGAGACGCGGGACTGGTCCGTTGGGATCGAAACCCTCACAGTACCGACTGAGCATGCGAGCACTCGCGACGAATTGCTTCCTGACGAAGCCGATCATGTCTCCTGTTATGGGTGCACCCCTCCGTTTGGTGACCCAGTTGAACTGGTCTTCGGTGATAGGGACGTGGTTGTTGGGAGGTGGGCTGTCGAGGAGGATAACACCGGTGACGGTGACTCCCTCACGCATGAGCCGCCGAGCGATATCGAATGCGATGACACCGCCGACACACCAACCTAGATGTGACTTGTCAGTTAGTCTATTTTAGAAGTTGAGATGAACCAAGACACTCACCGGCGAGAACAACGGGTTTGGATGGTGCCGCACGCAAAATATAACCCACGTACTCGGCCGCCATCTCCTCCAAGGATTCCCAAGTATCGGGTTGGAAGAAATAAGGGTTGTTGATGCCCCAAACATCGCGATCAAGGGGCAGGAGACGTTTGGTGTAGTCGATACGTCCTCCTCCGTCGTGGATAACGAACAATGACGCTCTGTCGGGGATCGTGCTGTGCTGAATAGGAGTGGCGGCGTTGGTGAGACCCATCGTCTCCGCGAGGGCTTGTAGTTTGGGATCGAGCGCGACCTTGCGAGATACCTGGTCGGAATCAGGTTTCTTGTTGGTGTACGACGAGACGAGCGATTCGATCGCGGTCACCGTGCGACAGGTTGAGAAGCGATCCATCGGAAGAGTAATGGAGTACTGTGGGGTACGAAGGTAAGATGAGATAGTGCTCGGGAAAATGTAACGAAAAACGCACCTTCTTCTCGAGCTGGGATCGTACCTCAAGGGCTCTCAAAGAGTCCATACCTAAGAGCTCGAGGTCGTGCTCGTCCGCAATGTCTTCATAGGGAACACCGAGGACCTGAGCAACAACAGACTTCACGCCAGCCTCATGCTCACTGGTGGAACTTCCGATCCCCGAGTCAGAAACCGAGGCATCATGCGCGTCCGAATCGACGACGAAAGCGGCAGGCGGGCTAAGTGGGATGCCCGACGCGGCGTTCACCTCATCGACTATAGCCGCAATGGTATTGCAATCAGCAAGAGTAGTAGCGTCGAGTGGAACCCCCGGGAAGGCGCCTTTCAACTTGTGGAAGATCTCGATGGACATCAGAGAGTCGACACCGAATGTCTCGAGGTGTGCACCAGCATCTATTGTCGCGGGATCGATACCGCATGTTTCGGCCACGATCAGAGTAACCTGCGCGAGCGCATCGGCTGCTGGCTTTCTCTCGGGTGCGCTTTGTGGCTGACTCGGAAGCGAGACGGGCTTCGGTTTCGTGACGTGGGGAGTAACAGTAGGAGTGGGAAGACTGTCGCGCACCGCCGCAACGATCTGGGCGACGGATTGGCAGCTAGAAAGAACGTCGCGGTCGAGCGTGGCGGTGGCGAACGTACTCTTCAGCTTATGGAAGATCTCGATCGACATAAGAGAATCGACTCCGTACGAGGCCAGGTCAGCGTTAGGATCCAAGTTCGAAACCTGGCACGTCTCGCCTACGATCCGCGTCACATCCCCGGGAATGTCGATTGCGACTGAGGGAGGTGGGGTGGAGGGTCGCGTAGGGGCAGGAGCGACAGTGTCCACGCGCGCAGGGGCGGCACTGGGGTTCGAAGTGGATTTCGACGCTGCATGACTCCCCGACATCCCAAGACCGCGCTTGAGGCGATCGAGGCGCACCTTGCGGAAGTGCATACCCTTCAACTGCGCCACGATCCTCTTCGGCTCCTCAACCTCTATCGCCGTCGCATCCGCCATCATAACTCCCTCCGACTGCACCCATGCGTTACTGATGAAAACACCGTAGACGGCGTCGGGATTGATCAGGCCCGGGACGGCCTTGACGGATTCGACCTTGGTGCAGATGTAGGCGTCGTTCGATTCTCCTTGTAGGTTGGCGACAAAACCGGCAACGTGAAGCATGGTGTCCATGAATACGGGATGAATGACGAAATTGCGAGGGCGGTTGTCGTTGGGAACAGTGGTAAGGGAATAGCCATCCATGCCATCGCTGCTGACAGTGAGAGTCTTCATAGAGTGGTACTCCTTCGAGTACGTCACGACGCGTGGGAAGATGACCTCGTAGGCCGTGCGAGCGGTGAACGTCTGCGACTGCTCATCCTTGCCTGATGTGATGGCCGAAATTTGGCGCAGAAGAGAAGGAGAGCTACGCTGGAACTTGATCGTTGTCTCCGTAACCGGGGTAAACTTGAATTTTCCTGAGCAGTGAATGGTCACAGAGCCACCGTTGACCTGCAGGAGTGAGTAGCGTCAGCTTGGCGGACATGATTAATGTAACTATGGACTGACCTCAGAGCTAACGCTGAACACACCCTTTCCATCCTTCTCCAGAGTGACAGTCGTCTTCACCACACGCTCCTCACCCTCCACGTAAACCAACGGCTTGGCATAATCGACTGCACGAAGCGCGATATAACTATCCGGGAAACGGGCTTGGAGATGTTCCTTCGCCGACTCGACACCAGCGAGGGCCAGCTCATGGTAAACAGAGGCAGGGCAAAGGGCGTGGCCGCCAACTTTGTGTCCCACGATATAGCCAGCGAGCTGCGAAATGGGAGTCCCAAAGACAGCGACGCGACCGTTGTTCTCGGACGGGAATTGCGCCCAGGAATGGAGCATTGAAAACCCATTAACGAGGGGAGCTGTGGGTGCGACGGCGGCGCGTGGTACGGTGACCGCTGAAGAAGTCTTGTCTTCGTACTGAACCCAAAACTTGCCCTTCGAGAAAGGATAGCCAGGAAGCGAGATGCAAGTGGTAGGAACGTGGGAGAATACCTGCCGCCACTCGACCTGGACTGCCGTAGTGTACAGGTTTGCGAGCGACGAAGAGAGAGTCGTCCAGACGTCCTGCTTTTTCCTAATCGAGGGAAGTAGCAAGGGCGCATCAACGAGGGAAGGATGAGATTTGAGCATGGGAAGCGTCGTCGGATGGGGTCCTACTTCGATCCACGCCGCGATGTGCGCAAAGCCCGCCGTGGCCAGATCGCTGATGCCTTTCTCAAAGAGAACAGGCTCTGCGCAGTGGCGGGCATAATACTCTGGAGTAAACACCGAACTGTCACCGACCGAAACTACTCGGCCTACGACGTTGGAGATGACGGGGATGGTAGGAGGGCGGATGGTGACACGCGAAGCAGCGAGAGTAAGGTCGTCGAGTATAGGTTGCATCGCGGAGCTGTGGTAGCCGAAGGGTACGGAGAGGAGAACGTTCTTGCATTTGACGTCTGAATCGATGTGTGCCTTGAGCGCCTTGAGTTGCTCGATGGGACCTGAAACGACGCAGTCGGTAGCACTGTTGAAACAAGAAATAGTGGCAGAGGAGAACGAAGGGGATGATCCCAAGAGAGAAGCGACCTTCTCCGGGCCCATGTTGATCGCAATCATGCCGGTGGCCTCCAACGCGCAGTTCTGGACCATAAGTCTGGCCCGAGTCGCGACGATGGTCAAGGCGCCTTTCAAGCTGAGCACTCCCGCGACGACTTGGGCGGCATATTCTCCCAAACTGAAATGAACGGACGTCAGTAAAGAACCAAGGATAAAAAGCAAATACGAAACATACCTGTGGCCTACAACGACATCCGGAACGACCCCCCACGAAATCCACAGCTGTGCTAGAGCATACTCCAAGGAGAACACGGCAGCCTGATACGCCTCGAACTCCTCCAACGTCGTAAGCTGACCCTGCGAGATTATGATCTGGAGAACTCCGGGGAAGCCGGTGGCGGAGAGGAATGAGTGACATTCGTCTATGGCGTGGCGGAAGATCGAAGAAGTCTCGTAGAGCGCCGCTCCCATGCCAATATACTGGCCACCCTGTCCCGAGAAGACGAAGGCCACCTTCCCTGGACTGCCTACGACCTCCTGGCTCGATGCGCTGCGTAGCTTTTGTTCGAGCTCGGCATGGGAAGAGGCCGAAACAGCCAAACGACGAGGGAAAAGCTGGCGACGGGCGGTGCTGGTATACGCAATGTCGGCGAAGGAGAGCTCCTTGGTGCTAGGGTTCGAGAGCCACTCCAAGTATCGAGACTTCAGAGAATGGAGCGCGTCCTCAGTCTTTGCAGACAGACCGAACACGAAAGGTAACTCCGGGCGTGCTGTCGGGGCGACTATGGTTGGAACGAACTCCGAAAGTATGAGTGCGGCATTCGAGCCCGCAGCGCCGAAATTATTGAGAAGCGCCATACGGTCAGAACCAGTCTCAGCGACAGTCCAAGATGTCGCGACTGTGTCGATGATGGTGTTATCGGAGGCGAGGGGCTCGATCTTAGGGTTCAAATTTCGAAGCGAAATCTGGCGCGGGATGGTGCGATGCTGAAGCATGAGGAGCAGTTTGGCCAGGCCAGCAGCGCCAGAGGCAGCCTCCAAGTGACCAATGTTAGCTTTCAGCGACGTAACATGGAGTGGGTTACTGGGAGAGCGGTTGACGGCGAAGACGCTCCGGATGCTCTGGAGCTCGTTCGGATCCCCAGCCTGCGTACCAGTCCCATGGGCTTCGATGACGCTGACACGGTTCGGGTCGATCCCGGTGCGAGAAAGAAGCTGCTTGAAGAGCGAGACTTGGGTGGCGGAGTGGGGATGGGTGATGGAGCGAGCGAGGCCACTCTGATTGACCTCTACGCCACGGATGACGCCGTAGATGTGGTCACCCTCTGCGACAGCGTCGGCGAGACGCTTGAGGACGAAAACGCCGGCACCTTCGGAGCGCGAGTATCCGTCCGCGGATGAGTCGAAAGACTGGCACTGGCCCGTCGGACTAAGGAAATGTCCCCTATCCAGTCCGAGGAACATCTAACATATTAGAAATGAGTCAGTTACAGCCTCTGTATACGGTATCGCGAAGGGACTCACATCGGGACTCGTCATGATATTCACACCGCCAGCGAGTGCTCCGTTGCAGTCATGGTTCCCAAGTGCACGGCAAGCCTGGTATATAGCGACCAGGGAAGACGAGCACGCGGTGTCAATCACGATGGAAGGACCGGAAAGCTTCAACGCGTAGGAAATTCGACCGCTTAAGAATGCGCGCAAAGTCCCTGAATAGCACTGATCAGCTACTGTGAACAGATCTTCGAAGAGCAACATTCGCATACCTGTGCTATAATACACGTCAATGTCGTTTTCGAGGTTGTGGACATAGTCCTCGGTAGAGACGCCGATGTAACAGCCAAAGGTTTCAGGCGAGTTCGTCAGGCTGGAATTAGGAACGTATCCGGAGTCCTCCAAAGCCTCGTAGGCGGTGTGAAGAAGAACGCGCTGCTGAGGATCAATGCTACGCGCTTCACGGGGCGAGATGTTGAAGAACCTGTTGTCAAAGGCGTCGGGTTCGTCGATGAAGTTGCCGGTGTGGGCAGCCATAGAGCGTTTGGAGTTCTTGGAAGAGTCAGGAGCGTAGTCGGAAACCTTGAAGCGGTTCTCCGGAATCTAAAAGAAGAGAACATCAGTAATCACTCTCCACACCGATAGTCAAGAGATATCTCACCTCGGAGATCGTGTTAAGTCCCTTCTCCAGCACCTCCCAAAGCATGGAGACATCGGGAGCACCTGGCATATTCACAGCCATTCCGACGATAGCGATGGGTTCTTGCGTAGGATGGGGTTTCTCGGTGGCGGCTGACTTGACCGCCGATACATCCAAGGACGAAGTAAGACGTTTTCCGAAAGTGCGTTCGAGGGAGCGCATGATGCCCGTTCCAGGACCGATACCGAGGATGCGAACGGGCTCGTTTTCGGGAAGAGCTGCGAGAGTGGCGGCAGCGACTTTGGTCCAGTTGATAGGCTGCGTAAGGATCATGTCGACAAGCGCTTCGAGAAGCGAACTAGCGCCGACGCCATCGTTTCGTATCAACTCGCCGGTGTACGTCGAACGGAGAGGGATTTTGATGTCGGAGAATGATGGGAACTGGACGCCCCGGTCAGCGAGGTCAGAAAGAACGCGCTCACGAGCGCCCCCGAGATGAGCTGGAGAATGATAGAGTGTGTCGACGAGAGTCTTCTGGACGGTGCCGCTGTGGAGTCCGGATTGCGCGAAGGCAGAGAGAACATCAGGGCGGCCCGATATCGTGACGCAGTCTTCGGCAGTCTCTGAGGTCACAAAGAGCTTAGGTGCGTTGGACGGTTGCTGTTATAAGTCGAAAATGTCAGAAATATCGTTCATGGAGATGTCGAGTAGTTCACTCACCGAGAGAGAGAAACGAAAGATGGCCTCTACAGCCGCTTGCTTCCCGAGGCCGAGGAAGACGATGCTCCACGGGGGTGGCGAGTCTCCGTCGATTGCTGAACCGTAGAAACCTTCAGATGTCTTATAAAGTTGGGTGTGGACACCGATCCAGAAGGCTACTCGGAAGGCCTGGACAGCGTTGTTGATATATTGCAAGGTGTCGGATGAGGTGGCGACGACCGCTGCTGGGAGTATTCCGGACGAAAATCCTAAGACGCCTACCCCATGGGTCACATTCGTGTCCAGGAGAGCGGCGAACGAAGAGGAGGATGACGACTGCGCAGAAGCAGACGCCTCGACAAAGGCCAGATAACGAAGTGTGTGCAGGAGGAGGAGGGTAGTGCCGCTGACGACAGGGTTGGATAAATAGCGATGGTGGGTAGGAAGGGTGATAAGTGACTGGGGGGTGGGGAAGTCTAGTGCGTCTAAATCTACGCTCGTCGCGGTGGCTGGGTTCAAACTGGAAAGCTCGGAGTGAAAAGCCTTGTGGCAGGCAGAAAGTAAGGTTGAGCCAGAGGATGTGGTCGCGTCGTCGACCGCGCGCTGACGGATCTCTGGGAGATTGGCTGCCAAAGTCCCTTGACCGCCGAATAGAACAACGTTGATCTGAGAAGCGGAGGTCATCTTTGATGTTTACCGGAGGGAGAGAGTAGCGTGACGCCTGTAATAAAAGAGAGGCAGTCTACGAGGCTTTATAAGTGACACAGTCCTGACTATTGAGTTCTCTCTTATGGTCATTTCTTCAATCAAAAAACCTGAACTGATGGCGCGAAGATCCTGTACATCTGTTGGCCCTAAGCTTATGGAGAGAGGGGGCCTGAGCTCGGTGCCACAGCCGGCACTCAGGCGCTATGCAGCTTGAGGCGTGCTACGTGCAGGCGTCTCGAGAGTCTAGCACCGAATTTCGGCCTCACCGGTGGTACCCAATGAGGTAGTCCCTCGGCCATCTGGGCGCATTCTCTTCGTTCGGGACGGGGTGGCCAAAATGCGTCTGTGGAGAAAGGAGATGATGACAAAAGGAAATATCAGTAAGTGCGTGCGAACGTTGAATGCAGACCGCTGAAGCATATCAAACTGGCAATGGAGGCTTGGCGGAAGATGACAGAGCAGTTCGTCCTACCCAAGGAACCAAGGGTAAGATGGATTTGTCGCATTTACGGTCGCTCCTTACGACGCTTCATCCATCGCGAATGTAACTGAACATTACAACAGCTTCTCACGCGGTACCGACCGACGATCAGCGCTCGACTCAGTGATTGTCTCCCCAGTTGAGCTCTTCTCTTCTTCCACCACCACTGAACGCCATGGCGTCCTCTCAACACTGATCCGTCGTCAGCAGTTCTACCCTTGTTGATTCAGCAGAATCAAATCGAGCTGAGATGATCAAGTCTGCAACCACATGATTGGCGGCACACATTGGGATGTGGCTGAAACATGGATCAATAAACGGTCAGGGTATACCTGCATTGGTAACTCAAACTTGGATATTACTGAGCCCAGGGAAATAGGGTAAGGCGGTACCAGTAGGACAAGGACATGCTTTATCTCACACGCAGTGTCAATGCGTGCATGGTACCGAAAGGCCATCCAGGGCAGTTCTCGTACGGCGTTACCGATTGACCGCTACAGCTATCCTCAGCTATCTCCTGGATGATTTGCGGCGTGACGATAACCCCATGAGACAGCAGCAGGGATTGTACGCCTGCGGCGCCAGGTAACCAAAGTGTGTGGCGTACCATGGTTCGGCGTACGAAGTGGAGTGCGAACATACCACTCGGTCCCGGAAAGAGCTTCGAGAGCTTTGAGAATTTTGAAACAACGTTCATGGTCTTTCACGGACAGAATCGGAAGGATTGTTCCCACTCACCCACAAAGCGAACCCCCGGCCAACACGCCCGTAAATTTTACCGCCGCTGCAGCCTGCTAGCCAAACGCCACGTGACCGAGTCAGCGCCCATGTACTGCTTTTGAGCGCGGATTTGTGGACGAAAAGCAGAGTAATTGTTGGAAATGATGGTTGGGGAGACTGGAAATGAGTTGCGGTACACACCTTTGGAATTTTACTTCTTGCTTGAACACGAAAAAGGAATAACTTTACGCACTAAAACGCTCCCCCCGAGCGCGATAGCCGTTTCAACCAGTGCCATCCGAAATGATCTCGACAAAGCGGTATCGCGAGTTGTACATTGCTTTAGAATGACCGACCGTTCGATGGCCGATTGTAGTCGGAGAGGTCGTGGTACACATCGCAAACGAATCGAGAAGTTGGATATCCGCTTGATATCCGCCGCTTCTGCTAGCTCTGACTTAGGTAAGGATGCGCGGCCCGCCCCTCCCGGTGTGTATTTTCAACTTTCAGGTCGTCAATGTCTTCCCTTCTCGTTCCTTCGTCCATGCTCCTGCTGTCCCTTGCACTCATAAAGAAATGCCTATGACCGCTTTTCTTAGTATACTTCCAATTGACCTATGTAACACTCGCTGTGACGCCGGCTATTGTAACTTAAACATCCTCGCTGGTACCGTTCAAGCATGTCATCGTTGCCCGGGACTTACTCATTCGCACCAACTATGCAAGTCACAGGGAGTCCTCCTGCCCATCATTATACCGTTCCTCCGGTGATAGAGAGGTTTGCGTAATCAAGAGAGTTTGACATGAACGTGAGGTGAGGATCTGTGCGCCGGGAATATTCTTTCGAATTGCAATATGTGGTACGTCCGATTCCAGCTGCTTTACAATGAACGATTGAATGTTGGGTTTCGTATGATGTGTATATGCCGTCATAACCGTCTCTATGTTAGGAGCCATGATCAACGGGCGTGATAGAGGACGATCGTCTCATAGACGCTTCCTTCCCTATTCGTACCCTTTCATTCCGACTCAAAGCCGGGGGTGTTTAAGCCTGAACATGCCGAGTTTGGTCCGTCTGTTCATCCCGACTTGTTCAATACCTCCCTGAGTTACTTATCAGACCCCCAAGTTCCTCAGTCCTCTTACATTGCTGCACTTTTTGGCACCATTTCTTCTCGTTGTTCGACCGGATGATAGAGCCACATACGTCTTCTCGCTTCCCAAAGCCATATGATCAGACTCTCTGTGGCGGCGACAGTGTAAAGAGCTTCACCATCTGATGATCGAGGACCGACAGGTTTTTTTCCCGTTCTAATCACTGATTCTGTGTACTCCTCGAGCCCCAAGCCACCATCTGTCCACATCTACGTCAATCTCGTCTCGCTCTGCAGCATATCATTCGACGGATCAGACGTTTCTTGTATCCTGTTTGCGCGCCTCCAAAACCAAAACCCTTTAGCCCCCCGCCAAGCTGCAAGGTGGTTCCCACTATGGGTACAGTGGTAGTGATCGATTTCTTCAGAAAGGGCTCGTCATGAAACGACGGTAAGAGACGTCCGGCATGTAGACCAATAAAATTCTAGCAGAATTCTCGAAAAGTTGTTACTTGTACCTTTATTCAGCTCGGACGCCCGTCGAGCGCCAGATTGCTTTGCGACGATCAAGGTTAGAGGCTTAGATCATTTTGAGTAAACCCGCCGAGAACACAACTCCAAGGAGAATCGAGAAACGGTTGTTGTCACCATAGATGCGCCGCGCAATAGCCTGCAACGCAATTCGTCTGATTGCACTTTGGATGATGTCGGGTTCACTTGGGGTCCATCATATTTCTACATGCGCGAAAGGCAGATGGTTTGTGACAGGTTATTATGGAGGCTCTGCTCGTTTCCAAGTGCCGAGGAGACATGCTGACGCGAGGTTTTGATCACTAACGCGATGATGCTGACGAGACACTACATAAGATAGGAATAACAGCAGGCGGTCTTGTGGCTGCCGCACACCCTATCGCAACGAACTCTTCGGTCGAACAGAGTATCCCATCCAATTTCCACCTCGATTTATACCAATCGATCACTTCTCACTTCCCCTCTCCAAGTACAACTCCTCCCAGGACCTTCTAACATACTTCGGAACGCCATGACACTCACTCTCATCAAGCTCGGCGGAGCTGCTTCAGATATCACCGTCTGCAAGACAGGTGTACGTCTCCTCGCACGCTTCCCTTCGTGAGGCGCGATTAACCTAATACACCCTCCCAAAATCCAGCATGGTTTGATGATGATGACGTTCGTCGATCTTTCCATGATTTATCACCAGAAGGAAAGTCTGACCTTTCTGTTTTTAGATGGACGCCCACTCCAGTCCCAGACGAGCAATGCTTTGAGGCTATCAAGGCTGGCATAGATCGTCTGCCCGCTGGTGTCAAGATGGTTCTCAATAGCGGTCAGTACACGCCTTCATTATCGTGCTCTTTCTACATGCGTCTTTGCGGCTGATACCCTGATTGCGGTATACAGCCGAGTTCTACGGATACAACCCGCCGACTGCGAACCTTGAATTGCTCTCCAGATTCTTCGAGAAGTATCCCACCTATGTCGACAAAGCGTTCCTTGTTGTGAAAGTGCGTGCTTTTCAGTACCGTCAATCCTTGCTCGTATGACTAGAATCTGATGCTAACACTTCTCAAGGGCGGAGGCAGCGCTACAGAAATCGGAAAAGTAGATTTGACGTACGTGGCCTGACCAATGCTCGTTTCTGAATTGGGCTTGAACTTCACAACATCCATTAGACCTCAAAACCTTCGCAGGAGCGTTGATGAGTGTAACGCCAAGCTCCGTGGCAAGAAGAGAATAGACGTCTTCGAGTGTGCTCGCTTTGATCAGTCGAAATGGACCGTCGAGGAGACTATCAAGAGCTTGTTGATTCTTCGTGACGAGGGGAAGTTCGACCATATCGGAATATCTGAGTGCAGCGCCGCCTCCGTCAGGCGTGCATCAGCAGTGAGAGCTTCACCACTCAACACTCCACTATTTTATGACCACCGACACCTGTGCATAATTACTTTTCGTAGGTATCTCCGATATTGACCGTCGAAATTGAGGTTAGCCTTTGGTCTTACGAGGAAGAGACGAAGAGAGGTAAGCGGTTAGATTGTACAAGCTACACTAAGGAAGCCGCTCACGACTCGTTTTTTTGTCTGTTTTTTGCCTTTGATCTCCAGTAATTGCCGCTTGCAAGGAGCTCGATATTAACGTGCTTGCTTACTCGTGAGTAACACTCCATGCAGCAAACATCTGAACGTCTTGAGAAAATTTTATCTCTAGACCTCTCGGAAGAGGATTCTTGACGGGACAGATCACAAAGCTTTCCGACCTCCAGGGCTAGTACAATTTCTTTTGGGCTCGTGTCATGCTATCCTACTCACATCTATCTACACATAGAGGGGGACCTTCGCACTTTCTTGGGCCGCTTCACCGAAGAGGTAACCTATGCTCGTATCGTAGCCGGCATCCACCCATACTCACTGTCTCGCAGAACATCAAGGAGAACCTCGCCCTCGTCGAAGACTTGAAGGCCATAGCCGCTAGGAAGGGTGTTACCCCCGCCCAGCTGGCCATCGCTTGGGTTCACTCGCTCGGATCTCACATCATCCCTATCCCTGGCTCCTCGTAAGCAATTCTCCTCCGTCAACAAATTTCTTCCACTTCATCTGAATGGGGAATATCAATAGGAAGCAGTCGCGTACGTTGGAGAACCTTGCTGCAGGAGAAGTCGTCCTCGCAGATGAAGATCTTAAGGAGATAGACGCTCTGTTTGAGAAACATAGTATTCGAGGGTCCCGATACATTGAGGGTGTTCCCGATACCGAGCAGTACCTCTGGGGCTGAGTGTATTGTATGCACGGCAGGTATGGACGTCTTCAGTGGTTCTCTATGTAGTCGTTGTAATGTGCCGTTTTCGTAGGAGAGGATGGGACTTGTCTGCGGAAAATCCACGACCCTCGTTTCTCTATCAAATATCAATTACATTCATGGTTCTCTACAGAACGAGTTTGGAAAGACGCAAGAGAACGTCCCTGTACGTGCCACGGATAACGAAGTATCGTCCAAAATTGGCGCGGATAATATTTGTGACGACGGGGAACGTACGCAGACAAAATGGGGAAACAATATTATGTGACTGTTATTGATCGTTTCTCAAAACACGTATGGGTTCTCTTCCTCTCGCAGATGGCTCAGCGGGGATGGTGTTTAATATCCGATGAGGACAAGACTCATTCCTGCTCCCGCTTCCAGAGCACTCCAGAGACGCATCGGAGGACTGATACTCGCGGATGGTAGCTCATCCTTCGGTACCGACCACGACGCCCCTTCAAAGCCACAATGCCGATGTCTAAAATTCGCTCGACTTCATGGGCAGAGAAGACGCAGATACCAGTATGCCCAAGGCAGTTTTCATGCACGCTACAATCCAGGCCACAAACCCATTTCCCTTAGAGGACTGTAACTAATAGGTCACACCGTAAAAGCAGGATCATATCATCTCCACGGTAAATCTGCTCATGCACAGATCAGAACGCCCCGTGGATCACGGTGATACTGCTGTTATCTTCAGTATGCTGTGATTAAAGTCGTCCCCATTCTTCTGGAACACATATTATGGTTGCTCAAATCACCCCTTCTCGGGCTCCTTTTAGAGCGTCTCTTCGTATCCTCGATGTCCTCATCGCAAGACAAAATTGAACCATCTAGAATGAGTAGAAGAAAAATCAGACATGATGAGTTTGAAAGGGTTTAAACCCTTGCATGTCAAGTAAGAGATGTGCTTGGCGAGAGGGATGGGGATGGGGAAGGGTCTGCATCCTTCGAGAACCCGTCGTGCCCTGAAGGAATTTGGTACGAGCTTGCGCTAGCCGTACACTGTAGAGAACCGGGGAATGAAACCGGCCTGCTACACCGGCTCCTGGGGTGCACAGCAAAACCTTTCGTTTACTGCAATTGAGCGCGAATTGAAACAGGGTTTATCCATCAAATGGATCTGCGAGCAGCGTTCCATACAGGTCTGCATACAATCCTGGGTATCGGGTAGCTCTTGCATCATTATCAATTCTGGTGACGAGTTTCGGCGACAGTACAGCGACATGTTTTATTCTCTATATGACCGCCATCACCGTGCAGAAGCCTGCCAATGGTACTGATAGTCCGGCTAGGCTTGATTTATGGACTTACTGGGCGGAAACTTGCAACCTCAAGACGACTATTACCAGATCAAATCACACTCAATGCAAATCTTACTCACAAACCTGCTTAGTGCCAGCTTTTGACTTGGAATTCATTTCGATCCCGAGCTGAAAGCAATGGCCGGCATGAGTATGTGCTTAGGTGATAAAAAAATCTGATGGCTTTGTGATAACCTACTGTCAATGTACCGGTCAGTACAACGATCCTCCGAGTGACGATAATACCGTGCGTTTTTATCGGACCAACGTCGGGGAACTTCAACAATCGACGGATTGTGTGAGTGCTTGCCTTCAACCGCTTGATGGACCGCTTTGGTTGAGGAAGTGGCCGACACTCCATGGGGAACTGCGTGCGCCACTGGAGACCCCGGACACCGCACAGCAGCGACGCGCCCACGTCGTCAAATCGATATCTGGATGTCTGCTGTTCGTTTACCCTCATGCTCCCGAATAACCTACGCATATCTGAGCGCTGTTGAACGGGCAAACCTCACCAGTACTAGACCTCACTGCCATAACGCATGTTCAGAGCCGCATCAGGCCGCTGCCTGGACCTCAGCGCCCGCGTTTTTCACAGCCATCTCTGCCAGTGTAGCATCCTCGTGGATGCTGTTGAAACTTGAGCCACAAAGGCATCTCCCTTGGTAAGTGTGAATCGATGAACCATACGTATTTTCCCAATGGAATTGACCAGGAAAGATTGACAGACGCGTCGAAGGCGTATACCTATTTTGTGTTCATTCTCGATTCGGGGCCGTGCGTCGTGCTCAGGTCGAGTGCTCTTTTGTGAGCCGCGGCCCCTGTATTCGCACTTCAATGCGACCTCTCGGTGTTCGAGTGGGACCGATAGCGGTCATTGATATTATTGAAGTCGATCAGAATCATTTCGCTGTCTTTCTGACCTCCGATACAACTGTAAGCACAGGGCATGACAAGACGTGTTGCGTGCCTCAGTCCTCAGGGATTGTCATCTCGATGATGTTGGCAGTGTTTCCTTCTAATCCTGTGCCTAATGAAATGGGACCCACGGACAAGTGGACTCTGGGAGTTTACCGAGCGCCGTTGCACGCCGGGAATACGACAAGAGGACTGCTTAACAAGGCATTGTATGATTGTATAAAACCGCATCGAATATCTCATCTGCATTTTCCTTTTCCTTCCGCGCCACATAGGTCTCTCCTTTCCTTTACAAACCATAGACTGTCGCTTCATCGACGATGTCTTACACTGTGGAAAGCTCTCGGCCAGTCAACACAGTGCTGTTCTGTGAACGTGGACCATCGTCAACGAATTCAGCAGAATTTCAGGAAGGCACGCTGGACGTCACCGGTCCTTCTGCTGGATCCATTTTACTCTCCGCTCACCCGACCTCGCCACCAATCGCCAAAATCGGAACGGCCACCCATCTCGTCGATCGTTTCTCAATGCTTCACTCCTGGGTTCAATTCCCATCGGACGTTAACGGACGTGTTGCCATCTTCGACACACCCATCGCTCAGCTCTCCTCATTTATAATCGGCCATAGCGTCTGTGGCCACTCGCTTTGTCCAGCTTCTATCTATCACGAGCTAGCCCTTGCTGGTGCCGAAGCCTCTAGCTCTCATCTTCATGATCAGTCCCCCAAGGCGTACGTCGCTCTCCGCGGTATAGATTATGCGACGCCGTTGGTTCACCTGGAGGGAGAAGAGCGCGTAGTGAGAACCACCATTGTTCTTGACAAGGGCGCAAAGGGCTCATTCGAGATCAGCTCTCATGTTTGTTTTCGCAATCGCTCTGATAATCACCACTTATTAACGATGTATGTTTCGCTAGGCTGGGCAGGGCGCCTCGATGACCCACTGCACTGGAGAATTCAAGCTCACCCCAGTCGAGAAAACAATCTTCAAGTTCCAGCGTGCAGCTCCTTCACTTTTGCGGCAGATCTCGACCGTCGTATCCGGAAGGGGCGAGCAAGTCCAAATTTTCAACACCCGGACGGCTTACGAGATTATATTCCCCCGCGTCGTGACGTACTCCAAAGAGTACCACACCATCAAGACTCTCGTTGTCGACGCGGACGGAATGGACGGCTACGCCCTCGTCTCGCTGCCGAAGAATCGTCACCGCGGAGGCTTTGTCGTTCACCCCATTTTCATGGACACCATGCTTCACGTCGCCGGATTCGTCGCCAACATGCAGGGCGGACCAAATGACGCTTACATCTGCAGTCAAGTCGACTCCATCAAAGCCGTCCCGAGCCTCATCAACAACGACGCTATCTACGGGATATTCATCAGGAACGCTTGGATGGAATCTGAAGGAGTAATGGTGGCAGACGCGACAGCAGTGGAGGTTGTGGAGCCGAGGAGGATTGTGGCCCAATTGAAGGGCATGCATTTCCGAAAGCTCCGTCTCGATCGTCTCACTCGCGCGCTGGCTATGGCGGGAGGTCACCTTGTCCAAGCAGCAGCTCCGAAGGCGGCCGTTCATCTTACGCGCTCTATGTCAGCCCCTCAAATTACCTCCTCCGTGGTTCCCTCCCAACCTTCTATCGATACCCTCGGCGAGGTAACGCGCATCGTTGGTGAGACGTGTCAGGTCACCGGCTTGGATTCTCTCACCGACCTGGCGACGTACGGTGTCGATTCCCTCATGTCCATCGAGATATTCTCCAAACTTCAATCCACATTTACCACGGCTTCGCTCGACCGTACTTCTCTTGCCAACTGCGTCACCATCTCTCAGATTGCAGCCGAGGTGCGCGCCTGCTTGCCCGACCCATCAATAATCGCCAAATCCACATCCATTCCCCTTCGCTCGAAATCCGAGAGCAGACCTTCTACGCCACCTGCACACGATGTGCAAGCGCGAATCATTCGAATTGTCTGCGAGACGTGTGGAATCGATCCCCAGAGTATGGTCGCTAGCGCAACGCTCGAATCGTATGGCGTTGACTCTCTCATGTCCATCGAAATCTTCCATCAACTGACCGCCACCTATCCAAAGACAATTTTCGATCCCGCTGCGCTTGCCCGTTGCGACACGATTGCGTCTTTGGCCGAAGAAGTGAAAGTCTCTCTCGGCGATTGGGCGGACCATAGCTCTACGTCCGACAGTACTGTCGCCGACGGTCGCTCGACACCCAACACGACCGAGACCCCAGAGAGCGACGGTACCCTAGCAGAGAGTGGTTTTGTGAAGCCTATCATCGCTCAGGTCCTTGGTATTTCTGTCGACGATATCGAAGACAAACACGAGTTGGAGAGCCTCGGCTTCGATTCTCTGAGCTCTCTCGAGCTACGATCGGAACTTGAGAAGGTACGCCTAATCACCAGATCTCAATGGCTTCTTCCTGACGAAGATCTCTCTTTCAGCGTTCAATCACTCTCCCGACAGATGTGTTCGCGACTTGTCGTACAGTCGACGCCGTTGAAACCCTTGTTTCCGAATATTCCAGTAACAAACAAGCTTCCACCAATACCAAATCCCCGTCTTCCATCGCTATGGACGCAAATCTACGAGCACTCCAGAAAAGTATGGGCCTGGACACCGTTCCCGTCTCAAGCCAACGATCCGCGAACTCCGGAAGATCGCCTTTGTTCCTCATCCACGACGGCAGCGGGCTCGTTCACTACATTCGGCGGCTCCTCCCGCTCGACCGTGACGTCTGGGGGATTCATAACCCGTACTTATTCGGTAAGAATCCCTGGGATAATGTCGAGGATATGGCGGCGGAATATGCTGGCTACGTCAAAAGCACAGCTCCCTCCGGGCCCGTCATTCTTGGAGGCGAGTATTCCTCTTATTTTTTTCACGGTCCGTTGTATTAAACATATTATATTAAACCATTTAGGGTGGTCATTCGGCGGTGTCGTTGCTTTCGAGGCGGCTCAGCAGCTTATGCGCATCGGTTTCGAAATCGCCGGTGTGGTCCTCATCGACTCTCCAACGCCCATCAACCACGTCCCGCTCTCGCAAAAGCTCATCGCTTCCGTCGTCAATCTTGAGGGCGGGCCCTCGAAGGGAGGCCTGCATCAATACGTGAAGAACCAGTTCGTCGAGAATTCGCGCATGCTGGGCCATTATCACCCTCGTCCGGGTCCAGGGGAAGGTCCCTTCCCGCCCATCACTCTCCTGCGATGCACCGATGGGTTCAATCCGGAGGGCGTACCCGACGTGCCGGTTTGGCTTGCGGATAGGAGTGATCTGAGTAAGGTCACGGAGGGGTGGAGTATGTTGGTCGGGGCACCGGTGAAGACGTTCGATATTCCGGGTAACCACTTCCAGCCTTTCAAGTCGCAGAATGTGAGTAATCTTCATCCGAGGTCTTTGCATGTCGAGCGTTCATTCTCATGCGTTTACATTTCCTCGTAGATCAACGCGTTATCGAAGCAACTAGGAGATGCTTGCGAGTACCTAGACTCGCTATAGATGGGTGCCTTGGATTTAGAATATATTAGACCTGGTGTCCTGTTTGGTCGTATTGGGACTACTTATGATCATTTGCATTGGCGATTTTTTATCCTTTTCATCACCTCGTACCGTACGGACTGTCTTCTGTGTCATTTGCAATAATATGTCTTCATCTAGAGTTATTGGAAGTACATAAGTACTGTGAACGATGTGCAATACATTGGGTCAATTTGAGAAAACAATGTCCTCTATACGTCTAACTTAGCTAAAGCCCTTGTGAATTAAGCATACTGGAATACGAGGCGAGACCTGTACGCTCCTGACACGGACATGGCAAACTTCCGATCAACAACAATCAGCGCGCACCTAGGGCCGTGCAATGATACATACTGGATGAGAACGATCGATAATCGCATGTACATAGAAACGGTAAAAACGCCCACGACTGCATCGGGATCCCGGACACTCAAAGGGGGTTGCAACGCCACAACGCCACTTGAACGCCAGACGAGGGGGGCGGCTTGAGACCATTTGATTGTTCCGACATCTCGTTTCGTTCGGTCTTCGCTTTTCTTTTTTTCTTCTTTTTTTCTTCTTCCTTACGAGCCCTACGGTTTCGTCAGGAAACCCCGTCATCATTCACTCACGCCATACGTTGTACTCGCATCTACTTATCTACCACACACCCACACACACAAAAATCTGTCAGACAATCCTGTAATGATCACGCACAGTTCATCATCCCATACATAACGAAAATATTCGAAACGTTCCAGCGTTGTACAGAGCAGGCGTACATGGTATAGTATGGGGGTGGCTTGAGACCAGCCCCAGTATCGCTCTCGTTCGAGCTCATCCCCAAACTCTCATTGCAGCACCGTCTAGAATCAATTTCACAGTGCATATGAGGTTACGGATCAGTAGTGTTATATAATGGAGGCCGGTCAAACGTATGAGAAGGGGAAAGATGCCACAACAGACAAATTCATAAGGTCCGCGCCATGTCAGATACTCTTCAAGTTCAGTCCAGCGGACTGATAGGAAGAAAATCTGCTCTCGTAGCATCAAGCCCCTTCACGAAGGCACGATTTTCCTCCATAGGCATGTCCACCCATGTCTTCCCGCCCATGTCTTTGACCATCTTCCTATACGACACATCTCTCTTCCCGTCCTTCCTCGTCGTAGCGAACTTCACCGACAGCCCCGCACGCACATAGGCATCCAGGTCTTCCTTCCATGTCCTAGCCAGCCCCGCGAGCTCGACGCCCTCCGCGACAAGTCTGTCCCTCCGCTGCATAAGGTCGTCAGCATACAACAGCCTCGAATATACCAAATAGCAGTCCATGCCCGGTCTCCCGTCCGGATCAGGCGTATGGAACAAGATATATATCACGCCCACATTTTGCGCGTCTGGCCGGAACTCTTCCAGTTGGGAGTGCATCGACATGTCGAGCGAGCTTTGGCGGGAGAGCGCGACGACGCGTTGGACGCGCGGATCGAAGACTGCTGCGTTTTCGGGATTCAGGAAGATATCGTAGGTCGTGTAGATTGCGCGTTTGATGCCTAGTGTCGTGCGCGTATTACCTGCCATATTCTCTGGACCGGAGTCAACCTGGGGAGCCTGAGGGACGAGTTCAAAGTAGACGATATGCTTGAAGGCATTGTACGAGCTCAAGTCAGAGTCGGAGACCGCATTTGTTGAACAGTCACTGCCAGCAGCGGAGAGAGGCCGAGAGCGAGAGATGATGTCGGCTAGGATCGCCAGTTCTACGCAGGAGACGCAAGTCTCGGCATAAGCGTCGATGAATTCTTTGATGTGCGGATATCGGCCTTGTTCGGCGATTGGGTCCGTCAGTGACCTTTGCTCAGCCTCATACAGTTTTCGGAGCCTCGCACAGTGTTTCCTACAAACAAAAACAAAATTTGGGAAAGGGTTCGTGCGTCAGAACATGCTGATCAGGGTAGGGACTGAGTGAGGGGGATTAAATAAGAACATACTTATGATCCTGCTTCCAGTGCTTCGATTGACACTCAATACTGCAATACTTGACATCATGACACCCGGAGCACATCTTATGTTGAGTTCCGTCCTCTGGAAGCTTGCGGCAGCTGTAGCATGCGGGATCGCCGAACGTGGAGTTGAATATTTTGGGCGCCGGCATATTGGGTAGAACTGAGGGCTGGAGGTGATCGCGATTCGCGATGGACTATTAGAAGAAGTGGTGGTGTGACGGGGGAGAAGAGTCAAGGGAGCGAGATGGTTGAAAGAGAAGGAGGGGCGACGTACGGGAGCCTTTATATATCATGCGGAGGCCAAAGCTAAGGAGACCTCAGACGGCACTTCATCGATCAATCGTCGATCGGAGCGGAGCGGCACTGACCCGTGTACGTTGTGCCATCAGTGTCCAGTGTCCACTTATCGATGACAGTGCCGGTGCCGATTCGGGCACTCCCATTGTTCGACTCCACATTCCAAATCTATATATGCTGCCCCTTGCAAGGCGTATCCAAAGCGAAACCACTGGAAATGATCAGTCAACATGTAACGTGCGAAGTCTAGGCATAATAGATTTTATAGCAGAGAATCCTCCGTTCAAGCTGCATGTGGTCCCACTGCCCTCCTCCGCACCTTCACCCAGAGGTTTCCTTTCATCATGACGTAGGAGTCTGTCAAATCGTTCTCATACCCTCTCGTTCCATCCCACACTTCCTTCTTTCTCTCGTCTGTGACCTCTGCGGAACACTCACCCTTCACCGCTGCGAAATCGAAGTCGAATTCCGTCAAGAGCGCGACGACGACCGTGCGCATCTCGGTGAGTGCGAGTTGCTTGCCGGCACAGTTGGTGGGTCCTATTCATTATTCATGGGCGGTTTTAGAGGAGTGTCAAGATGCTGGTATGTATAAGAAGACTAAGAATAGGAACACGAACGAACCGTAAGAAAAGGGGATGAATGCTTCTCTGTTGGTGTGCCACTTCGTATCCGATGAACCAGCGAGCCAGCGCTCGGGGATGAACGCATCAGGTTCGGGAGAGAAGTTACGTTCATCACGGTTGACTGAGGTAGCAGTCATATTAGTATCTGGTGTCGTGCACCGTGCACTTCACAATCCATAAAGGTGGCGTACCGCTATAAGTCGAGACCTGCACCGTCGTCGACGGCGGGATCCAGCTTCATTGACATATAATTGTCGTTAAATTATCAGCACGTCTTTCTTCCATGGATTTAAGCTCCATGCATGGCACTTACTTCTGGTCAGCGATTATCTTCCCCTTGCACCCAGGCGCTAACACGCGTTGGACACCGTTCGGTACGACGGGCTGCAGTCTCAGGGTCTCGTTTCTGCAAACAAAAAAATAGCAGAGGGATAGTAAGTACATCGCAGAATGGACATGGTCGACGAGTGTATATACATGACTGCGTTCAGGTAGGGCAGGACCGCCAGATCGAGTGCCTCGAGGTCCGCTTTGTCTATTTCTGCTTGGAGGAGCTTGTAGGACGATGGGTTTCGGAGGAGGTAGTAGAAGACATTGGATAGCGCCGTTGAGGTCGTGTCAGAGCCTTTCATTCACGAAGGGTTAGAAGGTTTATGAGATGAGATTAAGATCATGACGCGAGGCGAGATGAGGACACGAGAGGATACTCGGCTGACCTGCGACCATAGCGAAGCTTGCCTCTGAGACCAACGTATAATCTGGCAGAGGTCTACCCGTCTCTCCTTCTTCGTCCATCTGCACAAGAAGCGATGAGAAAACGCACTGCTCCGAAGAGAATATGCGGATAGCGTACGAGATACGAGAACAGATCACGGATCTTTGCGCCCTGCTCTTTCCTCTTCAAGACAGTGTCCGTGGCAAACTTGCGTAGCCGGCGAATCGTAGAAGATGCCGGGAGTAGACGATAGAACGATCCGATCCACGGTATTGTACCCATTATTTCTGCGACTCTGGTAATATAGTCAGGCACACTGAAGAAGATGGGTGCACAAGACAGCAGAGAATAGACGTACTGAACACCTTTAGCTGCTATCTCCATGAAATCGTGCGGATCTCTTCCTTGCTTCATAAGATCGAAAGCACCTCCGTACGCCAGATCACCCATGAAGTCAAACCTGTTGAACCCAATGAGCAGACCAAACTTCTGGACAACATCGAAACTACTCACGAGAAGAAGCTCAACCATTTCGCCAAGTCCAGATTTCCTTGTTCGTGACCAGTTCCATCATACCCTAACCTCTTCATCCTACGGCCAAGCTGATCAACGAGGCCGTTCACCCTTCTGTCCAAACTCTCCTGGTACCGCCGGATCGCAGCAGCGTTCAAGGCCTTGTCCCATATTCTTCTTCGTTGAGAGTGTTCGGAAGGATCGGATAGAGCGAGAAGACTCGGAGGTGGGGAGTTCGGTGGGATTAAGGATGTATAACCTACGTACAATTATGAGCTCAAACTGGAATCGAAGTCAGCTCGATACAGGAAGGAAAATGTCTTACGGCCTCCTTTGACGAAGTCCCTCGAGGCGAGGACGGCAGGTATAGCAGCACCGTCGGAGATGTGTATGTGGTTTGGCCCTGGTTCATGAATACGGAATGAGTTGCGCTATCTTCGATCGCGGACTCAATGACCAGAAGAAACGCACCTGTCCGCATATAGGGACCATATTTCTTGTGCAACTCATGATAATACAAATGTTGCTTGCCACCAACGCATACCCACAACGCGGCCAGCCTCGTCAGCTTGAAGAGGACGGGTCCTGGATACGTTGCGAGAGGATGAAAAGGAGAGAGACGGTAGACGGAAACAGATATGACAAGCGAAAGGAGGAACAAAGACTGCGTGTACAAGGCGGAAAGACATAGTCTAGACGGCGTCAAGTCGGAGATGCCGAGAAGCATGAGGCAAACAGGAGCCCCAGTAAGATGAAGAATGACCAAAGAGGCTCGGCGGGGCTCGAAGCGATTGAAGGCGACATGAGTAAGCTGACCCGGTATAACATTTCAGTGCTAGTTTAGATATTTAGAGAGAGATAGAAGGGGACGTACGACAGCGCACGCGATAATCAAGCCGTAGTCGTTCATCTCTGACAGCTGAGGTCTTTAGCGCGAGTGTGTGGGAAGAGAGAGGCAAAGAGGATGACGGCACCTCTCTCGCTCTTTTATACTTATACTCTGGCATGCAGGATGCTGTCATTGCCTGCTGATCACCAAGAGTCGTAAAGTTAACACTGCAGGCAAACTTCATACTGGCGCCTCCTGTAGGCGCATGTTTACTATTCGCATCGATCAATGTAACGCACGCGGCAGTACGTCTCTGTGACAGACGTTCACCTCCGCTAGCTCCGCTCTCGAATACTCTGTTCACAGGGGCAATAAAGTACCAGCACCGAGCTATCGCATGAATGCAACGATGGAGGGCTGAGGTATTCCAGACTCAGATATGCGCAATGACCGGGCTAAAGCGCAAGATGTCAGTCAATAACCGTACAGAAGTCGTCTGTAGTATGTCCACGAGGAGGATTCATATTAATGATTCGGGTGTAGAAGAGGTATAGAAGATGAGCAGAGCATGGGAACTCGGGCGAAACCCGGCGATGACCAAAGCGCCGTGGCGCAAAGTCGGCCACTACTCAAACTTAAAGCCACTGTTTCGTACCCTATCGATAAGTGTCAGTTACCACTATCAGCACCAATGCATTTTACGACAGGGAGAAGGAGAATAAGCACGCACAAAATGGCTTACGAACTGCCCACTCTTCTCTACTCCCGCATCGTCCACGACCTTCAGCACCATCTCCACTGACTCCTTCGGCTGCATCTGTTTCCCATCCCAAGATGGATATGCTCGAGTAAAGGCGTCTTTCATTTCCATAACCTTCGGGAGAACGCTACTGGGAGCTGGAGTATATGTTCAGAAAACTATTTGATAGCGGGGAGAGACTGGCCCGTGAATGGGGCAAACTTACGAGGAGCAGTAGCTGTATTCACAAGACCTGGAGATACGCTCAAAACGACGAATTTCTCGTCCTTCAAGGCTACTGAAAATTGTCATGAAACGTCAACGATGATATCAAACCAGGTCATAAGAGTAATCGAGAAGGATAAACGACATACGCGCGTACTTCACACAAACCATCTCCAGCGCACTCTTACTCACACTATACGCTACATGTCCCCCATAGCCCGTCTCCCTATTGAACCCCACATCCGCCAACCCCGAAGAGATGAATACAATCTTCTTCCCTTCTCCGCAGGGTAGGTTACTCTGCCGGAGGAGAGAGAGGAAGGCGTCCGTGGTGATGATGGGGCCGATGACGTTGGTGGTCCAGTTTCCGTTGAAGTTCTCGAGGAGGGTGGTAGTGTCGGGACTAAGCACACAGATAGAAGCCAAAAGAACGAGTGAGAAAAAGAAGCAGTCAGAAAGATAAAACTCACAATTGCACTATGTTATGGAAAGTGCGTGCAGGATCGCGATATACAGCGTTGTGGATCAGAACGTCCAGCGATCCTCCGGTGATTTTTGCGGTCTCTTCTGCGGCTGCCTGTGATTTTATCCCGTGATATGAGATTTCTAGAAGCAATGCACGAATGGAGACGTTATGTACCTTTACTGATGCAGCATCCGTGATGTCTGCCTTCAAAATGTGCAGCCTGGGGTTGTCGATAGCTTGGAGCCCGGTTGCGGACGAAGGGTCGCGTACGAGCGCAATTACGGTATGATCCCTGCGGAGAAGTTGGATAACAAATTCCAGCTAGGAAAGAGTTGAGTTGAAATCATAAGTACAGTAATCGACTCGACAGCAATTTAAGGTGAACGTACCCCCAGACCGCGAGAAGCACCAGCGACGACATAAGAAGGCATGAGGACAGTAGTTCCAAGCTCGGCAGAGTAAGTGGAGGGGATCGGACAATTGTGATTTTGTTTCAAGAATGTCGAATGTTATATATGGATTTGGAAACATCCTAGTTCTGTCTGGGTCGTAGGGCGTGATGCGAAACGCTCACTCGGAGGTTTTGAAGAGATTGGAGTTCGGGCCCCGAAAGACCGAGAAGATATCCAGCCTAAGCCCAGCCAGCGACCATTTCTGTCTCAGACGATAGCTATTGATGAGTCTGACTTAGTGAGCAGAAATTCGATGATGATGATGGAAGAGGGAAAGAAAAGAGCAAAGGACTCCGGTTGAATCTCAGTTCGGAGGGAGGGGTCACGCGAATGACGTCATCAGATGGTGCCACCCGTGGCCCATTCCACTCATCGTCCGACGTCCCACTTTCGTGCAGCTGTATCTGCAAGAGTTCTATCTGGAGGTGTGTGTCATTCCTCACCATCTACAAAGTTTGAAACACCTAACCAGTACTCCAGACCTAGTGTCTTCCAACCAAAGGAGTAGAATTTCAAGTAGTACCTCGACTCGAGTAGGTTTCTCTTGCAACCATTGACCTGGAATTCATGTATTACAACGGTCATGTATTGGAGTAAGTAAATATGCAGATGTGTGTGTAGATACGTGCGTTGTGTCGAAAATGGGAAGATGTGCAGATAGGATGTGCAGATGGGCAAATGTGCAGAGGAGATGCGAACGTCCCGAGATGATGCTGCACAACACGAAAGCGAGAGCAACATCACCAACCAGCCAAATAAGTGACGAAATGTACGAAGACAAGTAAGATGAGTAGTGGGATGGTGTAGAGGAGGAAAAATGTGGGATGGTCGACGGAATGGATAATCGAAGCTCAGATGGGTCGTCCGTATATTACGAAAGGCGAAGATAAAGTATGAGGATGAGAAGATCTAAGTAAGCCCGTCTTCAGCAGTGAAGAAGCTTCGCACTCCCCAGGAGAGAGAATTTATGCGAAGCGAGAGACAGAGAAAAGTCGCAATCAAGAGCGCGTGCCGATACATAAATGCCTACCATTCCCAACTGACGGTCCCTTAGCGCCTAAAGGCTTTCCTACCAAGAGGTCGCATCGAAGCAGCCTAGCTGAAGCTGGCAGCTTATTACGAATCGGTCTGGCTCTATGCTGTCCCCATGTCAGGTTTTAAGCCTCAGTGCGCTAGGAATTAGGTTGTGCGAGTTACATCGAGGACGAAAATCAGTTCTTCCTCGCATGCCGACTCGCCGCCCGAATTCTCTCTCCGTATGTCCAGAATAAGAATGGCCTTCAGAAATAAGTGCTACATCAGCCATCAATCCACACGATAGCCAAGAGCGAGAGGAAGGGACAGGGAGTGTGCGATCTATGGTTGAGAACAGAAGTAGTAACACATACGCAGGACATCCAATGACAGCCCCTACAATCGCCAGCACCGTATTACCCCATCCATATCCCAGAGCGTCATACATCGCGGGTGCAAATAGCGGGAAACCAAACCCGGCACAGGAACGGAGAAATGTTACCGCGGCAAGAGCTAAACAGTAGCATAGAATGTTGATGTTAGTGACGAAGATTCTGGTGGGAGGTGAAGTGTGTCGCAAGAAAGGGACAGTTCAGGAGGGACGAGTGGAAAAGAGAAGCTTACCGGAAGCAGCATGCAAAGTGAATGTATCGATCACATAGGTCTGTATGCACTGAAAGTTCAGGATCGAGCCACCACCGATAAGAGCGATACCCTAGGATATCACAGCCGTAACCACAACCCATCAGACATTGAAATAGGTCGAGAGGTACTTGAGAGCAAAGACGTACGATATCAGTCGCGATCCACGGCTGCCTCGTCTGTGCACACCATCCCGCAATCAACAATCCAATCGGCGTAATAATCGTCCCCGGAACCATAGCCGCTTCATTCCATCCATCGAACCAAAAAGGTGTCAGCACACAAATGGAGAAGCGGACAAAAGAGATTAAGAAAGAGATGCAAGAAAAGCACTCACGCAACCTAAACTCCGGCCTGCCCACACCTCCGTTCTTATTCTTCAAATAAACATATATCTTATCCATCGTTCGTGCATTCAACTGCGAAAACCCGGTAAGGCCGACTCCGAGCGCGATGTAGTTCAGTCCGCCAATGCCGACGGATTCGTGGTAGACGTTTTCGAATATGCCGGGAATGGTCGTTATTGCGACTGTTGTGGAGTTGGGCGGTGGTAAATTGGGGAGGTGAGTTGGTTCGGGGGTGGGCGGTTGAAGAGAGAGGGAGTACGTGAATATGCGGGGATAAGCAGAGCACAACGTCAGTGAGAGTCGAAGGCGAAGAAATGAAAACACGCACGATACAAAAGCCCATACTGGAATGCCATGTACACACCCAACAACTGTACGATAGGCTCAAACGCGAAGATCTTAAAAGGGCGGACGAGAGCCTTTCCGACGAAGGCTCGCCATCTATATTTCCACCACCAGTATTAGTCAAGCGTTGATTGATTTCTCGCTCAAACAATCAGAAGGTAAAGGGAAATGTAGGCAAAGAGGAAGGGATGAGTCGAAGGAAGAAGTAAACCGATACGCACTCCAACTTCCCACCCTTCTGAAACACCGTTCGTACAGTGATTCTCTCCCTCTCTTCCGGCGTAAGCGACGCCTCGATCCGCTTCGCTTTTCGTTCAAGGAGAAGAGGGGCGAATGCTATCGTACACATTCAAGGTGAAAGGCAGTCAATGCTTGTAGAAGACCACGACCAGATGGGAGGGAACCTACTTTCTTGGAGGAAGAACATTCCTAGGATCTGTACGACAGCGTCCGCTATCGTCGTCGACCAGAACTATCGCATCGTATCACGCGCCACACAAAGACGCCACACAAACCAACATGCACGTCAAACCAAAAATTTACCCTCCGTTAGCCTCTGATCGCTCAATATACAAGGGAAGTGGCAAAAAAAAACGTACCACCCATCTCCATGTACTCCTCTCCCCAATCCACGCTCCTACAATCGGACCCAACACAGGTCCTAACAACGGCGCGAGCGAATAGATCGCTATCGCCTGCCCTCTATGTTCTGGCGCGAAACAGTCGGCGATGACCGCACCACCGACCTATTTGGAATGTGGATGAGGTGTAAAAACGTCAGAAAGGGAGGACGGTAGGTTAGAGTGATAGGGGGATGTCAACCTGAGCGTTGTATACGAGTAACACGACAACTTCTGGAGAGAAAGGGGATGAACGGATGCAAAGGTACTCACAGAAAGCGGCGCACTTCCTCCCAACCCCGCCATGAACCGGAACGCGATGAGCTGGTTCTTGTTCTGTGCGAAGCCACAGCCGAGGTTCCATGCTATTCATATACGTCGTAGTGCAATGTGGTAGTTTGAGAGTTGTTGTGGTTCGTCGCGGTGTTTGTGTTGGTGAGGTGTGATGGTTTTGGTAGTGATGGGACCGGGAAACGAAGAGGATGAGAGGGTGAGAGTGAGAAAGTGTCCCACGACAAACAAAGAGGGCAATGGGAGCAGGATCAGCGATCAGACCAACAATTGATGAAAAGCCAATCATAAGGAAGTGATGGAAGAAACAGACATCTCGATGATGACGCATGATATCATGAAGTAGCATAAGAGGAGAAGGAAGAAGGGTCTAAGAAGAAGAATAGAGGGCGGGTATCTAAATCGGAGAGTTGTACTGAGAAGACGCACCGAGATAAAATATGTTCGCAGCCTGTATCACTCTTGAACGACCATATATTTCTGACAGTGGGCCTAAGAAGAGTGGTCCTACGGCTGAAGACCAAATTCAACCATAACGTTAGTATCGCCGTTCATTGTGCGCATCTGCACCTTCTCACGCCACAACACCGACCCCTTAACCACATCGTTGAAACCACCTCCACGGAGATAAATAAAATAGAAAAAGGCGAACGTACCATAAGCCAACACGAAAATCGAGATGGTCATCGCGACCATAACCGTGCTCGTTATCCCAAAGTCGTCGGCCAACTGCTGCGCGGCCGGGGACACCATAGAAGAAGAGACTGGCGAGATGAACGTGAACGCGGAGACGATGGAGACAGCGGCCCACTTGCGGCGGGTGGACCAGCTGGTTCGATTTTCAGGAGCAAAAGATCGGCCAGGTCAATGGACTGGAAAGTCAATAGACAGACAACGCACTTTTTCGGATTCATTGGATCGTTCGGTCCCTCCCAATCTACTACTATTTCGTTCACACTCCCCTTCCCACCCTCTTTCTCGTTCTCGTCTCCGGAAGTCTCCCCACTCCTCCTCTGTGTCTTCTCGTTCATTGCTCCTTCCTTCTCAATGTCCCTATTGGATAGCGACTGTGACGGAGATGGTGCTCTCGTGTCCAATCCATCTGCGGTCCTGTCCATGGTGCTAGTAATGGTGGGTGCTGCGCTTTCTCTGAATGCCTTGATTGTGGGATCATTATACTCGGTAGCGATGTCGTTGGTGTCAATAGTCTCGTCAAGTTTGTGGTCGTAAGAGTTGGCCGGCATTCACGAGTGGTCGTAACTGGTCCGAACTGAATGAACAGTCGGGTCAATTGGCAAGCAGTCTGGTGAGATAGAAGGGTGAAGGGGAGTGCGGAGGGGAATGCGGAGTGCGTCACCCCAGCATGTGCAGACACTTATAGATAGCCGCCTGTGTCAAAAAACAGACGGGAGCAACGACGAGGGAACACCTCCGGCCCCCAACTCCTCTGGATTACATATTGCCCATGACCAAAACAATTCAGCCTGGTGAACTCTCACCTCAATTGATCCAGTGACCATGAAGAGGAATCGAACCCACGCCGCAAGTATCGAGCGATACGTATCATGGCCGCATCGAACGGCCGGCGAGACGTCTGCTTTGTTATCATGTCGCCCGCTCGAGCTCTGGAAGGCACACGAAACTACAACAAAACTATACAATCCCAGTTGACCCACCCAAAGTGCTATGAATTTACGCGCCCTTGACGCAGTCATAGAGGAAATGAAGTTCTATGTAAAGCAACACGGACCTTGTGGGTTGCTCGTGGGCCCACCTCTCGACCATCATCGGACCACCCGACGTCGGTGAAACATTTCCTGTGGTCTTACAACCTTCAAAATCTCAATCCACCTTCCGAACTGAGAAGATTAGAAAGAGAGACAAGGCCACAATCGCCATGGGATTCAGTGGGATTGTCAGCTGCAAATGAGACGACAAGAGATACGAACTATCGTTCAGAAATTTCAGAGCCGCCGGTAACAAACCACGACGATGACCGAGGTGGTCCTCTTGAGGCCCGATCTGGGCTCGAGGACCAGAAATAAATAATGACGCAGCCTATCATAAGAAGCCGGGCCTTCCGTCCGGCCTCATGATCACCGGCATCATAATCAGTCCGTCGGGTGTGTGCCTACGGCCAAGACCGTCGGCAGCGTTCCGTGTTCTAATCTTATCTCACGGAAGGAAATCGGACCAGGAACTCAAAAGGCGCCCCGAGCATGGCGGCGATTGAAGACTTTGTTGAACCACAACCTCATGATCTCACAGGTTGAAGCTGGATCGTTGACGAAAGTCACAGACTTTTCGCAACCTATCCTTTGCTGAGAGGAATAATGAACTGTAAAGCGCCTAATACGACTGTCCTAGTACATGCCTCAATACCTCCTACCTGTACTGTACTTGGAGGATGCAGTGCGCCTACTACGACCATTCTCGGCCATAACCCTAGGAGTGGTCTCCTAGTCTTTTCTCTCTTGGTGCTCTCTCACTGTTGTGCACGAGAATCGCGGCCATTGAACTCTCTATGGCATCCTCTTCCACATCTGCAATGGAGCTGACGACTTTCGAGCCCGCCCCGACGTCTACAGACAGCTTGGACACCTCTCAGTCGAGAAAGACTGCAAAGAGTCGCTGGTCTGTCGGTGCGTGCTTTCCTTACGGCTCTGCCGCCTCTGTGTACACTGCTAATGAATATTCATCATAATAGTAAAGCGGCGGTTCAAAAGCGGCGCGACGAATCCAACGACGCAGGGGGCACTGGCTGTAGCTGGGACGATCCTCGCCGAGGTAGCGAGCGCAACTCAGTCTGTACCGTACATTGAGGCAGTATCTAGCATCATCTAATCTCTTCCAAAACTTCGGTCACGTTCATATATGCACCCTGGCAAAGTCTTCCCAATCCGCTATCGTTCGACCGCTCACGATATGTCCGCTTCTTGTGGAAAGCTCGGCGCCGTCGTCGCACAAGTGGGCTTTTCGAAACTGATCGACGTCGAGAGCCCAGGAAGTTTTCTAAATCATATGTGCGCCACTCAGTGTCTCTTCAGCCACGCACGTCGTTGCTACTATGTCTAATATCCTTGGCATTCTGGCTTCCAGATCTTTGCTTGCTTCACTTCACCGGAATCGCTTCCACACTCTTGCTTCCGGAAACGAAGAACAAATCGTTGAAAACGCTATCGACCAAAAAAAAAAAACAACGCTGTTGACGGGGACTATTTGTAAGTCCATTCCCTGATTGTTGTGTACGTCAATCGGCCTGATTAAATTCTTTTAGTGCCTCTGCGCAAGATAGAGCGGAGAGGTAACACCAGACGCTCCACCCTCTTCAGAGTCATTCATTTTCAGATGGATTTCTCAAGCGATCAGTGAACCTCTTTCGCACCATTTCAGTATCCCCATGTACGTTATACGATTATGGCATCGCTTGTCGCTCACAGAGTGCAAGTTGTCTAGAGAGGAGTGACTGGATTCTGAATAGGGCTCAGTAGGGCTCGGACGCGAGCTTGATTTTTCAAGGACTCAGATGCTCGTCGTCCCTGCAAACAAGTTCAGACAGGATCTGTTATTCGGTTTTTATCTAGAATTTATATCCTTTTATGAAGTCCTCTTCAGGTCGTCCTCCATACCCCCAGGAAATATGATACATGTATTTCTGTATACGCGCAATATCGCTACCTTGAGCTCCAAGGCGGGTAAGCGCGGGATTGGGCTTTGTAGTGACCTCTCTCTGCGTTACGTTTCTTCTACTCCATGCCGGAAAAAAAGAAAACTAGGCTACAAGATGGCGACGCGGGGTCATGGTTGAGGGTGGCACCGATGTTTCGACGGAGGCGCCACCCTGTCGGAAGAACCCACCACGATGCTGTTTGGTCTTGTTTGGGCCGGATCGCGTCGTGGAAATTTCCTCTGTCGATTTCCCTTGAATTTACCTCACCGTCCTCATCACTCCCCTCAAGCCCTTCAAGACCGTCGATAGCAATGGTGAGCATCTGTTTCAGAACGTTGGACGCGCAGGAAGTCCTTGGAGCCCAGCATGTGTAGTCTTGAGAGCCATATTTGATGGATGGTGAGTCCCGCCTTCAGATGACCTCCCCCCTTCCTATGGCGCACTGACTTTGTCTTTAGGCTACGTACACACGAGCATGACTTTTGTCTTGTCTCATTCGCTATGCTGAGTCCTTCGGGACGATGAAGCGTTATATAGCACATATGCTGGGCTCGGTCTGCTTGCAGATCGAGCGTTAGAGCTCCGAGGCGAAATACTTCCTGCGCGGTCTATCTCACTTCACGGTGGATAGTCGTGACTGATTGTTTTCTCAACCTCGTCTCAATGACCAGCCTCCCAAGTCCAAGGCCGGAACCGGTAAGAAGCCCGCCGCTGCGCCCTTCGGTGCCAGCAAGACCACCAAGGCTGCGAAGAACCCTCTCTTCGAGTCTCGTCCCAAAAACTTCGGTATCGGTGAGTGACTCGATTTGACTCTCTTTGTCTTTGGTTGTGGACGTACTGAACGTGTGGTATTGCTATGTCGTAGGCCAGGACATCAGGCCCAAGACCGACCTGACCCGCTTCGTGAAGTGGCCTGAATACGTCCGCCTCCAGCGCCAGAAGGTCATCCTCTCCCAGCGCCTGAAGGTTCCCCCCGCCATCGCCCAGTTCTCTCACACTCTCGACAAGAACACCGCCACCCAGCTCTTCAAGCTCCTCAACAAGTACCGCCCCGAGACTAAGCAGGAGAAGAAGGCTCGTCTTGACGCTGCTGCCAAGGACGCTGCTGAGGGCAAGGAGGCCCAGAAGGTACGTCCTCTGCGTCCTACTTAATCTCCGTCGATGCCCATTCCAATCCGTGTTTGGACATATAGGACAAGAAGCCCCTTTTCGCCAAGTACGGTCTCAACCACTGTGTTGCCCTCGTCGAGGCCAAGAAGGCTGCTCTCGTCGTCATCGCCCACGATGTTGACCCCATCGAGCTCGTCATCTTCCTCCCCGCTCTCTGCCGCAAGATGGGTGTCCCCTACGTCATCGTCAAGGGTAAGGCCCGTCTCGGCACAGTCGTCCACAAGAAGACTGCCGCCGTCCTCACCATCCAGGAGGTCAAGTCGGAGGATGAGCGCGAGCTCGCCACCCTCGTCTCTGCCGCCAAGGCTAACTTGTATGTTCTCTGTCGTCCTTCTCTCATCTCGTTCGTGGTGCTCACTTCTACTCCTCCTCTGTAGCTCCGACAAGTACGAGGAGTCCCGCAGGCAGTGGGGTGGAGGTCTTCGTGGCAACAAGTCCAAGGAGATGCTCCGCAAGCGTGCCAAGGCCTCTGGCCAGAGCATCACCGCCGCCTCCGTCGGCAAGCTCTAAGCGTCTTTTGCTCTTGTCACCGGGCGTTTGGTCGATGGTTCGGTTGGTCGAGGGAGATGAGGGCGGAGTCGTGCCAAAAGACGTCTTCGTGCGTCGTTTTGTTGTCCACCATAGTCATGTTCTACCTAGGCCCTATCTTTATGCGCGCCTATGCTCTCCTTCCACTATGTTATCTCTGCGCGAGGATGCGCTTGCTCTCAATTTGTCCGCCGATGTATCAATACCTTGAGGACTGGAACGTCCGTGTATGATTAGGGATCCTCGATCGTCTGCATCATTTATGCGAAATTTCTAGAGTGCGCTTGTGAGATACGCTGGCCGATGCTTGAGTTGTGCTTCGTCCCACGCAATGCCGACGGGAATGAGGGACGTATCCGGCGAGCATGGCGACCTAAGTCCGGATCTCATCTCGAGTTCACTGGCGCCCGTGGCTGTATCAACGCCACACTGGTCTTGGGTTCTTCGTCCGAACCACCACGATACTTCTGTTCTTCGGTGATGTACTCCCTAGGTTCTTCGTCGTCACTTACGGTTGTTGGCTCTCATGCGACTTCGGGCCAAGATCAAGATTCTCCGAGCAGTAAACTAAGCGTGAAGTCGTCGAATGTGACGTTACGACCCTCCGAGTCGCACCGAATGGTGTACGAATTCAGAGAGAAGACGTACAACGAGAAGGAACATACTGGTTCCGTCGATACAAGGCTCCAATCCTATGAAGCGCAGGCTCAGGATTCTCACACAAGCGTACGGTTACCTCTCCGTGTACGATTGGCGAATCGTATGTTTCTTTCTCCTGCTCATCCACCTCACTTCAAGCATCTCCTAAACTGACATCCTCATCCCGACCCGTCCATACGCGTACTCTGCATTCGCAGGTGCATGGCGCTCTGGATATTCCTCGAGTAGCCCTACCGACGCTGCGCTAGAACGCCTAACTATCGCCGCTCTAACTCTGCACGAACTCTCGAAGACGCCAATATCGCGGAAGGTGGTGGACGTGGCGTATGTGGGGAGGACGATAGAGTTGTTAGATGATCTTGTCGGTGTGCATGAGGTGCATTTACGAGTTTATTGGGAGGATGAAGAGGGAAACTAATTCTGCTTGAGTGTCAAGGATATTAATTCGTTGAAGTCGAGGAGGGAAGGGATGGTTCGCCGGATGGTGGAGTCGCGAGGTGTGCTTAGCGCTATAGCGGAGAAGTTGTCTTCATACCGCGGACGATACCCTGAACTTTCGGAAACGGAGGATACTATGGTACAGGGCTTTGAGATGCTTGAGCGGTACGGTCCTTTCCTTCTCTCACTTCCTTTGCCTAGTCAACCTCTTCACCCCGACGATCAAGCACTGAGGCACAAGCCAACGTTTCCTTCATTCATAGCGCCTTCGAAGAAACAATTGAATACCTGGCACGTTGCATTCCGCAAAGTTATACGGACGAGATCGGGATGCTCTTCTTCGCCCGTAAACTGTTCACAGGCGAAATCGAAAGGTGTGAAGAGCGCTGGGGGAGTGTTTGTATTAAGTTTCAGGTGAGTTTTCCGTGAGGAATACATTGAGCCATGGAGATACAAATGTTGATGTTTGTCACGGCGTTTCGTAGTCTGCGCTCAGATATTTAGGTGATGAGACGCGGGTATCGTAGCTGCAAGGTATCAAGGTATGGACGATTGTGACCAGTAACGTTCAGTCCAGTTCTTGAATATAGGCTAGCGACATACACAACTAGACCAGGTCAACGAGGTGACGGAAGATGTGAGAGGTCCGATCATATCGGTAGGAATGTCGGTGACGATCCGTATCGATGTGTTTCATTGTCATGATTTTGATTCAGCGCAGTCTCCATTCGTTGACAAGGCGCAGAGTTTTGATCTCTTCTCTGTGGTCCGCAAATGTCTACCTCATAAGTCTTCGTGATACGAGTGCATAAGCAAGAACACCCTTTACGCTGGTCATGACAAGACCGAAATGGCCATCGAGCAGACAAGGAAAGCCGTCTTTCCATATCTCGTTTTTCTCTCCCGGCACCGAAATCAGCATGTAAATCAAAGATGACTGTGCGACTCTCCAGGTCCGATGATGTGCTCTTATGATGATCTACACACGTTTTCTCAGAATATGTTCACTGGCTTGTCCACTCAGGAAATCAAGTTCAGCCATGACTGCCATCCAAGTACAGTACCTCGCTGATCTATTCGATGGTGCTTCTTGGGGATGGGCACTGCTTTTCACGACAATGAGCTAGGCTATTTCTTAAGTGGAGTTCATCTGATCGTGACTTACAAGGCTCTGCGCTCGCTGGACGATCCCTAGTATCGCTGGACGATCTCTAGCACCCCCACATCTCTTCGTATTCGTCAGGCTCAATGTCTCTGGAGACTGACCTGCTCGCCTCTGTCGTGATCGTTGTATGTCAGTCTCTAGTTTACGGTACGCTACTTCTTCCTCGGTCTTCTAGGACCATGTTTTTCTTGTCTTACTAAATTTTGACTTGTAGGCATTTTTTTCGTCCTGATACCTCTCTCAACAGCCTCTCTTATGTGAGTCAACTCGTACGGGCCTCTTGGCGTGCTGTCGTCGACTGAAATTGTTGAACTAGCAAGCGCGGTATTGGAAGTCGGGCCAACCAGATCATGCTGGCCATCATCTGGATTATGTTCGCCCTTTCAACTGCTCATTGGGCCATTTCCCTCGCTTTCCTGGTCACGAAAGTCAAAACACAGGCGATAGTTGAAGGTCTTCCTCGTGTGAGATCAGATAATATGAACGCGGTAGTGACTATTAATGTGCGTGAAGACTCCATAAATTTACCAAACCTCAAAGATTCACCCTTGAATAGTTCGGAGTCGCAGATGGCGTGGTCGTTTGGAGGGTCTGGGTGCTGTGCAAAAACGAGTACAAGAAGGCACTCATAGGCTCCTTGGTGCTACTAGGGTTGACAATAGGTATGCCTCCATTTTAGACAACGTATCATGACAGGCTGTGTATTGGCTCAATATTCATCTTCAGCCTTCATAATCGCCACAATCGCCTTGAGGGGAGTCATTTCTACGACCACACCAATTGGAGGTCATGCTCGCCCAGCTATCCATAATGCTCTCGGTGTGATCGAGATAGTGCCCATCGTCCTTTCCTTGATTACGAACGTTTTGTCTACGGTCATTGTGGGGTTGTACGTCTGGTACGTGGACGCTTTTGTCATTGTTAAGGACGGCTTTCCAAAGTTTGAGATACTGGCGGGCAGGAAATACCGGCGATTCCTTCAGGAGAACCTGTCGGGGAACAAGACTACGAGAGTCGAACGTATTTTGGTGCTACTCTTCGAATCCGGCCTATTATATGCTCTATACCTGGTGAGCATTGAGGCTCTTTCTTACTTTCAAAACCGGCCTGATCCTGTTTAGATACTTTCCATCATAGGCTCGAACCTCCGAGTATCCATCGGGACCATTGGCGACGTAACGAACAGCGTACTCGCCCTCATTTCTGCAAGTCTTCATCTCGTTACTAACACACACACGAAGCGCGATTCTGATCTACATACGCAGGGCATATATCCCACCATCATCATCACTCTCATCAGCATCCAAGGAACAGTACACACCTCAACATTCTCCGTCTCATCGACCCGGACCCAAAATGCAGGACCTGTCAACGTGGGAATTCGCGATAGACAGCTCGCCTCCGTACAATTTGGGCAAAATCCTGCACTATTCACGCACAATACCATCGAGGATGACCAGGATCGGTGGATGGCACGACGAATGACGAGCAGTCCAACGTCGATAGTGTTTTCGGACTTGCAGGTCAAAACAGTGGAGTTGGTCCGTAGGGGCTGGGACGGGCCTTGGTTCGACAAGAGCGAGTACCGAAGCTGGGTGTGATGAGTGTCATGCATTAAATGATGAAGATCGAGTGGAGAGGCTTGTCGAAGAGGCCGAGGGCGACGATACGGAAGTTGTCACCATTGAGAAGCAGCCGAAATCCTTTTTGTACATCTGACTAGTACGCAATGACATGCCGTCTTGGAAGATCATCATCGTCCGAGTTGATCACGATGGAAATGATATACGATAGCTGCCGTGGTCAATCTCAAAGAGTATCCAGCCCCTCATTCAGCAATCGGCCATTCGAAAATGCTGGAGAACGCAGCGACTAGGCTGAAAGTACTTTGGTGCAGATAGGTTACAAGTACAGACAAAGCAACGATAGTAAAGAGACTTAGCAATACACGATACGGAAAATATCCAGCGAAATGGTGGCTCCAGGCTCATAGCCGTGATTTATGAGACGTCGAGTCTGTAGAATAACACGTATCAGCAGCGCCTCGTAACGGGGAGAGCTGGTGAGACTGACCTTGGGGTAGCCCTAGTAACGTGTACATGGTCGTGGTCAAGCACAACAGGAGAGGATCCATTGGTGAGTTCGCATCCATGACGGAGGAATAGGAAGACGTACGAGACTAAAGCATGCTGAGCACCCAGACTGATATCGACCGCCCTGAATTTTTCTAGAACCGCATTCTTCACTCGAACGGGTGTCTTGACCTCCATCGCCGCTGCGGTGTCACCAAGGCCAAGTTGGCAAGAATTACCCTCACCCCAAGCATAGAGATGCCCATGGACATCAACAGCCAGATTACACCTTCCCGAGGAAGCGATCTTCGTAATCTTCACCGGATGCAGTTCGTCTGATACGGGAGGAAATGTCAAGCAGGCAGGCTCGTCGATGAATGCCTTTATACTGGGAACCTCTTCCATAGCGGCCTCGAAACCCGATTCGGCCTGGATAGAGTCACGACGAGCCGTCAATTCCTCAATCCGTCCCAAAGCTTGTACCATGCGAGGATGGTCGTCCGCAAGCCCAATACGCGGACTCTGAGGATCGACGAGACCACAGCCCCAGACCTGTCCATTATCGAAGAGGAAAAGAGTATGATCGCTTCCGCCCTCAATTTGTATGACCTTGGAACCGCCGTGCCTTTCGGAAGCCAATGCATCAACGATTGTCGGAGTAGAAATCACGGATTCTTCACCACCGCGTTGATCGCTAATTCCGGTCTGTCTGAGATTATTGGCTCCCCAAGCAAAAACGACGCCTTGGTGGTCCACAGCGAAACTCGTGCAGGAACTAGCCCCGACGGCGACGATATTGCGCAGATGAAGCGCCTCGGGAACGTAGGCTCGGTCTACTTTGCGATTCCGGGACAGAACTTTGCGACCAAGTTGGAATTCTCTGTTCGAGCCCCAAGTGTAAACGTGTCCGGACGTCGTCAGTGCAAGGACGTGATTGGAGCCGCAGGCGACGTTCGAAATCTCGGTCTTCTTGGGAAAGGCGGGAGTGGGAGTTGGATAGGGTGCACTAGACTTGATGCCGTCGAAGCCGGTCGTTCCCTCGTTCATCTACGAAATTAATGAGTGTGATGTTCCCCGAGGATTTTCATGGCAGATAACCGACCTTGAACATCCCCCATTGACGAAGCTGACCCTCCGCGTCGAGTGCGAGGGCAAGGCAATCCGTTGACGCAACGCGCACGGGCTTAAAATCGTCGAAGTGTTGAACGAGTTCAGGGGTAGCCTCATCGTCGTCTACCTCTCGGCCGAGGGAGAGCTCATCGTTCGAGCCGAAGGACCATACCTGTTACGATCGCGTCGGGTTCAGCGCCACATCACTACTCCTATGCGGATACGAGGTTCGAGAAAAGGGATTCTTACTCGTCCAATAAAATCAACCACCAATGAAAACATTGCTCCAGCGGCGATACCAACAATGCCTTTTCCTCCCATGGCGGCCTGTTCGACTTTGAAGAGGCCATCAATCAACGGGTTCAACTTCGTCTTGGGGGCTTCGACGACATCGTCACCCATGCCCAATTGGACACCTTCTCCTTGAACGAGAAGCGTACAATATGCGTTCGCAGCGTCATCATTGACAGCATTGGGTGCCGGAAGAGGGTTCAAACGGCCATCGGCTCCCATTTCCACGATCCTGAGCTTCTTTCTGCGACCTCGAGAGCCTGGAAAGACAGCAGGTTCGGTATTGCCCACTGGGACCTTTCGCTTACGAGTAGAAACAGGTTGAGAGACTAGAGGAGCTACAATTGAATGAGCTCTCTTCATTTGGTGCAACGTATGGTGAAGAAAAGTGTGTTGAGGACAGACCTAGAGTCGGCTCGTCAAACGTTAACAGCGTGGCCGTTGAATCTTCCTGGGTTAGGAGTGGCGCTGGCCGTGGTCGTTTTGAGGATCGTGTGGAAGCCATTGTCTTCGTCGGTGTCATATATGTGATGTGTTCCAAGCAACAGTGAGAATGAAACTCAAGTTCGGAATGAGGAGGGTTCAAGGTTAGGTAGAAGCTGAAGAGAAACAACGTTCGAAACCAAACAGCACCCGCGACACGGACCCGGTGTCATCGGACTTTGAATCTGCGGATGTATCCGATGAGTGTAAGTTATGTGGCGTCTCAAGGTGGCGTTGGTGCCAGGAGGTCGTCGACGTCCGGTCTTGTACAACTCTATACCGGCTTATGCTGCACGACAGTTTGATTCGCTACGTATTGTTGGAGAGTTTGAGTAGTTTGATATTTTTTATACCTGGGAGACAGCATTACAGTAGACAGAGCATTCACTGGCGATGGAACGTAACGGACATGGCGTAACTACGGGTAACAACAACAGGAGATTCCGCGTACAAGAAAGTACAACAATCATCGATAACGACCCACAAAACGAGAGCAAAAAAAAAAAAAACAGAAAGAATCCAAACACGATCGTCCAGGAAAGGTCTACAGCTGGTTCAAATCCGCCCTCAGATTATCCCTAGCCTCCTGAATCCTCCTCTGCATCGCATCCGTCAACTCTCCTCTTGCCTCTCCCCTCCCACCTCTCATCGACATCCCCATCGGTGCATTCCCATCCCTTCCCACACCTGCCTGAATTTTAATCCTCGTCACCTTCTGGCCCTTCCCGTCCTCATCCATATCACCCTCGCCATCCATCCCACTGACAACATACTCGCTCTCTCCCTCTCCAACAACCCCACTATCCTTACCATCTCCCTCTCCATCCGTCTCCCCGTCTCTTTCTACATCCCTATTTCTCGCGTTTTTTGGCAGTTGGAACGTAGCGGTAGCGATGACATCTTGGATTGGGTAATCGTCGAGGGCTTCGCCGGTATCGGTGATGATTTGGCGTGAGAGTTCGACTTGGATAGTTGTGGCACGACGGTGAGTGGACATTTCGACGGATTGGGACCATGAATTTGTTGGTGCACGACCGGTGACAAGATCTCGGACGGCACGAGAAAATGAAGGACTGGAGTTGAACGTGATGGGTGAGTCATGTATGCAGCGAGAAGGAGACGAGAATGTTAGATCGAATACGACCGACATAAAGGCATGGATTGGGAGAAGAGACTCACTCGACGAAGATGGAGACGAGAGCATAGAAGAGTGGCAGTGCACCGTAGAAGAACTGAGACATGCACCAGATGATGAAAGTAGACTCGGACTCGATACCGCCAGTGCCCGAGATCGCGAAGTTAGCAGCCGCAGATATGCAATTGTTGACGACTACATTACAGCCCCCTTAAGACTCGTGCATGACCAAAATGGGTATAGAGAGATAGGACGTACTCAAGATGAAAGGATACAGCGTGATCCTCCATGACAACGCCCTCACAATTGCGCCACTGCTACTTCCGGTCCCGCCCGTCAAGCTGAACTTCCTATCCCGTCTATACGCATAGCGAGCCAGGTGAACGATGACGACGAGGGTGGAAAATGTTGCGATGACCATGCTAGTGATGAGCCAGGCATAGAAAGATCCTACTTCCCAGGAATTACGTTCTCTGATATCTGTGATGGAGATCCAACAGATGAGGGAGAGAGGATCCCAGCCCCAGACGTCCTTGACGGCTAGAGGCGCGAAGTGAGAATTAAATACACAATCAAACAGAACGGAGTATAAGAGGGAGTACCTCCTGGGATAGCGGTGGCAACTGCGGCGAGGAAAGAGCCGATGAGATAGTATCGCATCCAGCCTTCTGTTCGAATACCGTGTACGAGGGCGAGTTGAAGGTTGACAGGGATGAGCATGACGACGAAGTCAATAAAATTGCCTGAAAATCGAAGACCAGTTGAGCCGATTGTTCAGTATGATAATCACTGGTGCTACTTACTTGCAAAGAGAGTGAAAATAATCACGACGTTACACCACGGCGTGGGGCCCGTAATCAACACTTCTCCTCTTCAGACGATGCAAACCCTCGCAGTCAGCCCAAGCACTATCTGTCGTTCCAAAAGAGGACTCACAGGAACGTCGCGTTGTATATCAAACTCATCACCTGGACCCACAGAAGCATCTGCAAGCTCTGCCTCTGCAACGACTTCCTCGACACTGGCCTCAACCATATCAAGAACGCAAGCGCCAGAACAACCAGAGATCCTATCAATGCAGCAATTGTCGGTGCGATGGATACCCAGAGGACGATCTTGGCACGTTCGGCTGTGTAGACAAAATCGCGCGCCAGGATCTGCGCTGGCTGTATCCTTGAGGAGTACATGTCGACAAAGATTTGGCGGCAAAGCCAGTCGCTTGTGCTCAGCAAGTCCGCGGATGACTCAAACGAGTGTAGAGAAGCGAAAGAGGATGATCACACAGAGGTGAGGATTGAACAGATGGTCGCGGTGAGACGGTGGTGGGTGTTACCCAAGAGAGGCACGTAAAATCTCGAGGGGGGTGTATCATTTGAAGGACGACAGTGCGATTTGATATGACTCTACAACTAGAAGCTTTTAGGCATCCGAAACCGACTAACCCATTTCAAGCTCTGAACCCTCCTTTTTCTGAAAATCCATGCCGATCGGAGCTGAGATATTTAGGAGCGGGTTTGCTTGGATCCAAGGGAAGTCGCGGGAAAGTCCCGGATTGACCTTAGGAGAGGCTGGTCGAACGACAGGGTCGATCAGGCCGGATAGGAGGAGGACGAAGAGGGACAGTGGATGGCTCGGGAAAGAATTCCTTGTCGAGGAATAGCCTAATTAGACGGATAGATGGCTACAGCAGATAACGCATAAGTAGTCACTTAACGAACGTGTCTCGTCGAAATCAACATCTTCCCAAAGGAACAAACGACTCAGAAATTACCAGCTCTGAGAACGGCTTACCAGAGTCACTCCTATCCCGCAGTTTGATCGGAGTCAACTATGTCGGGAACAAGTCTGTCTAAATAACCGCAAACTTGCCAAACGAGCACCAGAGGTTACACCCATACGACGCAAATACGACGAGTAACATGATACTGGAAGAGCAAGGACGGACGGCGGCATCAGAACCGGGACAATGGGCTACAACTTCGGGACCAAAGCTCTAAATACCGATCGGCCCAATCAGGCACTGGCAGAGTTTGACGGCTACCGCCGGCGTAAGGCCCTCAGCCACGCGTGCGGTTTGTTACGGATGTGACTCAGGTGGGCAGACTGAGGGGGCCTGCTCTGCACCAGTTCCTGGGACGTTGAGGACGGCAGAAATGAATATTTGTGTGTAGATCTGGCTCTCTATTACATGGGATGCACAATTCGGAATGTAGAGGCTCAGAACCTCACCGAACTTGAAATCTTCGAGTGGAGGCGGATAAGCCTCAGTAACCAAACCGTATGGTAGACATATGCCCCTGGACCTCGGGAGCTATCTAGTACCATGAAGCCACACAGCAAACCGCACAGATGTGTACCTGGAACCATTTCATTGTGTCCAAGACTTGTCCTCGCCAAGGTCGGCGTCGGGCGAGAAGTCAGCAATACTATTTAGAGACATGCGGTCTTCCATCTATACATGACACCTCCCATCAATACAACAACGCAGTGTACCATATCTACAATACGAATACTAGACATCCCGCCGCGGCAAATGAGACGTCAAGTTTGAGTTGAGCGTACACTCTCCTTGCTCTTCACCCAGTGCACAATCCGTGGACCAATGGGCTCTCACGCTGTCGCCACGGTTTCACTAGAAATCTGTGCAAACTCGGAGAGGAACTTTTCTTGGACCTCGACAACCGTTCTGACATGGTCCGCTGATAGAGACTCGTTCCTGGAATGTCGATACCTTCTGTCAGCAAATATAATCCCAAGAAAGACTCAAGAATATGATCCGGGAAGTGAAATGAGCTAGGACACGGATTTGCGAATGGACGAGAAGATACTCGAATTGTAGGTCGATGCCAATTTTGAGGAGACAGGACGGATGTGGTGATGGTATGAAGGGTGGAGGTAGTAACGTGGTGCATACCTTGACAGGGCGAGGCTTTGAGCTGTACGCACTAGGTTCTTGACCGTGCGGCCTGTAGGTGGTGTAATTACCGGGCCGGGG